TGATTAATGGGTTTGCCACATTAATCCAGAGATTCATACCAAAACTTGGGATTAGTAGTCGTTGAGATTATTGTCCTCTTGTTGAATAGATTCTCTCTTCCTGAGAGAACCCAGTCGTACGATCGTACCTGGGTTAAAACGTGGGGTGAATCAAAGATGTATTTTCCGTGATTATCTTCCTAACTACAAGACTTGGCTTTCGTACATGAGATATATGATCTCGTACGTCCATGATTAATATGTGGTAATCGTTTGCTCATGGGGCAAAGGTTGTATTTAGTTGCTGGCAGTGATGAAATTCCCACAGAGAAATGTATTCATTCTGCCTGATTGCTTCTCTGACGTAGTCAACTATCTAATCCTCAGACTTTAGTATTTAAGTACTGCGAAGTGGTTTATGCGCTTCTATCAAATTGGTTTCAGCTCAACTTCTTTCTTTTCTGATATATTACCTACGGGCTGACAAGAAGCCTGGTATCGTCCTTCTTCGAACCACGTAGTATTGACGTTGATCAACATCATCAGCCCATCGTAGAGGAACCTTCAAGAAGTTTATTATGCTGGGGAACAGTCTTTACGGTTGCTGTTGATTGTAAACAGTGGCTCATGTATGTCCTTTACAAGTGCATCGGCTTGCCGGCTCACTAAATATGGCACCCGGCGCTAGCACACCCTTCTTCTCCTCAATGAATGCGCCCCATACGTTGGGGTAATACGGTCAGTAAACGGTTTGTCTGGCAGAATGTCTGAACTCACGGCACTCCGGTTTATTCTCACCCCCTCTCCACAAGACAATGAGGAAGACCGACAAAGAAGCTTGACCCCTGTGCTCGGGGAAGACCTAACCCTACTCAGCTGCCTCGTACGTATAGTCGGATATCCCTGTTCTGTCAATTTCTGCGTTATTCCTTAGGCCAAGGTTTAAGAGGTTTTCGGATACTCGGACAGCTTTACTTGACTATTGACGTCATTCTGTTACTGGGTCAAGGTATTTCAACAGCCCTGTTATGTACACCAACGGAGCTAACAGACATTGTCTTCACCGCTCCGCCGTCGATGTTGGTAATACCTTACCGGGGGTGAGAACGTTCGTTACCTCTAAATTGTCTCGCCTCATAAAGATTTCGGACACGTCTTAACGCCCGACCAGTGTAGGAGGTGCAGTGTAATCTTTCACATTGGGCTGCGGCATCCGATAAACAGGGCGGACATCAGCACCGACTGTCTAGAATGCGCTGAGAGAGCCTTAGTATTCGCCAGAAATAACCCACTCAAGGCACAAACCAGGGTTGAGGCAGCAGACGAGGCTTCCACGATCGTCGACGGCCCAAGTCCACAATCGTTTCATTAGAGCCTTTTGATTGACTCAAACTCAAATCAACCACCCGAGTACTGGATAAGGCTTCCCTTTGAGTATCGTGATCACGAACAACTTGAATGATTGGGGGGAAGGGCTTGGCCGTCAACTTTTCCGTAAAATCCCTCGTCAGAACTTTTCGCCTTTTCCTTTGGGAGGAATATTTCTCATCGTCCCTAAATCATCAGAAAGCGAATCATATCTTAGCCTTGGCCTGTGGCGTTTGGGTCTCTGCTCAGTCTGCCTAGAGTAGTCAGAGAATGAGCCTTACTGGACTAACCGAAGAGCGTCAAGACGTGTTTAGCCCCTGTCCACACGGACCTGAACGATGGATTGAGTTTTTGTCATGACACCTATTCCAAAGTTATTGAAATCATATCTTCTTCTAATTGACGTTGCTCTCTTTTAGATTAGGGTTTGTGTGGGTCGAACACATGTCGAGGAGCGCGCACCACTAGGTGAAGCTACCCTTTTTCCCATTTGGCCCGCCACAAATGGACGCGTTGAAGTGAACGAAACTGTGCCCTGAATTCTTCTTCCATTTTTATCAGCCGTCGCAATGAAAGCCAGGTTTGACGTGCGCAGCCTCGAGGATTGACTTGATGTTAAGCATCCCATTGAATTCAATCTACATCCAGTATTCACTGCTTCGGACCCCGTGCCTTGCTCACCCACCATCACAGATGCCCTTTGAAAGGATTGGGGGCGCCCTCAACATGCTCTGTCAGTACCAATCTCGCAATTTCAGCCAATCAGCCACGAGTCTACGTATGGGACAGCTGGCTCAGCTAGCTCGGCTAGATGAGTACACCCTCTTTTTGAGACCTTTCTGGAAATTCCCCAAGACCTACTAATGGACCGGCATTGAACTTTAGAGACAGCACGTGTGTGACAGTGTCATGATTTTAGCAGAACTCATTGATATCGTGCAGAAGAATCGTAAGAGGCTTGCATATAGAAAAGGGTCAGCCGAACAAGTCGAGGTGGAGAGGAAGATGGCTGCTGCCCCAGCGACCCATGCCATCGGCTCCCTTCTCCCGAGCGACAAGCAAACCAATACCTGTTCCCTTGGAACCAGCCCGGGAACATGGAGTCTGCTCAAGGAGGCTGTGGAGTGGAGAGACTGGCTGTGGAATCAGGCTGAGACACAAGATATTCATGGTAAATCCGTGCTGAATCTCCGGCTTCGTTTCTGCCATCATGCGCAGTCATTTCTCGAACATACTATGGCCTAGCTGCTACATTGCGGTTCGCACCTTCCTAATATGTACCTTAACCACAGCCGCAGGTTTCTGGTATGTCGGGAGAGCTGCCATCCACGAAGCTGTGGTTGCATCAGAAACAAAATTGTCCCATAGGGTGGGCACCACGCTTCTTATCGGTTCCGAATGGTGTTCCTTCTCGCCTGAGCTAACAGATGAAACCCCTTTGCAAATGGAAACAAAGAAATTTGAGCCCACCGATCGTTTACTTTTAAGGCCCCATCTAACACCTGGCCAGTCGTCTGCTTTGCACTTCCTGGTTCAAACTATTTAACGTTGTATATTTGATCGCTTCCAAAATTGGTCTTGATAATCCACTGTTGTTCAGTCAGTCGAGAAGTTTTCAGAAGCAAGATATGGCACTAGGCTCATTGATTTTCGCTTGTTGGAGGACACTTCAACAACTGAGTGGTCAGCTGGGGGGCGACAAGCAGGCTGGGGCGGGTCCAATTCCGGTCAGTGTTGCAACCAGGTTCCGCAACACTCAATAAATGTGACTGATGCATGTATTCCTTGCATGCCACATTTGACCCTGGGAGACGTTGGATGTTTACGGCGATCGCCCTAAGACTTTCTTCGCAGCCAGTTCTTTTCAACTGGGAACCGGGATTGGATCTATTTATGTGAGAAAAAAGACAATTGTAGCTGTATGCGTTTACATCAACTCCCCTGATGTCAACTGCCCTGATCCCAGTTTGAACCTCGCCTATGGAGACGCAAAACCGGTGGTATGGACCTGGGATTGTGAGATGAGATTGATCTCCGGCAAACAGCCGTCCAGACCCCGCTCGTGCGCTTCGAGTCTTTACGTATCATGCGTTAGAACGGCCCATTCGAAGACCCGCCGTGCAAGCCAGCCCACCATCCCGAGCTGCAGTCATCTAAACTCTGTAGAGAAATCAAGGTGAGGTTTCGTCGCGTGCTGTTATCGGCATCTTTCCATTTCTTCCACAGACCAGCCAGCTGCCGTTGAGAGACACAGGTCCTAGTGCTGTTAAGAGCAACTGTGCATTCCGTCGTTAACTCTTGAACCAATCTTGATTCTCTACGCGAATCGCCATACAATTTTGCATATTCTCATTTTCGGTAGCAATACTTCTGCCAGTGAACTAGAGTGCCTGTATAAGCAACACCATCGTGTCCAGCAATCGGCCCTTGAAAGCCTTCCCCAAAGCAAACACGGCCACTCTGATAATAATAATAAATTTTCAAGGCTATTTGTCCATGGTTTCTTTATCAAAAGGTACTCGGGTTGCTGTTTTGTGAAGTTCCCAGGCCGGACAAGGACGACCAAAGGGCATCAAGCAGGGAAGACGCACCATTACAGAAGCAAAACCCGGATCGGCTCCCAGCCTGCTGCAGAGTGGCGTGCTTTCTTGCCCAGCATATGGGTTGTCGAGGAAGAGCTAACAAGATCCTGGCCTCTGAAGTATTAGATCCCAAACGCCCCCAACCTTCTGATGATCTCTCCCAGCTTTGATATCGGCATGTCCGATTCTCAACTCCTCCGATTTCTCGGCGTCAACGAAATGTCGCAGCCCGAACACTCGGTATCTATACCCCAATCCTTCTGTCGGTAGCTCTTTTGATTCTTCACTACGATCCTGATCATGACGAAACATAGAAGAAGCGGTGGCTTAGCTAGGACCCACAGTCGGTAAACATTCCGCCATGACGGAAGGTTGCCTATGACGCTGCGCCAAAAGGCAACACTATTCACCGCAAAGCCGCGCTTTCTGACTCCCACAGAACGCGCAACGGCGCGGGCCCGGTCAAGAGCAAGGGTAGCTTGGGAACCAGAGGAAAGTCTGTATGATCGTCACACTTGGTCCGTTACCAGCCGGTCTGCCACTCGACTCTGCCTTGGGCAGTGCATCGCGAAACGATGCTGTCGGCCATGGGTCCATAGGCTCAGTGCCAACCTGTAAGCCCCCTTTCGCTCCCTTTCGAAGCTCGAATCCGTTGCACTTCATCAACTAGCCTATCATTTTTGGTCAGGATCCTCCACTACTCCGAGGCGCTTTCCACCCGAAGAAACGGCCCGTCAACCACTGGCCCAAGACCAGGACTACCCCTTGTTGTAAACAACACTTTCCCATGCTTAGCATGGGGTTAGGTGGCCCTGCTTCATCGGTTCGACGTTAACAGTGTTGATATCCATGTTGTTTCTGATCACGTTCTTGATGGGTAGACATTACTTTCAAGGATGTCGCGGACTCACGATAGGCTGGTCGTGTTTTGTGGCGGTTATAAAAAGAAGGATGAACGCCAAATGCTAGAGAGTCTTTGATGGAGAAAAGCACCAACTGATTCTCTCGCCTATTAACTTTTCGCTTGTCCAACAACCTCGCTACTCAACACAATCCTCCGAATTGACCGCAATGTCTACCAACCTCAACTTGAAACATGGAGCCGATGGCCAACTGTACTATGAGGCCAGTGATGGCCACTGGTATCCTTACTCTTCGTTGCCGTCCTCAGGTCCATCCTACGCAGCCAACCAGCAGTACTCACAGGACCCGAGCCCCTTACAAGACTCGCTTTACCATGGAGAAGCCCAGTATAATGATTATGAAGCCGAAGCTGGAAGGTACTTGTTCCAATTTCCAACACGATATCAGAGCTGACCATCACAGCTTCCAGGGAGACCCGCGTATCGACAACGATGACCCTCGCAAAGCATCTTCGTCTTCACGCAAGCAAGCAGAGGAGGACACGAACGAATTTGTAAAGGATCAGAAGAAGCACAAGAGATACCAGGTTGAACCAAACGATAGCTCTCGAAGAAGGCGCCACAAGCACAAGGAGTCCACCAAAAAGAGCCTCGACCAGATGATGAAGCCATTCAAGCCCTAGAAACGGTCAAGAGCAGCATAGAGGAATACACCAGCATGTTTGAGAGCACAATTATTTTTGGGAAAGGGGGAAGGAACAGTCAAGGTTGCTCGTTGGATATACACATAGATGGTTTTACTTGGGCGTTCTGTGATTGTGAACTGGATAGATTTTGTTCTTGTATTTCATGGGGTTTTCGTGGTTTGTTTTATCCTACCCTGTTGGATTATCTGATTTCTCGTTATGTTGCAGAGTTAAAATATCAAATAGAATAAATGATCATTTCCTTTGATGGGCTGCCATAAAGCATGCCGGTTTAATCCTGAGTATAAGCAACTTCGCGCCATATCGCTTTCACATCGGGGCCCTAACTTTCGTTCAAGGCGCTCGAAACAACGCAGGATATGTCCACTGTGAAGTTGTCCAGCCGAATTGGCGTTCGAAAGCCAGTGTCTAACACTTTGATATTCTACAGCTCTAGTTTCTACATCTATAATCTATACAACCATTTGGATGATCTATTTTGGTTTCTTTTTCTCTTGCAATTGATTTAGTCCACTCTAAGACGCTTCTGGCCGTTGCCGTTGGCGTGTCCGTTAGTCTCTCCCTGTGCAGCAAAGTACTCCAAGCTGCCCTTGGGGTCAGCCTTCATGCCCTTGCTGCCGTTCTGCCATCCTGCAGGGCAAACCTCGCCGTGCTCGTCGGTGAACTGGAAAGCCTCAACCAGGCGGATGGTCTCCTCAACGTTGCGGCCGACGGGCAGGTCGTTGACGGTGATCTGGCGAAGGATACCCTTGGGGTCGATGATGAACAGACCGCGCAGAGCGACACCCTCCTCCTCGATCAGCACGCCATAGTCGCGCGAGATCTTGTGAGACTTGTCGGCGACGAGGGGGAGCTGAAGGTCATCACCAAGACCGCCCTGCTTGCGGGGCTTCTCGGTCCAGGCCAGGTGGGAGAAATGGGAGTCGGTCGAGATGCCCAGGACGGTGGTGTTGATAGCGCGGAAACGGGGGAGCGCATCGTTGTACTGGATGATCTCGGTCGGGCAGACGAAGGTGAAGTCAAGAGGGTAGAAGAGGAGGACGACCCTAAAAGAATAGAGATGTTAGCTTGTTGTCTCACCTGGCCCGCCTTTTCGTAAGGTCTGTCGATGCTCCAGAGACATCTCACCATTGACCAAGGTAGTCGGACAGGTTGATGTCCTTGAACTCGCCGCCGGGGAAGACGGTAGTGGCCTTGAAGGCGGGAGCAGGGCGCTGGACGAAGGCGGTAGACATTGTGAACTGAGGCGGGGAGTTTTGTACGGGATTACGTGGAGCAACAAGCTAATGTGGATGAAGTGGTGACAATGACGGCGGTTTGCGCCAGGAGGCGGAAATTTTCCTTATCTACAGGGAGGTTTCACTGAGCTCGAGCTCCCGACTCAGATGCCGAGTTTGTGGATACCTCTTCGGGTTATTGGGTCCACAGATGACTCCATTCTCATCTCGCTAATCGCGACTTGTTCATGGCGTGATCCATCAACAGCCACTTAACGCGTCGCGTGCTGACCAGTCGCGTTAAACTATCGTGACGAGTGCGAAGCGGCCAAGATTCCAGTTAGGATTGAGTTCCATGACCCGCGCTGGAACAACTTTTCGATATCTTTCCTGTTGACAACCATTTTACTAGCAATTCTCGAAATTCATACATGGATCCAAATTGACTTTTGGCTCCTTGACTGGAGAGTTCCACACGTAATCTGACTCGGCCAAAGCTTTGATCGTTTCTTTTTCCATTTGTCCCACATTTCCGCGTCGCCCTTCGAGATTAGCTATCTCATAACAAACTACAATGCCTGGTCAGAAGCACGTAGTTGCCAGGCGAAATCCATTGGACTTGGTGAAGTGTTTTGCGTTTTGAGAGTATGAAAATCATTGTTTGGATTCGGATTCAACATACTCGAGTGCCAACAAGAAGTCCGAATCATCATTCACCTATTCTCCACCCATGTAAGTCAGTGACTCTTTGAGGCAGCTGGCGATTAACAAATGATGAACTTTGTGTATGGGAGGTTTAGTTCGTTTGACACAGTTGATAGGTACTCCAGCCACAACATGGTGTTTTCTGACTTCTGTAAGTTGTACAACAAGAGCAGTCGCTTTTTCTGTGTTTTCATGAGCGTCTCAATGATAATCGCAAGGTTCGATAGCCTCATCAATCTTCAAGAATTAATTGCTGCGAGTTCTCAGAACTACTGCAAGTGTTTGTTTACGGTCAGATATTCAACAGTGGCATTCTGTGCTAGTTGACCGGTGGCTATCTAATCCATGGCCGAGAATTTCCTTGAGGATCTATATACTCTTGAGAAATCTCTCCTAGTTACTCAGACGAAAATACAAGGTGCAAGAAAAGCGGTCACACGTTTAGATGCAATTTTTTCTCAGGTCGTTGACAGAAAACACTATGCATCAAATTTGAAAACAGGCGCCCGCCCGGCGGGTGGGATGGCGATGGGACCGGTCCGTCGCTCACTGATACCAGCAACCAATACCAGCAACCGTGGTAGTTGACTCCTCGTTTCATTGTTCATTTTCCCTCAAAGACTCCATCAATCTATGATTGGAAGCTGCAGACGACCTAAGCGCCTGGCCATTGGATGCGCAAAGTACTTACTTGGTAAATATCAGACACAACTCTGTCTCATGCAGCCCCAGCCCCCGAGGTATGTCGCGCCCTTGCGCCCCTACGCAATTTTTACAGATTTCTCTGCGCAATTTGTGAGCTGTGCCATGTCTCCCATGTAAAAGAGCGCTGGCATGGCACCTTTCGGGTGGTGCACCACCAGCCAAAGCTGCAGGGAGAAGCAAAAGTGGAAGGGCGCAGCATGCAGCACACTGCAGCGCACTGCAGAATGCCCACCTTCCCTTCGCCGTGAAGTGTCTTCCAATCTGCCTAGCAGCCAGGAAGCTCGGAAGCCGGGCAGTGCTTTCTCCTAGCATCAGCAAATGCACACGTCTTCCTCATGTTGCAGGTGTCTTGACACTTTTATCCCTTCCGCGATAAGCGTAACAAGCGTTGAATGTGTATGTCTTGAACGCGACAAGGTCAAAAAGGTGGGTGGGCTGAATCCAAGTCAGGCTGGCTGGATCAGCAAGCATGCTGTCCCTCCCCAGGTCATTGCTAGCGGTGCTAGCATGCATTGGGTAACAGAACAGGCGGGGAAACTCCTTCCCAAAAAATCGTTCCTGACTCCCTGGGTATACTCATTCCTTATCTTCTTGCCCTTTGTGTTTGATCTTCGGCTGAGAACGCCCAAGGTTTGCTGTTCTCCCAGTAGGGAGACTGCAGATAGGGGTGGCCTCCCCATCGAATCTGCAGCTCGCCATGTAGGAACTCTGGTTGTCTGCTAGACAACGCATCAGGCGGTCATTATTCTCGTGTGTGGGCATCGTTTTACCCCGCCTTCAGCCTTGCTTTGAGAAGTCCAGACATAAAGTAGTGGCCCTTCCGTTTCGTCCACCAACTTCGCTCCGCCATTTTCTGCCACTCGAAGTGCCGTATCCAACTTCAATGCTTCTTCTCTTGACAATGCCACAGCAGGCGGTCTTCAAGGCTTTTTCAGGGCACACTCACCGAGGCCACCTCCCAGCGCTTGTTCCTATCGCCGCGGCTGTGCTGACAATGACCTGTCAATATTGGGCCAAGAAAGCCTTGGCCGACACTTCATCTTGAACGAAGGCTGAGCACGTCTCTCAGCCACAGCCAACAACCGGCGCCCTATTCCTACCCTCTCATTAGTAGTCTGGCCGCCTTCTTGTCCAAGCCTTCCGCCGATGGACTAACAGCGTTTCGACAGTGCCGCTAACCCCGCTGCGACGTCCCTCAAGGGCAACCATCTGTAATTGAGAATATGGCGACCCAATGCGAGCTGGCTGCCTTCTTTCATCCTACGCTTAGGCGGGCTCACCTCTTTAGCTGCCTACTGCCACCACCCTGCAACTCGGTCTAGGTTCGCCACTGCGCCATAATCGAAGGAGTCATAATCCCGACTGAACAGTACGATGCTACCGGTGGGGGCCGAAGACACCTGGGTATCCGCTGGACCTGGCAAGGGCACGGACAGTCGTCTTTCGCCGATCGAGGCGATGCGCAGCTGAAATTGAAGAGCTTTTAGGCACAGCACTTCCCGAGTAGCGTGGTACCTTTCGATGTCTTCCCGGCATTGTTGCCTAAGGAGAGAGAAGGTAGATTTGGGTCAAGAGAAGAGGGGTTGACTATAACATTAAAGACTCCCGCCCCTAGAAGACGAGTCAGTAAATGATCAATCAACCCAACCACTTTACCAAAGATCTACCACAATCCATATTTAGCTCCAATACAACCAACATGAGCGAACGCGGTACCAAGAAGTCTCGCTCAGGCGGCAAAACTTCTAGCTCAAGTCGGAGGGATTCCCAGGCCAGTTCGAGCACAGCGTCGTCGTCTTCAGGTCCGGTTCAGCAACAGCCGGCAACGTATGGCCTACCCCAGTACATCGATTCAACTCGTCGTATCGGGCAGCCTACAGCCCAACCACAATACCCGATGACATACAGTGCTGAAGTCCCTGACTCTAGTTCGGGATACAGCACAACGGGAAGCCCAGCGTATGTTGTCGACGAGCAAGCTCCAGATGTTTCCTGCTGATTGTGATTGGTGATAGAGAAAGCTATCAATACGATAATCCAAGGTTGAACGACGTGGCACTCAATCGTCAGGAGCTCCGGAAACTTGCCTTAAATCTTCCAGGTCCTCCTCCGCCTCCAAAGCAACGACCTACTCCGGAAGCACCCATCAACGCGTACAACCGGGCATTTGGAATAACCCAACAGACCACAGTACCTGCGAGTAACTTTTCGGGTCAGTATGGATACCAGCCAACGCCACCATACTACGCTGCAAGCATTGAACTCGACTACCCTGATGCGCCGAGCAACGACCGTAGAAGTGGCTCGTCCCACTCGAAAGGGCACAGTACCCACCGGCACAAACACAACCGTAACTGAGCGAGACGCCATGCCGTTGAGAGGGTCTTGCATTACAATCAAGTCAGGTAGGCATCATGATCCCAACTCCCTTGAGGCAAGCACTAACTTGTCTCAAATAGTTGTAAGCCAGGACAACATGTGATCACACTTGTGATCTATGACCCCATCCACTCATGTATAAGCTCTTCTGTGGCGTATCTATCGAGGGTACAACCTCCGACAAATCCCCTCTTCCCTTATTATACAAACGAACCGACGGCGAATTTGATACTATAAAGACATACTCCGCAAGGATGGACTGGAGATGGAACTGGAAGGAAACATGAAAAATAGAGTACGGGTTTCCACATATTGATGTCTCATACAGGAGAAAGAAGATAGGAAAGATGGGGGGTTGACTTGCAACTATCGCATGTGTTTCAGTGTGCTCGTTCGCTCTAGATCGCGACTCATTATTTTTTACTAGGTGTTGTGTAGTTCAATGCAATATTCGATCAGGATTCTTCGGGTGCTGCATTGTCGGTAGATGTGACCAACGTTCGGCTTCTTATAGATGCTTGAGAGACTGCCAAATGGGAGGGCGTGAGTAAGGCAATTCGCTTAATGAGGCTCCGATACCCCTCAGTGTCTTGTTGTGCTGTATTCTGCCTGGGTTCTGTTGACTGGGCATCAGCGCGTCGTGGAAGTTCGGACGCGTCGTGTTTATTTGGCCTACCTTGCGCCATAGCTGGTTGCTCGCAGGGGGACGGATACGTATTCGAGGCTCGTGATCGAATCGATCGTTGTTGGGCACCAGGTAACGACGGCTTCCTGGATCTATATGGAACTTTCAGGTCCCAAGTTTGCCTACCACGAGTGTATGCCTCATTGCGGCCGATTGAATCTGTCGCTCGAAGCTCGGATTTGCCTCTGACTTCGCCGTGGGCTAGCTGGGGATCTAAAGGCGCAGTGCAGATCTAGACACTCACCAACGAACGGCGACTCCGTGTAATTGCTGTGCAAGAGAGGCTCGCATCATCGATGGTGATTGGTCGGCCATCCCGTGAGTGTTGGTAGGACAAGATGCTCATGCCGAATCGAAATATGAGGCCGCAGCAATCTAGCCATGGAAAGCTGTAAGCAACCGTGATACAAGGCAAACAGCGACAAAAACAAAAGCAGCCGGAGGCCTGCAAAGAAAGAGGTGACGTTGAATTGGCTTCCGAGGCGGTCAAAGCGGACCGGGAGTTGAAACTCTGTTTGCGGAGGAAGCACCCGACGTCCCTATTAGCACGGAGGGACGCCGTGAAAGAAAGAGACACAAACAACGATAAGAACGAGGAACAATGCACTTATCTTTCAATTGTCGCCACTTGGCAACTCTAGATAACGAGCAGAAATGTCCATTCTTTGATTTCGATTCTGGGGATGGGAATTTGTTAAATACCATTTCACGGGACCAAAAACACGCGTCCATAGTCCGAACTCTCCAATGGCATCCCACTCCTGGGGGCTGCGTATAGGCAGGATCGGGACATACCTAAAGGACTAAAATAGCAGGCACCACTATTCACTCATTGGACTCTGTCTGAAATGAGTAATCGCGTATGATTTTTTCCTGGAAGCGATCGCCCGAATAACGCGTGCAGACAAGGCATCAGCATCCTTGCGTAGGTTAGACCGGATCATGAGGTATTCGGTGTGAGTCAGGTACCGAACTTTGGAACACTGCCTAGATCGAGCGCTAACTACGCTCTTAAGTAACGCAGTCTGAACCAGCGATTGAAAGAAAGCCTTCTTGATTCTCTTCAACTTATCGAGACAACGGCTGTCTAGTTGACTCACATTTCCGGAAACGCGCCGTCAAAATTGACAAGGGATACAACTGGTAATTTTGGACTTCCACGGTTTCATTCGTCCTCACTCGATATACGAAACCCTCAGCCCCTACGTCCCCCACGCAGGACCTCCGACATGCCTCGTAAACCTATAGAAATCGACGGTCGAACGGGCGAAGGCGGGGGCCAGTTGGTACGCGTCGCCATCGCCCTCGCCGCAGTAACTTCACAACCGGTCCGGATTACCAACGTACGTGGCAATCGGGCTTCACGAGGGGGCGGCCACGGGGGGAGCAGCAGTGGAGGTGGCGGTGAGATCTTACACCTGCAAATGTACGCTCATCGATAGGAGCGCCATGGCTGATGAGGCCCATTCCTGGGGTTCTTTTCACAGGTCTCAAAGCTCAACACGTCACCGCCATCCGCTGGCTGGCCGAGACAACGGAGGCAGAGGCCAAGGGCCTCTCTGTTGGCAGCAGCACCCTCACATTCGTCCCGCGACTCCCTCCCTCGGCCGCCCTCGCTGGGAAACCCCGCAATATCAAAATCGCCGCTGACACCGGCGCCGCGAGCACCCTCCTGATCCTCCAGGCCATCCTGCCGTTCCTCTTATACGCGACAGCAGACAATGACGCCTCGGCGCCGATTGAGTTGGAAATTACAGGCGGCACCAACGTAGGATGGTCACTCTCCTACGAATACTTCGACCAAGTCCTCCTTCCTCGCTTGGAGTCCTGCTTCGGCGTTCACGTTGCGAGGAGGCTGAAGAAGCGCGGCTGGAGCCTAGGCCCGGAAAGCAGGGGATCCATCGTCCTCACTATCCAACCCTTGAGACCAGGCCAGACACTACGTCTTCTGGACCCGGGACGCACATACGAAGACCCCTCCGATTTTGAGGTCGGGTATGTGGATGTCTCCATGGTCGTCCCCTCTCACATGCACGCCGACCTGCAGAACGCTCTGTCGGGTGCGCTCGCCTCGTCCCTGCCCGACGCCGAGGTCGACTTCAAGGTCGTCGAGGATTCGGGCCACGACTCGCGCATCTACGTATTGCTTGTGGCGCGGTCCGCCTCGGGGCTCAGATGGGGCCGCGATGTGCTCATGTCGACCCCCAAAAAGGGGCGGCAGAGGGAATCCGTCGCCTCCCTGGTCTCGCGGAGAGTCGTTGGCGATTTGGTAAAGGAGCTTGCGATAACACAGTCCACGACGGACGGGTTTTTGCAGGATCAGCTCGTCATCTTCCAGGCTCTGGCTGAGGGGCCGACGTCGTTCCCACGGTGTCCCCTTCCAGAGGGTGCTGAAGTGGATGTTTTGGAACAGAACGTGGCGCAGCTGGGCGTAGGGGAAGGGATGAAGAGGGACAAGACGGATAAGCCGTTTGGGCATGGCAGCTTGCACTCGCAGACGGCGAGATGGGTGGCATCGGAGATAATGCCGTCGATAGAGTGGTATAACAAGGGGACGGTTTGCAAAGGGGCGGCAACGAGTGTCAGTTAGACAAATTGGATATTGAAACGATGGAACCTATGATCCCTTGAAGGGGTCAAACTCAAACCAGGCCGCCCCCAACTCCGAGCCGAGCGCCAAAAAATACCCTTACAGAATTGAGACCAATATACTGCTTAGAAAGACTTTTCACCTTGCACTCTTACTCTTGCTAGTTCTCCCTGGTAGATCGAATCGTCCATTGTCCCTCTCTAACATGGGCAGGACCACACTTCCATGAGCAGCCCCTCCTCAAAAAGGGAACGGCACCATCATTCTCCTCATCCAAGTCGGTCCACGGCCGGGCCTTGACGACGTAACCCTCCTCTTTTTGTCTGTTCTCGATGAGACAGACCTGCCACCATTCCAGCCACTGAGTGGTCGGCGCCACAAAGGGCTTCTTGCACGCGGAGCACGTAAGCCCGCCCACCTCACGCTGATCCGCAGCACGCTCCAATAACGCCTGCAAGTGAGCCAGAGAATCGGGGATATAGTCGGGAAGCTCGTTCAATTTGGAGCTCTTGTAGGCACTGCGCAGCGCCAGCTCCATCAGGCTGGGAACGCGGCTCCCTTTGGCACTAGCAACGCATCTCCCAGCGGATTTGGAGTGGTAAGGGGCGGATGACGGCGGGGCAACGCTGGACGTGCTTCCGTCACCATCCTGCCGTTCCGTCTGCACAATGACGGCCTCGGGGTCGAGGCGGAAGTCTGAATGCGAGAAGCCCGAGCTGTCCAGGTAGTGAACCGGTGATCGCGCAAAGAACCTCGCGGCAACTCCGTCGGACCCCGGCTTCCACGCTTCGACCAGTTCCGAGCCTTCCGAGCCGTCGCCCTCGAGGCTTTCCAGATCGGTGAGACGCGGTCGTTCGGTCGCCTGGAAGAAATGGTTTCCCTGTAAAAGCAGCTCTTCCAAGGCGGAGGGGGCGGCCATGAGATCGAGCAGCTCTGCGGGGAGGTACCTCAGAAGATTCTGCGCAAGGTTCAGGGTACGGAGGCTCCGCAACCTGCCAATGGCCGGAGGGAGCTCCCTCAGTCGGCATCCGCGAAGTGAAAGTACTGTGAGATGCTCCAGATCAAAAATAGCGCCTGGAAGTTTGAGCAAAGGATTGCGGTAGAGGTAGAGTTGCAGAGCCGGGTCCTTCTGTTCGAATGGAACGCCCTCGGCCACGATGGGTATGTAGGAGAATTCGGATAGGGGGCGAATGGTAGCATCGGACAGTGTCTTGAGTCCCATCATGCTAGTCCTGGTTAGATCGCGTTTGCCATGCATAGTTCAGGATACTCACGAGAGATCAATGTATTCGTTACCGGCGTCCAGGCACTGTTGGATCCTTTCCCGCGCCTCCAGCTCCTCGGCAGAGATAACATTACGACGACGAGGTGGTGCCCGGTTCAACTGGGGAAGCCTCGACTGCGTCGGGAGATCGGGCATCATGACGCTCTCATCTCCATCCGTGCTGTCGCTACCCATCCATACACCACTGTCCAAGTCACGCTTCAACGTCCGCTTGCCCCTCAGTGCCGGCCGCGGCTCTCCGGTAGCCGAGTCAGACGACGCGGGCTGCTGGAGGAACCACGAACCCACGTACTTCTTCTTCTTCCGCCTCCCCTCAACATAGTTGTCCAGACCGGGGTCATCATCGCTGGAGAAAACGGCGGGATCGCTGGAGTTAGACCATGACGGGGGCGCAACCGAGTGGCTCTTGAAGTTGTACCTGCGCTTCCGCGGGTTATTGCTGAAGCGCTCGGTCTGCGCGTTCCATGAGATGGAGGATGGCAGGCTGGGCAGAGTTGGTTCATCGGCCATCGTGAAGATTGGAAAAAGGGGAGAGTGAGAGGAAGAAGACTGTCGAATTGTGTGCGCGAGTAGCAGCCGATATCAAGAAATTGGGAAGCTCCGAGGCCCGCCACCACGACCCTCGCGAGTGGGAACAGCGACGGCGCGCGCGTCGTGACGCAAGTGGGGGCTGGAACGCGTTCAGCCCGGGATCAGGCCCACAGGGGTAGTCCGCTCACACGATCTCCGACGATAGCTCCGAGCACCGTTGAATGGTACTAAAGATCTGAAGGAACAGGGTAGGCTATGTTGTCCCTTATGTTTTCTTTTCTTTTTTCTGGCATTTGACATTTGCTCTTCCGTCGTGGATGAGAGGTATTGTTTACCTCCCGACGCGACCATCACCGGCCAGCCCGTAAACTTACACCATCTTGCAATGCTAGCAGCTACTCCTAAACGGCTTAGCGTACTTTGTCCCGCAGGTCGAGAGATACCCTTGACCCCACACATGCACAGACCAATGAAGTGCCGTTGTCCTAAGGATCCGCAGCGGCAAGGCGCGGGGCATCAAATGCACGAAATCCAGGAACCAAGATTGCCCCTCGCATAGTCACAATCTTGTCCTCATTGTTAGCCAGCACTTTCCAGTATTGTTTGTGCCATTTTAAGACATGCGTATTCTTCGTTTGGAGTAAGATGACTCGAAGATAATCTTCGATGGAGCTTCTTCTTTGATTAAATCAACCCCACAACCTGGGTTTGTTGGCGGCAACAGGTTCGCCGCGCAGCCCCTTGCACTATATAGCAAGAACAGGATGTAGGCGCAGCTCTGTTCGGCTGGCATCAGCTAAGATATCGCCACTATGGATTGTTCCTCGGCTTCCTGGCAGAAGGAAGGAGGGGATGAACGGTCAAGCTGTCAGCCGTATCCCCCCAGCCATGTGCATTTGCGCATCGAGCCACATTCGGCTTGACAACACTGACAGCACGTAGGACATCTTTCAGTCCCACTCATCGTCATCACTGTCATGCGCCTTGGACTTGGACACATTGCCCTGCCTGATTCCCTTTCCCATTGCCCTTTCTTCTTCCTCATCCTCGGCTTGTCTTCGGCGCTTGGCCACGCGCATGTCCGACTCCGGAACGGCACCAACCTCAACCAAGAGGTTGTCAATATGCAGCATGTTGATCTTGACGCCTCCCATTTGCATCAGGGTAACGACCTGTTTCGCAATGTCGCCATTCTTGTAGACCAGGATCGTGGGACAGTTCCTCTCGGGGTAGTTCTCGATGGCCTTGTCAGCGCGCATCTCGCAGAACTTGATTTCGCCATATTCCCGCGCTGCCTGTTTCCAGAGCTCGGACAGCACGCGCGACTCGACGTTCGTTCCCAAAGATGACGTCAGGTTCACAAACACGGGGCTGTTGTTGGAAGCTTCGGTGACCTCTCGCGAGTACTCGGGTTTCGAGATCGGGTAGACAGTGCCGTGGAGGGCCTTTTTGGTGAGCTCATTGAGCTCCTGCATTCTGCGTTGGCGGTACTGTTCCAGGAATGCCTCATCCTCGTCATCCTCCAGCTCATCGAGCTCGTCGAGGTCCTTGCCCTCCAGTCTGTTCTCGTGCGCTAACCTTCGTCCTTCGGCGATGGCCTCTTCGATCATGGGCGTCGGGCTGGGCGGCTTCTCGGGGATAACACCATGTTTCCGGAGGATGTCGTTCCTGGCAGCACGTGTCAGGAGTCGTCGAGCAGCCGTCACGATGCAACATACCACTCGGTGTCTGCGTTGGGATCATCGATCGGGACCTGGATTCTCTGGTCCATAGGGGCGGCCATTGTGAAGGGTTCGCAGTGCGGCTAATGCAAGAGAGAGCAAGGGGTCGGAGAGTCAAAGAAGTGAGTCGCGAAGAGTGAAGATAGAATCAGACCGAGAGGGGGGGCTCAGTATGGTGTGTCTAGTGACTTCAGGCGCCAGGGAAATGTCGCAGGTGCCTAAGCACAGTGGAGGCCGAGAATGGAAGCGTAGGCTCCGCAAGGTGAGCTATTGCTGTTCACCGAGCTCTGAGCCGTCGGCCCCAGTATAATGCCGCGCTGCCAATCAAAGCGCTCCCAAGGATCCCAGTCACGTGGAAGGGTTGATGTGCCCTCCAGAGCTAGCCTGAAACGGACTAGTACGCGAACTTTTCGCCATTGGAGAGGGAAAGTGCGGAGGATTTTGTCAACGACGCTCCCATCCACCGAACAATCCGCCATCTCTGCGAGTGCAGCCAGAATCTACTTCCAACACCATCAGATTCCCGTCAAGTCCACCGCACTCGCACCGACACCCGATCAATCAACTCGATCAGATCAGTCAAGATGGTAAGACCCTCCCGATGCTGCCGCTCCTCGCGTGCGGCGACACGTGTGTGATTGTTATTCCTGGACGAACGAAAAAAAAACCCGAACACCCGACCGAGCTGGAATCCCGCGAAGAGGCGAAAAAATTTCAAGAGGAGGAAAAGATGGTACGGCTGGGCTGTGGAGGAAAGGACACGACGATTACGCATGCGATATTTGATGAAGGAACCATCATGCTGATGGCTTCTCCCCCAGGTTCTCGCCGTTGATCTCCTCAACCCCTCCCCGGCCGCCGAGGCCCGCAAGCACAAGCTCAAGGTACGATAGCGCCCACGATGGCCTCATCTTGCCCCTCCCCCTCTCGAACTTTTCGTGCTCACACATCGGACAGACCCTTGTGCCTGCCCCCCGCTCCTTCTTCATGGACGTCAAGTGCCCCGGCTGCTTCACCATCACCACCGTCTTCTCCCACGCCCAGACCGTCGTCATCTGCCAGGGATGCACCACTGTCCTCTGCCAGCCTACCGGTGGTAAGGCGAGACTCACTGAGGGCTGCTCTTTCCGCAGAAAGTAAACTGTCCCTCGCGACGGTTTCTTTGTAGCCCTTGGGTATTAACGACTTGGACGGTTCATCACTGGTGGGACATCTCGGATCTGCAAAAGCAAGCGACCTGGGCATGGGCGTATAGACAACCCTGGCACGGGCTCTTAGAGTCTGCTGTCTTCGAACAGAACATAATCAGACAACCTTTGCGGATAGAAGATGGAACATCCAAAAATTCCTTGACCAAAAAACACAGGGGCGTTTGGGGGTCTCCGGATATCCTTTGCATCACCAATACGACGCATTTTCTCAGTTTTTTTCCTCGCGGCCGACGAACAATCAAAAAAGCAAATCAGTCAAACACTCGCTCTCTCGTCCCACGCCTGTCCCTTCTGCGATGCGTTACGTTGTTCTGTCACCCACGGGAGTTTTTTCTTGGTCGTCTTCTCTGCATGGGTGGACAGCTGGAAATGGCTTTTCACATGAGCGTTTGAGTGGTCTGCGACACGGCCTCTCTGGACGCGAGGACGTGGAACCTGCTGATTGAGGATCGCTTCATACCCGAGTGCAGTGAGTTCGGAGGATTCAGCACTGCTCGCGAAATTCAATGGTTTCCACACACTCGCCCCTAACCCTCGTCCTGTGCTCCGTACATCGCCTCTCCGTGATCTGTGTCTTTCTGTGATGTGACGTGCTCGCGTGCACCTTGCCGGATCTGTGACGACCCCCACTGTCTTGTATGTCCACCTATTCTCCGCCTTCATTGTGAAGTGAATCTTTGGGCAATTGACGCCTACGAGATGCTCGTGTGACTAGACGCGAATATTGAGATAAGATTTGTTTCATGGTGACAGGCCCTGGAGCTTGTGCAAGTACTATGTAGGTTGGTCCCGGCTGTGTGTGGACAGCACCGCTATTGCAATTCAACCGACAAGATTGGCTTTGAAGAGCGCGTGCACTACGAGGTCTGGGCTGTGAATGTCAAGCGTTGATTGACCCAGGAATGTTGTATTCGATTTACTTCACTGGCAGCATGGTCTCTCCTAGCAGCGATACCCAAAGACTTCTGCTGACATTACCTAGGTCTCAGCGCCCCTCATTACAACGCCGCAGCTTCTCCTCACGGCCTGCATCCTGCCCTGTTGTGTGCTGCCTCGGCTACAAGATTGAGATGCATATCAGACCCGTTTTCGCTCAGGATCGCCCGGTCACTTCGTCACCGTGCTGCGATGGCATGCACATAGGTACTTTGCCGACTCGAGAGGGCGTCGCTGACTCCAGTATGAACTGTTAGCAGAACAACGAACAAACTCTTGTCAGACTCTTCGTTAAGATTCTCGGATTCATTCATGCCAAAAACAAGAGCAATATGTCGGATCCCAAAATAGTACCAGACACGAAAGGGTGTATCCCTCTTGCTCAACCGCTTTCTCCGTCGGCCGCCAGCCTATTGTCTGACAGTGGCGGAAACCGTGCTGCGAGGCAAACGCAAAGGCGCCAATTATCCGCCGCTCATTATGAGTTTCAGGGCACATGGTCCCCACAGGGCAGTCCCTTAAAGTGGTTTTAGTGGACTCTGGCCGCGCGAGTCTCGCGAAAAAACACGCCCTGACGCGTTTTTGGGTCGTCACGGATCGTCGGCGGGCTCCTGCTTTCTGCTCCTCGCAACCTTGGAAACCGCTCAGCGACCTGGCACTGCACCGCACCAGCACCGCCCAGGAGGTCCATCCCCCACCATCCGCCCTCTTCTCGTATCAACTCAATTTCGCCTTCTCTCCCCGACCCAACCTCCTTCTTTGCACCCCGTTTCTCTCCAGAACATATCCCCTCCCGCTTCTGTACGTCATTTCTCGCTTGCGATCGTTTCTACGGCGACCATCACCTTTTTCTCGTTTTTTGCGACGAACCGGAAACTCTCCACTCCAAGCAGCCGCATTTCACGATCCTTTCCGTCTCCGCCACAAAGACACCAACGCTTCGACCCCAACCTCACGACGAACATCTCTATTTCGACCCGACATACGCAACAACACAGCAAAGCTGGCTTGGATCCTCGACCTCCCCTTCCGCTGCACAACTATGTCGGCCCCACGAACAAAGCGCCCCTTCGCCGGCGCATCAAGCGACCCGGCCCAGCGCCAAATCACTTCCTTCTTCGCCACCCGCTCCGGTCCAGCGCCCCCCGCCGGACCCTCGCCCACTCCGGCCTCTAACAACCTCCCCTCCGAGGTGCAGTCCAACCTCCTCTCCGTCGGCATGCGCGTCCGCAAGTCCGTTCCCGAGGGGTACAAGACCGGAACCTACAGCAGTTTCAAGCTTTGGAGCGACACCACCGAACGCCGCACTCCCGTCGTCCGGACAACCAACGCCGCCAGCACCCCGAATACCACCGCCCGCCACCGCAGCGCTGCCGCCCAGCGTGAGCTTTTGCCGTTCTGCGGCATCAACAAGGTTGGCGGCCTGGCCAGTCAGCCGACACACACCAGCGAGTATGAGTACGAGGAGGACGGTGTGCCTGGTCTGGACGATATGCCCGGCCTAAGCAGCTCTCAGGAGAGCGTCGAGAGCGTCGAGAGCACCGCCAACGACGGACGGAGCAAGAAGCGCTTCTTTGCCGACGAGGAGACCGATGAGCCTGTGCAGGTGTGGGCGAACCGCACGGCGTGGCTGGAAGGTGAAGTCAGCCCCCGGAGCCTGGCGCCGTCCGGATGGGCGAATGCCCGTCCGTTCGCAGTGCCGAGGAAGAGCCGTCGCAAGCCCGCGGCGGAGCAGGAGAACTTGGTCGTCGACGATTTCGATGAGGCGGACTTCCTCGTCTCGCCGGACACCGATATGAGCGATGCGTAGAGGATGAGACGATGGAAACCTTGCTGTACGATGCATTACTGTTTGATAGAGACGTGGGCGCCTGGAGTTGGGATTGTAGACATTGGGGGGTGACTTCATCTGTACTCGGCAAGAGCTGCTTCGAGGACATTTGTTTAATTGTCATGAAGATCGACGAAGATTGCTATGCCCGGGTATGAACCGGTGGAGTGTATTAAGCCTCTTAGGCCGGGTGGTTACCACCATTGTTGTTTTTGATATCATAGCTAGCCTGCTCCTTGAATTGCCCACTAGGCCAACAAATTGTACACTTTTTGGCCAATTTTTTCCTTGTGCCCCTCCCTGCTCACTGCGCACCGTCTAATTTTACATACCTGTGAAAGGGTTCCGGAACTCAAGCAGGTCGCGCTGTCCGTAGAACTCACCGGCGACTGTCAGGATCATGTTGAGCGTGGCCCGCATGTTCATCCTGGCGCGCAGCTGGTCGGCCATCTCCTCGTACTCGACCTCTGCGATGGGTTCCTCGGATGGAGCCTCGGACGGTGCATCTTCAGCGGCCGTATCCAGCTGGGCGAGGAGACGAGCTCGCGCCTCTTCAAGCGTCTCGCCCGGCACAGGTTCCTCTGCAACCTCGCCCTCGTCTATCTCGCCATCTTCAGAGACGTCCATCGGCTCCGACTTTTGGTCGTCGTCAACCTCTCCGTCCTCAACTCCACCGTCGTCAGTGGGTTTATGCGGTGTGAAATCACGCTCCTCGGGCTTTGCCGTCTCGGTCAGAACCTCGGACCCAGCACTCGGCGTCTCCCCCGTCTTCCCGCTCACCTCCTCCCCGTCCCTCTCCTCAACCTCCATCTCCCTCAACATATCTTCGTCATCCGAGCTCTCATCAACAGCATCGTGCACGCCCAGATCCATCCCCTCCCCTTCCAACGCGTCTCTCAGTGCCGCCATGTCCGCCAGGCTCTGCATCATCAACACCGCCCTCCGCCCCAGATCGCGCACCCACCCGATCTCGGCGTGATTCAACGCGCCTCGTTCCGGCAGCCGCGCCAGCAGCGCCCACAGCCACCGACTCGTGCGCTCCCTCAGCTCGCAGCCCCTGCGGAGGAACTTTCCGCCCAGGAGCACGCGCACGACGCGCAGCACGCCGTCCTTGTCCATGCTCGCGATCTGCGCCGGCAGAGGGTCCGTGGAGCGGAGCCGCTGCGACCAGATGGAGAACGTGCCCGATTTTGGACCGAAGGCGCCAACGTGGTAGCCGTGCGTGCGCGGGAGGGCAGCGACGACGTCTGGTGGTGGCGTGGTGTGGAGGGTTCTGCGGAGTGCGTTGAAGCGGGAAAGGATCGCGGCGAAGTAGGCCTCGTGGATCGCCGCTTCGGGGTCTGTGTTTTCGTCGTCGTCGTAGACGCCTTCGTTACCTTGCCATCCGCCGTCTTCTGCTTCGTGGTCCCCAGGGGCACGCCGGTCGTCCCAGTTATCAGGTCGGGCGGTGTATGCGCCGTCTTGGTAGTAGCCTCTGAAATCCCCCTGGCCTGTGGTGTAAATGTCCCGGTCCTCTTCAACGTTCTCGCCTTCTTCTACGTCATCGCAGCCGTCGTCCTGGAGCTCCTTTGGTAGTTGCGGGCCGATCGAGACCTTTGGTGCGACGAGAAGGTGGGGGATGCCGTTTGCTTGCGTCCTAGAGTACTCACCATATCAGCATCGTGTGCGGCTACTTCAAAAAGACCAGTTCAGCAATTGGAAAAGGGCGCGGAGGGAGTCGGGAGTGTCTGCTTACCTTACTGACTTGAGATACGCCATGGCATCTGCATCGTCCTCAAAATCAAGGTCCGGGTCCACGGGAACCGTCGTTGAGCCCGCGGCTGACGAGAAGACGTATTTCTGGCCCCATGTCGGGTCGATGTGGGCGTTCTGGTGGTCGCGCGTCTTGGGGTTGGGCTTCTTGTTGCGCTTCGGCGCCGGCTCGGCGACGTCGTTACCATCGGACGCCGCGTAGTTGCGCTTCGAAGCCATCTTCAAGAGTAAGAGACGGGTATGGAAGTAGGGCTGGGTTGGGGAGGAACGGAAGCGACGCGCGGTGTCATGGCCTGGTTGACGAGTCGCGAAATTTCCTGACCTCAGCGAACAGGCAGATGGGAGCTTCTGCCTTGGCGCTGATCCCGGGCAACTTTTTAGTGGAGAAGAGTCTTTGGTGCGTGGGGCCGCTTCCTGACGGTCTCCGGTCGTTGCGCCCACCGGCTCGCCGATGTTCCTCCGGCCTTCATCACGGTAATCGGCTAGCTTTGAACGTTCAATGAGCTAATGAATGGCTGAGAAATAAATTTTACTCTTGTGATCTGGATAACGAACCGAGAGCGATTTCACTGAGCTTATGAAAACAAACCTTGATTTTGCTAAGTGTGTTTGTGAGTTTAAAATCAAAAGAAGAAAGTGGTTAAAAAGAGGTAGTGCTCTTCTCAATGCATCAAACTGCCTTATTCAACATTCAATACGACGATAATTGCTGGCTCGTACTTGAGAGAGTACACAAACATTACGGTATCAGTTTATTAGGTGTGAAACTGAGCATTTGAGCGATGCTGTAGTCAAGACGCATCTCCGAAGTAGATTCTAAGGAGCTACTAGACTAAGAGAGCAGGCAGACTGCGAATTAAGATAGAAAGGGAAGCTCGAGACGGTTGGTCATGATTACAGGCTGGTAATATCCTTGCCTCTTGCGTCGTAGCTGAGTTTGTCGTAGTTTTGCTGGTCGGCGTTTGACTCGACAGTGGGCTCGGGCTTCAGCCCGTTCCTCTCGACCAAAGACTGCTTGTGAATGCCTACAGCCCCATCTCCCTCACTGAGCAATGATATCCGGGTAATGTTTGCCTTCTCACGACACATTCGAGCTTATGTCGGAGCTTAAGGAGCTTGACGGAGCTGATGATGATTACGATGGTTTTGGGGGGAAGCCATTGTGCTAGTTTCGTTGGTGTGTTCATGGGAAATGGAGAAAACAGACCTTTCCGACAAAGTGAAGCGTGGATAGTTGGTGGGTTTAGTAGCGGATTACAGGCAGCTTGAGGTGAGAAACGTCTGAACTTCGTCATTCAGCTGGACTTTGGAGAAATGCAACTAACAGACAGCTTTTCCGAGAACCACCATGCAATACCAAAGGACTACCTGTCTCGCAGTAGGATGGAATGTTTATAGGCATTGCGGTTGGGATGGCGGCCCTGTGTTACACTACACAACGTGACCTCTGCCTATCGTGGAGTGCTGTACCGTTGTGATCTGGCCAAGAAAGGCTAGTACAACTAGCGAAGTGACCGATGTTGATGCGAACAAGAGTGAGGAAGGGGAGTTGTCAAGGTCCTGTGTAACTTGCGTTGTTGGTTTTCCAAGACTTGGGCCACAGTCGATTCGGACCGAACTTCAAAAGGCAGTTTGGTTGCAAACATAGTAAATAGTGTACCGACTTAGCATAGTCGTCTAACTTCCAGTAACTTCTTCAACTTTCCTGCGCCCCCAGATCATTCCCTCATAGCCTATATCAAAATAAGGACATGCAGCTCTGCCAGGGCGTAAGCAGCCCGTTCTTTTTGGTCCAACTCTCCCAGTATGAAATTTTGTGCGGATGGTGGGAATCAGTTTGACATATACCTCAACCACGCGTACTCTCCGAAACAAAAGCGTTGTATAACGAGATGTTTTGTTTCTTTGATCAATATTTTTATGGGAACGTGGGCGAATCGAATCGGCTGCAGTCTACGGAAGCCCTATCACGCTCGATGAATCATGCTAACCTAGTGCTGTACCTCACATTTCGAATCTTTTTTTGGCATCAAACTCTTGATCTCGTATACTTCCAGGCAATGTTGCTCAGAGAGGCACTGTAGCAATTCATCGTCAAACCACCTGTCTTCAAAGAGGGCATAATCAGTAATCCTCGAGGAGCCAAGACGGACAATGACCTTGGACGCACACAAATATCATGTGATTGGAATATTTGAGCCGAACCTGTTGTCTTGGAGCGATTTGCAATCAAGATGCTCTCTCTTAGCGGTTGCAATCCGACGTAGATCGGTGTCAGCTCGAGTAGGTAGCTGGAGATGCAGGGGACCATGCAGCTTCCCCGCGGAAGCTACTGCAGCCCACTTCGCGGTGGAAGACGTTAAAGGGTGACTTTGAGCGCCGATTAGTAGCATCAGAATTAGTAGCGTAAACCTGGCGCACAACGGGCGTCACATGGAAAAGAAACCGGTGGATTCGGATCAGTCAAAAACTGACCTAAAATATTAATTAGAGAGTTGACCTGAACATAACGTTCTCCATCGATGGAAGGAATTTGGCACGTCAAGTTGCTTGTTACCAGTAGTTGAGGAGCTAGCGGCGGACCCCGGTCCTAGCTCGGATCCAATTCCACTTCAGCCCATCAACTTCTCCAACCCGCAACCACTCTGTCGCATCCGCAACAAACATCACACGCATCGCGACGATGACAACCGCAGCACCAGAGCACGCGGCCTCTCCACCGCCTCCGCCGTCAGACAACGAGCCCGTCTACGGTGGATTCACACGCTTCGAGATCGAGCTCGAGGTATGCACCCCTCCACCCTCCCCATCCGCTTTCTCTCTCCCGACCGCACGGCCAGAGCTAACCACGCAATTGCGCGTGCAGTTTGTCCAATCCCTCGCGAACCCGCTGTACCTCAACCACCTCGCGACGCAGAAGCTCCTCAACCGTCCCGAATTCGTCGCCTACCTCGCCTACCTGCAGTACTGGTCCCGACCGCCGTATCTCAAGTACCTCATGTATCCCGGCCCGACGCTGAAGCACCTCGAGCTGCTGCAGCAGGAACAGTTCCGGGTGGACATCATCAGCCCGGATCTCGTTCAGCGACTGGTGGACGAAGGCATGAAGGCGGCGATTGACTGGCATCGAAGCGATGCGTGAGGGCAATGCCATAGAAAGAGGCCATATAAATTTTTCGCGGTTGGGGCTGGTGTGCGACGATGACACATGCGACCTTGATGGGTTTCCGAGCAAAGGAAGAAGCTCGCCTTGTCGAGATTACAGCAAAAGCTCTGAAAACGGGGCAGGATAGGCATCAGGCAACACGGAGCAGGGAGTGCAGGCGGTTGCCTGTTGGAATATGTGCAGAGTCCCAAAGCTGCACAATATCAGACACATCACGAGGTTATGACCAAAAGAAGAGGCGTGTTTGTGGCAACGAGGTCAATCGTACGAATACAGTGCTATTCAGCACCGAACATTTGTAATGCAGAGCAGCCTTGCGCAGGCTGTCTCCCGGAACAAGCTCGACCAGAAGCGCGACCAGAAATCGCGGATATCAAATAAATCAAGCAAACCCAAACATCCTCCCCAACGCCTCGCAATGCACCGTGAAATACCAGCGTCCCTCCTCCGTATCAGTTTTCTCTCCACCGGTTTCCGCAAGTCATGCACTGCAAACGCCGTTAGCACCTTGTCTAAAACCCCCCACCACGAAAACATACCTTGTAAAACGTCGTCATGGGCTCATCGGCACTGCGAATCTGAACCTGGAAGAAGGCAGCCTCCTCGCCGTTGCAGCCCTCCTTGGGGCACTGGGCGCGTGCCTTGTCGGCGTTGTCCCACTCGCCGGGGCCGCCGAAGACGTCTTCGCGCTCCTTGCGCTCGAAGTCGCGGCGCGAGTAAATGGGCTCTGTGATGGCGTGCTCGAAGGGGCAGGTGCGGCACTCGAGACGGTTGCGCACGCCGGCGTAGGCGGAGACGGTGAGGATGTTGGCACAGTTGGGGCAGACTGGGAGGGAGATTTGTTAGCGGATGCGCGAACGAATGGAGAGGCGACGGGGTGAGTGAGGCCTTACAGAGCAACATTTTGAAGGATGGGTGATTCCGTGAGTAGATGGGTAGGTTTCGTTGTCTTGCGCAACGCGGTGAGGGGTGGCGTAGAGTGTTTGAATGTCGTTGCGCAGCTCCCCGCGTATCTCTCGGTGACTCGGTCGTGATCCTCGTGGAAAATTCAGCGGGCCTTGAATGCGACGGTGGGGGACGAACCTCTGCAGTCGCCAGTCATAGGCCACCGCCAGTCACTCTCCCCCCAAAAGCTTGGACAGACCATTGAACCACCCCATTCCGCGGTCGGGTCGGGACCATCCCGCCGGAATCCCGCCGCAACAATATTCCGTGCCCCTCCTTCCCTCCCACACCCCCGCCTTACCCGTTCCCGCGCAGTCAGCCGGGGGGACAAGCCCACTGTCACAGCGTCCTTTGTTCACTGTAGGACGGCAGCTCGGTGCTGAGGTTACACACTGCGCGCGCTAGAATAGAAGCAACCCGACTCTCGACCAGGGGTTGGGCGATCACTGCCACCTCCTTGAACAGACCACACCCTGGCACCAGCCCCGATTACGTCTCACTTACCACCGCCGGACTGAGAACAAACGCGGCTCGACTTCTGGGTGTGAGTGTGTCACTGAGACGAACTCCGGAATCGCAACTCCACGTCCTCCGCTTGACCTGACCTGACCTTCCCGAGCCCAGATCTACACGGCCGGACACCTCTCGCGAGTCACTCTTCTTTTGCAATCTCGACTTCCTTACCTTGACCACCTGCTGCAGAAATCGTTAGTCCCCACGATAGCAACCCCCCAATACCCCTCTCTTCACCGTCTTGCCGCAACTCCGATCTCGACCCCACCAACGAGGTTCAGGTACCTACGTAAACCCAAACCGTCCCCGGCCAGCACGGAGCCAATTCGAAACACGCATCACTTTCTCTTCCACAACCTCAACCCACGATATCTAGAAAGTTGGGCATCTGCAGCACAGCTATGGCCGCGGACAACGAGGAACACGAGGTAAGCCCCCTTCCGTCTTTGGCGCCCTCTCGGCCAGAGTGCAGACAAGGAAACAAGAGGGACAGCAAACTGACGGACCACTCCTCTTCAGGGCGCCTCCGTCAAGGAGATCCTCATCGAAGCCTGCCGGCGCAACAACACCGAACTCTTCAACGAGGTCGTCGCCGACATCAAGGACGAGGACGAGCTCTCCCGCCTCCTGAACGAGACCACCACCGTCATGGGCAACCACCTCTACCACGAAGCCGCCTCACGGGGTAACTGTGCGTTCTTCTTCCCTTTCTTACACCATCCGGCCTCACATTCTCACATCCTCAACCCCTCCCCCTCTTCTCTAGACATGCTAACCCCGTCCACCCCCTTTCGCAGACGAAATAATCGACCTCCTCCTAGACCAACCAAACTTCGAATGCGACCCCGTCAACCGCCTTGAGGGCGACACGCCCCTGCACACCGCCATCCGCTGGATCAACTCGGAACCCCCGCCCAGCGCGAGTTCGGCAACGCCCTCATTGATATGATGCTCGAGGCCGGCTCCAACCCGCGCGTCAAGAACAAGGGCGGCCTGACGGCCGTCCAGCTCGTCGACCCCCGCAACGTTGGGCTCCGCGACCTCATCCAGAAGCACGAGTACGCCTCTTTGAACGCCGGCGACTTCATCAACGTCGACTCCTCCGCCGCCGTGCCTAACAAGAAGGCCCCCGCCGTCCCCAACGCCGCCGCGCCTCCCGTGCCGACCGCCCCCGCACCGGGCTACGACGACGAGAGCGACGAGGACGCCGAGTTCAGCGGGAGCGACGACGAGGAGCGCGCCGAGTGGGAGCGGAGAAGGAAGGAGCGCGCCGCACGTAAGAGTTGATCTGCCTCTTGACTCGTCTCGTCCCTTGCCTGCGTGGGGTTAGATGAGGGGCGGGAGAAGGGTCAGACTCGAGCAGCGGCCCGCCCTTTTTTTTCGTCGTTTGCTCCCCCCTCTTTTCTGGCCCCGAATATGGACTCGCATCGCGGTATCTCCTTCGAGTTGCGCGACCCGCGGGGTGGTCTGGCGTACAAAGACACGCGGCGGAGGGGAAGAGGGGGTACTTTGCTTGTTGTCCAGAAAGGGGGGACATGGGAAACCCATACACTAGACTTGCGACTGCTGTCCACTTCTTCGAGGGCGGCAACCTCTCGAAGACGAAAGAAAAAAACAAGATATAAAAAAACCGCTCAATGAAATGAAATGAAATGAGGGGTGGGATATTGGGGGGACATACAGGCCCAAGGCCAGGCAAACTCCGGGTCGCCTTCCGACAAGAGGGCGCGCGCGGGCTAGAGAAAGGGACCGAGCTTCATGATCCGGAAAGGAGCGGACGGCTTAGACCGGCGTTGAGCATCACGTACATTACCATGCAGAAATTCGACCAATCAGACCATTCGCCATTCCCCGTCAGTCCCATTGTGATGTGCCCAAACTGGGTGAGTGCACCCCCAGGTCCAAGTCCAGCGTGGCTCGCAGCTCGTAGTCTTGCATACTTCATTGCCTAATAAAACATCACGTAACACACGCATCGTACAGTCGTCGGGAAGAGGCCAAGATAGATACCCGTGCCGGATGGAAAGGGGCCACGCATGCAATAGGTCTCTCCATGTCACCGACTTACCAAGTTTACCCGGGGGTATAAACGTTCCTCTGTTGGGTTTTGATATGGGTATAATCTTTCTAGGTACTCGAAAGGAAAGGTGCAGATCTGCTGTCTACTGTGGCTCACAACCTGAGCCCTCTCTACTCTCTTCAGTGTCCATGTCTGCCGTGTGTCGTTCCATGCGTCGTGCAATCGTTCCAGGGTATCCCAATGCTGAAAATCCAAACAAGAAGCACGACTATTTGCGCGGGTCCTGCCCGTCGTGCTTGTCCGAGTGAAAGAAAAACAAAACACCATCCATCTTACCACCACATCAACAGTACAGCGGTGGTAACCGCGCAGATCGCCCAGTAAGCCGGGACGGCCTGGCCTGGGGCAGCGTTCTTCTCGCTCTCAGATTCTATATAGGTGCGGTTCTTAACCAGCTCCAGGTTCTTCTGGCTCAGGGAACCGGCGCTCGCGATCTCGAACAGCTGGGGTCCCATGGTACGGAGAATGTTAGTGCTCCTGCCAGCGGGACAAAAGACAACCTCCCAGCCGCCACCCGAGGGGATGATGAAGGTCGAGGTCTGGTCGTCAAAGGCAAAGCTGTACGCGTCAGGACACATAGCCTTGGCGTGCCTGGAGTACAAGCCCGGCTTGCATTTATCGGGGTCGTGCCATTTGCCTATACAGCAGTCGTGGTCCGAGTTCGTGGCCGCACATTGGCTCTTGCACGGGCTGAAGGTGGGACGCCTGATGTTGTCGTCAGGGTAAGGGTAGATTCCGTCGCCAGGCTTGTTAGGTGGGTTGGTCAGCAAGGGCCAAGGGCACCAGTCTCGGACACTGTCGTTGGACTCGTTTGGTTCCCAAGGGACGGGGTAGGTGCTGTTGGTGTAAACGGCACCGCTGGCCGCACGCTGGGCCATAAAACCTGTCGTTGCGATGCAGGCGCAGTTTGTCAAGTTGGGCGGAATGTACGACGTGTTCTCAGCGGGAATGTAGTTGATGCCAACGGGGATATTGTAGCCATCGACTAGGGAGATGTCGTAGAACGTCTGCCTCCCGGAGACCCCTCCAGCTAGGTTGAACTCAGCAAGTGTGGCGGGAACGGCGCCCTGTATTGATCAGCACTGGTTCGCCCAACGTACGACATGAAAACTTACACTGAATTCACAATCAAGCTTTCCAAAGCAGTCACCTGTTGAGCAGCCAGCCGACTCCCCATTGACCGTGCAGTTGGTTCTTCCCCAAGCGCGTCCTTGCCATGTCGGACCAACCCACATATCTCGGCTATCACCCGAGGCGAGCTCGAAGCCCCCGGTCCCGGGACCGACGCCATGCTGCGTCGTGATGCCGGGCCAGATTGTCTCGGGACATGAGTTGGTGATCTTCAAGGGTATTCTCCCGTTCCAGTCCTCAGGCGGTCCTCGTCTGGCGGGGTTATATCGCTTGTTTAGCTGGAGGTAATCGGCTTTGTAGTTCGGGTGGTAGCTAGGGAATACGATGGCACTGGTGGTTGGTAAATGGGAGGCGAGGGCCAGCGCAACGAAGATACTCCGACTGGCTCTCGTATAGCGCTTATCGCCTTTTCTCGACGACGATTGTCTCATGGTCCCTGCGATGACCGTCCCTGGGCGTTTGTTGGTGTAACTTAAACAAAGTAGGAGGATGATCACAAGAATCAGTTGTGGGTTTTGACGACTCGATGAACCAAAAGTACGTTTTACGCCAGGGTGCTGTGACAATGCATGGTTCAGAGGCCCCAAATTCCCATGATCCCGAGAGACGACGATCTGGTGTAGATATATGGCCAGCGCCAACGCGGTGGTGATTAGGCGCCACCAATGGCCGGCGATGGACCTGCGCCGAGTGACGTACGGAGCGTGGACGAGAGAGCGAATTGTAGCAAGGGGCGGCGGGATTCTAGGTGGTGATCGGCCTGCTTGATCCAGGGCCAATTCCTGATTATCCCTGCTGGCGCGATGTAGCGTCAGAGGCCACCAGGTGGGAGCCACAGGTTGGTCGGACGGCGCCGCTGAGTGGGAACAGAAACAGGGTCGTAGGGCAGAGAAAGTAGGTTGTTTCTTACGCTTAAAAGAAGTGGATGGTCGGAGACGAGTAATGATGCAAAGTAAGGCACGGACGGGTTCGAGTAGGAGACGTGGAGAGCAGTTCGCAGCGTGACAACCCCCAATTCCACTATGAGGTTGAGGACGGTGACGATGTTTGCAAGAGAGGAGAGCGCTGCACCACATCGCATCCAGCATGGCTACCTACTTGCGGATGGGGAGGGGGGCACTGGCCCGTCCCATTTACCTGGTGCCATTGACACTTGTCGACGTTGCAAAATGCAGGGCCCGACCTTGGGGTGAACTTGCCTGCGGTTTACGTTCAGACGATGACGCAGGCACAACTGGCTGCCCGGTTTCCCGTTGGGACTGCAGGGTCCGGTTTGACTCGCTGGCGACGGGGGCCTTCCTTGCTTGGCTGCTGTTTCTGCGCCGTTTTTTCTTTCTTTTTTTCTGGTCGCAGTCTCCACTCAAGAATGATGTGGCTGAGGCTGAGGCTTCAGGAGCGGTCAGCATCAGAATGTACTATGTACGTCGCTTTCGGTCTGCGAAGTTCAGCTCCATGCCAAACATCATTCATCCCACGCACAGCCTCATTGCTGGTCATCGTCATCATCATACCTAATCAGGGGCTCGTGGACGATTGATGCTTCCGATGCATGGGGAATATCGACCACCCCACGTGGTACCCCCCCGGTCTCTTCCAACTGGATTTCTAGCCAAGACCAGTACCTCGATAGTTTTACCTTGTAACGACCCTGTTAATGGCTTCGACCTGTTGCCTCTGCCATAAATCTTGCCTGCCCGGTCTGGCCGCCTCCGAATGCAACGCAACAATCGGCACACTGCAATCATTGAAACAACTTGATTTTTCCCGTGATGGGAATGTCGTGCATCTAACACTTGACAGTGGGCCATGATTCTTCAGTGTCATAAAACCCCCCCCAAATCCAACCCTCGTCTTCCAGTCATCTGTCTGTGTCTGGAGGTCTCTTCGTGATATATACTCTTGGCCATTATTAGCCTCGGCTGTCCTTCTGGCCCCTGTCACCTTTTCGAGGTATCATCCGAGTGTATGGAAACGAAATGCCCAATGCAAGCCGGCAAACATTATCAATCTTTCTCTCTCCACTGCTCCCCCCTCACGCACCATCTTTACCTGAAGCGCGCTCTGCAGCGGCCCATGACCTCGCCCTGGCAGACAAGCTCTGCGCTAAACTCGGATCCGTCGAGTGTCAGGTAAATGTCAAAGTAGACGCGGTAGAATGTGCCCTGTGGCGTGTCCATCCTCTCAAAGTCCTTCTCAAGGTTCTTGCGGGACAGATCCGAAGTGAGAGTAACGACTTCCTTGATGCCTGAAACGAGGGTTAGCGACAATCATCAACGGTCAAGTAACGGGACTTACGAGGGTCCTTGGTGTATTCGGGGCAGACATCGTCGTCACAGGCGTACAGAATATCCTCGTACATGAGCGTAGCGCCGGGGGCGACTTGTCGGAAGAAGGAGACCTTGACGGGCTCGCCAATCTTGACCTTCTGACCCTTCTGCACAAAGATCTGCCGTGTGAACTTGCAACGGTCCTTGCCGTCGAGGGACGGCACGCGGTAGGCCTCTGGGTGGTAACCCTCCTTAAAGGGCTGCAGGGTGGCCATGAGGTAGTGGCGACGGGCGACACGGTGGGTGACGACACGCTCCGTGATACCGGCGGTAACCGCACCCTTGACGATGGCGGCGACGGAATCCATGGGACGGACGACCTTGGACTGGAACTGAGGGGGACGTGGAGCTTGATCTGCTGGAAGAGGTATTCGGAGGCACCGAAACCGCCCACGACGAGAATGTTCTGCAGTGTGCGGTTCTGGGCCTGGATGGCGATGATCTGGTTTCTAACGAGTTCGAGGATGCGGTTAACAACGGGCTCGAAGCACTGCAGAATCTCCTCGTTGGTAAAGGTCATGTAGCCCTCCTCGATGCCGGCCTCGGGGAACTCGGCCTCGATACCAACGTCGACAGCCCACTTCTGACCGTTATTGCGGAAATCGGCCTTGATGCGGTTCTCAAAGTCCATGATACACTTGGCGTACACACGGCCGGCGGTCTTGGATCCATCGGGCAGCTTCATCTTGCGGATCTTGGTGCGCAGAATGTTACTGAAGTTGCGGTTCAGTGCTGTTGAACCGCACGAGTCACCAGATCCTGCCGTGCACTCGGCCACGGTGAAGGGGTTCTCTTCCTCGACCTCGTAAGCGATCAAATCGACAGTACCACCACCGCAATCGACAATCAGCACAGCGTCGTGCACCTTCAGGTTCAAAAGACCAGTCTTGGAACAGAAAATGGCGGCCGCCTCGGGCTCGGAAACTAGCGTCAATCGGTTGTCGTTCTCGTCTTTGAGGAAGCCAGCTTGGATAGCAGCGGCTCTGGTCGCGGCCTTGCCAGCATCGTTCCAGATGGCAGGGACGGTCAGGTAGTAGCGGATGTTGCGCTCCTCACGGTTGAAGACCTCGCCGAGGGTCTTTTGCAGGGCAGAGCGCATCGCCTGACGGAGCTTGAAGAGGTAGTCGGCGGCGACATCGATCTCGGACTTGCCAGGGGGCAGAGGGGGCAGGTTGATGGGGTCAATATATGTGTTGCCAGACAGCATAAGCTGCAGCTTGAACCACTCCACCTTTTGCACGCCGGGCTTCGGGTATCCAGTAGGCGCGAGGGCATCGGCAATATCGGGGCCCCAGCCTACAACCTTCTGGTACTGATCGTAGTAGAGAACCGTGGGGATCTAGGACAAAGAACCGTTAACCAAGGACGGACAGGCCAGGACGCGGGGTTCGGGGGCTGTTTCCCACCTTTTGCTTCGTGTATGATCCGGCGCCAGGCCATTCCGTAATAATATCCTCCTTCGCTTCGTTGTTCGTGGCAAAAGCAAAGGCCACGCCGGAGAAAGTCGTTCCCTGGTAATTCATGTCAGCAACCGAACCAAAGCACCACAGGGGGTTTTCCGACTCGACGAGCGACGTACAAAATCGATACCGACAATCAGCTGGGCCTTACTCCTGCTGTTGCCCTCAACCTCGGCCGCATTGCCTCCACGCTGGTATTGCGCCATGGGTGGGCCCTGAGGAGGACCCTGGGGAGGGTAGCCGCCACCACCGCCGCCATACTGAGGAGGACCGCCCATCGGATGCCCCTGACCACCGACGGGAGGAAGTTGAGGCGGGTAGCCGGCGACGGGAGCGCCGCCGGTGTTGATGGGCGGGGGACCGCCAACCATCTGGCTGGGCGGGGTGCGAGCCGGGCCGTGACCGGTCATAGGGCTTGTGCGGCCCATGGGAGGAGGACCGCCGGGAGGGTAGTTGGCCGAGTAGCTCGGTGGGCGATTGCCGGAACCTGGGTGATTCATCGGAGCGATTGAGGCGGACGATGTCGAGGCGATCGAGCCTGGTCGGACGGGAAGTTGCTGCGGTATTTGAGGGGCACCGGAAGGGTGACCACCTTGTGGAGGAGGGGTCGGGCTGGAAGTCTGGTTCGGGTCGGGCGTTTGGATGCTGGCAGTTGACTTGCGTTTACCGAAACCAAAGCCTTTCAGGCGGGAGTTGGAAAAGCTCATAAGGGAATATTGGGGGAGGAAGAAGAGAGGGGAGAAGAGCGAGGGCCCAGGTGGGCAGGACGAGCAGAGGGTATATCCTTTAGGTTGCAGGCGTCGGCAGCCGTGCGGTGCGGTGCGGTGCAGTTCCAGCAAGTTGGTGGTAAGGTTGTGGTAGTGGTGGTGGTAGTAATCGGCGGGATGATGGCCTGGGCTTAGACTTTTAGGACTTGGTGCTACGGCTGCCGGGCTGGGGCTGGGGTGTCGAGGTCGGGTCTGGGGAGTGAAAGAGGGGAGGGGAGGGCGTGTTCGAGACGGAACAGAACCCAGGTAGGTCTGAGGAGGGAGTCAGTCAGTCAGTCAACAAATCTGTCTAGTCAGGACTTGGGGGGAGAATGGGGAGGGGGAGGGGGGACTGTAGGACTTGGGGACTGGGACTGGGGACTGAAGGACTGAAGGACTCAGCTGTTGCGACGGTTCGGGGGTTTGGGGCTTGACGCTTGACGCTTGAGACAGGACGAGGGCTGGAAGGTGGGAAGGGTAGGGGGGCAAAGGTGGGAAGGGGTGAGAAAATAGAACTGCGCTGCTGGGTGAGTGCGAAGTGGAATTGGGGGGTGTGGAGGGGGTGGAGTGCGAAAGCGTGGAGCGTGGGCCAGTCACTGGTGTCAAGGTGAGGTAGTATGTGGCCGTAGGCGCTTCAAACGAAATCCGCCGTTCCTGGGACGATGCGGTGCGGACAAGGAGCAGTGCAATAACTGAAGAGCATAGCGGTTGTCCGTTGCAGCGCAGTAAAAAGAAACAGGTGCCGCAGAAAAGACCACCACAGCCAACCGCGACGAGCGCGTCAAGAAAGGGATCGGGGAGGGATACGAAGGCGGGCGGGCCGGCGACTGTACTGTGAGAGGAGCGGCTGGGATGGCGACCGGCCGACTGGGGTGGGTATGGTTTTCCTCTCTCTCTTTTTCGGCTCTTCTTTATTTGTTCAGGTGAAGTGGAGTGACGATTGTGAGGAGGGTAGAGGCACCGGGAGGGGACGACGTGGTATTGGGAGCAGTCGCAACAAAATGGAGATGTTTGATAGGTACCTTATCCGTATCTTGGTGAGCTGACCGTCGTAACAGCAGAGTCTTTGGATCCAGACGCCGGTATTAGTCGTGATTATGCGTGTTTGGTTGAGATATCGCCGAGAAAAGAGGAGGACGGTGTTAAGAGCAGGAGGACTACGAGGACGGGCGGGAAGATGGAGGATAAGGTCGTGGAGAGGCAAGCAGTCAAGCAGGCGCTGGGTTATGCAGAGGAGGGCGACGAGAACGAGGGATGAACGGCGGTACCGCACGAGAGCCTGCTGAACGCTCGGAGACCGGAATACTGAAAGACTGGAGACCGGGGGGCTGGAGTAAGAGTGCGAGAGTGTGAAGGGGGGGGGGGGGGGACTGGAGCTTCTGGCTGTTCCCGCAGGCCGTACGACACTGACACACTGGATGGCCCAGGTCTAGACGGGATATCGGATCAGTCAGAGACGAGTTTGCTTTGTCTTGGAGCCGTGCTTGTCGTTTCTGCCTTCCTACCTATCTCGGGTCCTTCCCTCCCTCTTCCGTTTTTCTGCCTCACATTTGTTGCTTACCATTCCCCGGTCCCCCAGCTTGTTTGCGTGTTCGTGTTTTACCGGAGCTATCGCATTGCTGTCGTTTTCGAGGGGTGCTGACGGGATGGGGATGGTGAGAGCTGCCCTGTGCCCGCTCTGTGCTGTCCGAGGCAAGTATCTTTGCACGTTATTCCGGCACGGAGTGACTTTGCAGGATCCAGGATCACAAAATGGCCTCGGTGGCTGATGCATCGCGCCAGCAGCTGACGGCACTAAAACGAAGCCTGCGGGTGCGCTAGGTGGAGTCACCCAATACGCCCCCGGCTCGCCCTCTACCCTCTGGGCAGTGTAAGGCTGAGGGCACACCCAATCCCGCCTCTCGATTGGGCTGCACTGGATTAAACTGGCCTGCAGGGCGAAAAGGGCAGTGCGGCGCGGTGGGGAAAATGCTGCTGCTACCGCTGCTTTCTGTTTCTCTGCTCTCGGTGTCTGAAACCGAGGTATGTGTGCATGTATGCGTGTATGTGTATGTGTGTATGTGTATGTGTGTATGTGTATGTGTGTATGTGTATGTGTGTATGTGTATGTGTGTGTGGGAGACTGAGAGTCTATGTGTGTATCACCCAAGTATCCCCCACTCAGCCGATGTACGAGTCACTGTCGTTCGTTGCCAGGCATGGAAGGCGCCAACTTTCTGTGCATGTCAAGACACATTATGACTGTCGGATCGTCGTCTCTTGTGCGGTCAGATCAGATCACCGAAGGGTTTCGTCCCGTCTCTCATCGCCGTTGTCATTGTCGGGGATCTGGGACAAGGGGAGGGGCACTCGCGCTGGCAGCTCCCTAAACGAGGCATCGCGAGACTGGCCTTTGGCCGTTGCCCGTATCAGAGGACGGCAGACATTGGACGACGTCCATGGGGAACGGGGTAGTTTTTTAGAGTTTTTTTTGTGGTTTGTTTTTTGGTCTGCCAATGTCCACATTGAACACTCAGTCACCCAGACAATGCGAGCGGCCCGAGGACGGCAGACGGAAAGCTGAGGCCGGACCTTAGAGCTAGAGCTGGGTGTCTCAACCCCGGATGCTCTTCAAACAAGAGATGCAAGCATCCAGTGAGACGGGCTCAATGGGAAGCCTCGCCAGCCCCCGCCAGCCCGTTCCGATTACAGCCAAGAGAAGCATCCCCAAAATCTTGATGCCTACGAGGAATACTTAACCTTGCCGTTCCCGTCAGAGGTTCCTGACGGCGGCTGACATGTCGCAAAGAAGCCGCCCAAGGGCCGTGGGAGATGCCAGTAGCATGGTGACCTTCTCTCCAGTCTCGCGGAGAACCGGGACGGGCCTCCGGGTGCCTGTATCGGGTCCCCTTAAGGCAGGGCTATATTGGACTTCATCGTTGGCTTGCGAAGTTGGGTTACTGCAAGGAAGGACCCTGGCATCTCGTCAACCCTCTCGATGCATCCGTCAGTACGGCTTCGGTCCTTGACCGTGATCCAGAGAACTCTATGTAAGGCCCCAGGCAAGCCATGACTGCAAGCCATTGGCTGTCTTGGGCACGGCTGGCTAAGGGAGTCGGTTGTGCGCGTCATGAGGCACAGCGTTCACCGCAGAAGAAACATGCCCCGCCCTTTGGCGTCCTACCATGATGTTTTCACGAAATCATTAGCACCCAGGCAACCAAGGTTCCTGTCGTCCATGTTTCGTCGTTGCCAACGAACCGGTTTTGAGTTCTCTTCTAGCTTGCCGGGATGCGGCATCTGGCCCAGCATAACCTACCTGGGCCGGGGTGGATCACCATTGACTCAAAACGGAGGGGCAGAGAGACGGCCCGTGAAAAGAGTCTTACAGGCCGGAGAGCGGGATGCAGGACTTTTTGCGTAGGACTTTTCCCCCCAGTCTACGAATACCTACCTGGACGGTACATGGGTGCCGAGAAGGATTCCACATGCAGTTCGCTCGCCACGAAGGACTTTCTCTTGGCCAGGACTTCCAGCCCTTTCGATGTCAGAGCACTTTTTCTCCCTCGCTCGGGTTTTCGTGCCCACGTCCTTCCTTTCTTTGGGAGAACCGTTGACTATCGAATCGGCCTTGCAGTTGCATGTTGCCTGCTACTTGGTTGCAAGAAAATCGTGCAACAATCTACTCTTGTCCTTGAGTCGCCAAGCCGGTCCGGTCCCTTTGTCCTAGAAAACGGAACAAAAAAGGCAGTAGGGGGGGGGGCGATGTACCTGTACCTTGTTTTTTTTTTGTGCTTACCCCGCCAGATTAGGTTGGGCCTGTCCTGCCTGCTGCTTCCACCCTTTGCGCAGCAGCGCCGTGTCAGGAAGTTCCAGGGCTCGCTCCTCCCCTCCTCGAGGTTCCTTCCATTTGATGTTCTCCTGGCTGAAGAAGACAAGATGGAAGCCAAGAAGCAACCTAATTACTCCCCCGTTGGCTTCATAGCCCAATGTAAGCCAACGAACTTCAGCCTGACTGTTTGCGTCGTCATTTCCCGAGTGCCGGGATGCTGAAACCGACGCTGACTGTGACATGGCAGATTGTCTTCCCACCTCCATCCACAGCGAATCCATCGTCGAGCAAAACGTCCGCCAACGGCAAGGGCAGTGCGCGAGTCCGAACGTTCCACACAATGCTGATGGGCGCATCCAGCAAAGGTGGGGGGTGCGAAGGATCAGTCCTGTCATCCACCATTTCCTATTCACACTTCGTGTTGCCGTCCGCCTTTCGGACCCCTTCAGCACTTCACATTCACTCTCTCGGACTCGAGGCCCATGCGCAGGTTCCGGAAATGGCGACCGGGTGCTGAACCACCAGAAATGCCACACTTCCCCAGATGCCGCCTCGCCCAAGGTAGCTAGAGAGAGAGCCTTGCCGGCGTCAGTCGCGACGGCAACCCGCTGGGCCGGACGAACGCCCTAGGCGGCACCTCCAAGCACATCCTCGTACCAAGTTCGTGAGCTAGGGATTCCAATGCTCGACCGCTGAGAGGATTCTCGGTACGAACCTCAAGGGGCGGTACAAGCCCGTCCCACAATGGGGGCAGCCAGGGCGCCGTGAGGCGTAGCACAGTAGGTAGCCATGCTGAGCCCCAGACTCGTCTGATAGGCCCGACAAGGTGCACCCTTACTGTCTCCGTCCTCTGATCGGCGTCCATAAGCTCAGCCGCACAGCTTTTCTCGGTTTGGCAACTTTCTCAGATCCTCCAATTCGTCACTTCGAGCGCTCCAAGAGACTCAATCGTACGAAACTTCGTAATGCGAGGCATCCCTCCCATGAAAGGACGAACAGCCTTCCGATGCCTTGTTGTCCTGCCGACATGTCCAGCAATTACCAGGAGACACGGCAAGTTGCCGGTGTCTTCCTACTCGCCATCGAGTGCTGGCGGGCTCGAGCACGAAAACCGCTGCCAGCGCCCACAATTGATGTTGGCCGGGGCACATTGAGCCTGGCTCAAACCTCTGTTCTCTCTCTTTCTCGCCCTAAATGGTGTTGCAAGGGTCCCATGCAGCGTCGGCTGCGCCGACGCTTTCGCGCCATGGCCTCGGGATCGCGCATCCACGTATCCCAAGCCCTCATTGAGCACTGCCCCAAAGCTCTGGTGTGCTGTTGGTTGTATGGGTCCATTCCCGCGGAGCAGCTCTGAAGCTCCGGATTGGCTCCGGCGAGGCCCGAAGGGTTCCATCAGGGACATGGATGTTCTCTATACTGGACGGAGCACCGGCAGCGTGGACAGGATCCGTTCTCTCCGTCGCCGTGACGTTACGAGCCGGTAAGGCTTTCACGTGGCTGGCGGGGACCCTTCGGCATCCCGGCCGGCGTTGCCGGCTGTCAAGTACCCGGCACGACCAACCATCCCTCCGCAACTGTGAGTCCCGGAGACTATAACTTCAGTCGTCAAGGACCTGGCCTCCAGTGAGATACGGATGTTCACGGTCAAGCTGGTATTGATGAGAGGCGCACAAGGTAGTAATAGCAGTAGATCTGTTTGGATACGACGGGTGATAACAATGATGGAGTCTCGTACCATTTCCTCCTCTTTCCCCATCCGCTCCTCTCGATCAGGTATACTCACACACAGCCTCACGGCGTAACCAAGTTGCCCCGCATGGCAACGGCCCAGCTGCACGTGAGTGAGTGAAGGCATTTGAGGGAGGATTCAGGCCCAATGTCGCGAGGGAGCGTCTGGGACCAGCCTATCATCTCCCAGAGGGAGTCTTCCTAGTTCGTATGGAATGCCGTCGCAACCATCATAACCCGGGCTTGTTGAGGGTGCTAGTGCCCCCCCCGCTACCGTCATTTTGCTTCCTTATCCAAGATGACAGGCGGAATAGAACCCCCAAGCTAAATTTTAGAGCAGCCCCAATTGGTGACCGTCGCCATCTGCTTCGCGCCCGTCAGTTGGATCAATCGGCACGGTATTTGGGTTAAACTCGGGATATCAGAGCAGTCAAACTCTACCCCGTTGACAAGGACGAGTCAGGTACAAATTTGGGGGTCGTGATCCAGACCCAATAGCACGGCTAGCTACTGAACCAGCATGACGTCCCAAGTTGCGAACCTTCCCTCTTGCCATCCGTTTCCGGACACCCTGGATGGCCATCACTACCCACCCGTCTCAGCTGCTTGACTGAGGCTGGCAGGAGCGACGGATGACAAACTGCAGCTCCGTCCATTCTCTCATGATGGCTAGTGTTTCTTTCGAAGTTTCTCTCTTCTCCCTCTGCCACTACGACTCCCTCGACATTCCTTCAGCAGATGCCAAGCCAGGGCGGTATTGACCCCAGGGCACCTGAGACACGTTGAATGTCAGGATATCCCAAGATACGCAACGCCTGCTGATACTTGGCTTGTGGAATGCTGGCCCTGTCGCGTCAACAGCTTTATTAAATCAATCGGACGTCCCGAACCACAGCGACTTACTCTTCATCTTTTTGCACCCATACGAAAGACCCTTTTCCGACAACATGTCTTTCTACCAGGTGAATTTGGCCGCTTTCGTGGCGGGCAATGGATACCTGCTCTACCAACAGTACAAGCGCCAAGAGCAAGAAGCCATCGAAGAGTTGAAGCAGGAGGCGGCCAGTACTGAAGATGGCGCTGAAGCCGGAGACGTTGAGCAACACCAGCTGCTCTCGGAGCCCGCCGTATCACAGGCCGCTGTCCGACAGTTCCAGCTCGACTTCTTCCCCGTCTACGCTCTGGCAGTAGCAGCGGACTGGTTGCAGGTAACAGAAGCGTAACGGGCTCACTGCTTCCGGGCTGACAATGAGGCAGGGCCCGCACATCTATGCCATTTACAAGTATGAGAAGAACATCCCCGAAAAGGTCGTCGCTGCCCTATACGCTGCGGGTTTCGTCTCCGGCGCAATCTCGGCCTCCTTCGCCGGTGAACTCGCTGATCGATACGGCCGTCGTCTTGCCTGTATCACATACTGCGTGACCTACATTCTCACCTGCCTGACGATGCTCACCGATGACCTCTTCATTCTGTTCCTCGGCCGATTCTGCGGCGGCATCTCGACGACCCTTCTCTACAGCGTGTTCGAGGCATGGCTGATCACGGAATACAACCAGCGTGGTCTGTCGCGGACGAGACTCAAGTTGGGCGCCGTCTTCGGTAACATGACCACCATTAGCTCCATTGTCGCGATTCTCTCTGGCGTCGTCGGTGACATCTTGGTTAACACGCTGGGCGGTCGTGTCTGGCCTTTCATGGCAAGCGTGGCATGCTCCGCAATTGCCATGTGGCTGATCTTGGGAAAATGGAAGGAGAACTACGGAACCAAGCAAGCCGGCCCGGCGACGTCGTCCCTTGCAGATGTTAAGAGCGGAATCCAGATGATCATGGGAGACAAGCGCGTCCTGTCCTTGGGTCTGACGTCGACCTTTTTCGAGGGGGCCATGTACCTCTTTGTGTTTTTCTGGTCTGCGGCGCTCAAGAGCGCAAGAACGAAGTCCGGCTCGGATGAGGAGTTGCCCTTTGGACTGATCTTCTCGAGCTTCATGTGTGCTATGATGGGCGGCTCCGCATTCTTCTCACTCTATACCAAGACTCACACCAAGGAGACGACCTCAATCATCCTGATGCTCGTGGTGCTCGTCGTGAGCTGCTGCCTCTCGGCGGCTGTCCTGGTCGACAGCGAGAAGTTGCTATTCTGGGTACTGTGTATGGTGGAGGCCAGCATCGGTGCCTACTTTCCCAGCATGTCGTTCCTGAAGAGCCAGGTTGTCGAGGACGGCGTACGAGGGCGTGTGTACAGCCTGTTGAGGCTTCCACTCAATGTGTTCGTTGTCGTGGCCCATAGCCTGGATGAAGAGGGTAAGTCTTTTGCGCAGAGCCAATAAGGACGACGACGAGCTGACATGAGAACAGGCGACGGTCACCGGAACAGCGTCTTCGTCACTTGTGCTGTGTTACTGATGTTGTCCTACTTCATTGTCAAGAAAAACTTTGATCCAAAGGTTTAAGTATTGGACCGGTATCGAACAACACCACGGACCTAACCCTGCTTTTCTTCTGGGCCAAAGAACCGGCAGCGTGGAGTGATCACATTGCAAGGGAAAAATGTGCTTTTTGGAGCATGTTTGCCACATGTACGTTTACCACGGCATGAGGAATCGAGAAGCATAGGGCATGTATGACCGGAACAACGGCCGAGCATCATAGATAGACTGGAAAATTCTGGAATCTGTCACAAGGAAGCAATCTGTCCTATTCGGTTCGTATGCGAGGCTCCCCCAGCTGGAGGAAATAGTGAGGACCGGGGGATTTGTGAATGCCGCCAACCAAAAGCTGGGGAGGGCCGTCGTGGGCAAAGAGACTCGGGGTTGGGGGCAGGGGCCCGTTCATGTTGGGGGCTCCGTTTCATCGGCTCCCAGCTTTCTTTCCCTATAGGAAATGGTGCACCTGCTTGTTGAGTATTTTAGTGCGACAAACATCGCGTCCTCCTTTCCTGGAAATGTTCCTCGAATTTCTTCACACCGTTTGCATGCCATTGTCGTTGTCGTCGTTGTCTTCACGCTGCTGTCAGACAGCCGAGGAACACCGATCCCGCTCGTGGCGGCAGCCCCCTTCGCAGTGATTGGAGATACTCCAACGATCCAGATTCCAGACCCCGGGCCTTGCAGTTCACACCGCACAGTTAGGCGGACCCTGCAACGCTTCGATAACAATCCGAGTGGTCGACTCAAAACCCAGCCCGGTGCATCCTCCACTCCCAGGAGCCTTTCTCATGCAAGAGAGGCACTCAAGAACCCCCTCAGCGGATGGGAGACGGCGTTCGGTAGACCGTAGGAACAAGTTGCGCGCCAGCCTCCCCTTTGTCGTCTTGCGAATGAATTAATTGTCCCCTTGTCCTTTGCACCTCCTCGTTCCTCTCAACCCAACAACGCAAGCACCCCCCTCTTTGTGGATTGGTCGTCCTATCGCCCAAAGAGCTGGTTTACGTCAATCACCACCGGACTTCGTTCAACAGCATCGCCGGCGAATCAGAGAATAACGGTCTCATCGACTAGACCAACCGCACCACCATCATCGCCGAAACACACCCAAATTACCAAGCCGAAAACCAGGAAACTGGACCTTGAGACAAGGAGGGCAATTGCGTTGCCGACCAAGATTCTGCACCTTGACGTGCCCGCCCACGAGGTGAAGTAGACTAGACCGGCGCTGCACCTTACACTGCAAAGGAAACCCTCGTCACTTCACATTCACACTACGCCCGCCTGCCAACCTCCTCAAACAGGAGGGACTGGTCTGTAAAGCCACTTGTGAGCGGTCGCATGACATTCGACAGCAGACGCTAGTTGGGGAGCAGATGCGACAAAGGGGACTGGTACCGAGCGACGTTGACGCTTGAAATCGAGTAGAGGCGCAGCCGCAAGTCGGGGAGCCCAATTTATTAATACCAAGACAAGCCACCAACCGTCGTCCGACTCGACCGGGACAACGACCACTTGGACACTGGAAATCCCCCGACCGACCTAGATTCGAGACCCAAGACCCGAGACCCGGCGCCAGACTCGGAGGACCTTGAGTCTGAGGTGATCGGCGCACGACCATCACGAGCGATCGAACGGCACTGCAGACGTTGGTGATCCCTCATTCGACTTTCTCCGTACATTTCTCCATCCCGTAAACCCATAATCGTACTTGATCTTATTTCCCGCTAGACCCCGCCGTCGGGCGCTCAACCCACGAATCCACGAAAAAAACTCCACGAAAAGCGCACACGAGGACATCAGAATTTGGCGCAACACCCTTGCAGGGCCGTCTTCCCATTTAGGACCTGGAACCCAGCTGCGCACCCGGGATCCCCATTCATGACCTCATTGGGGGAACAGGCCTGGGTCCTCTTCGTCTATCCGCAGCGTCACACCCGGGAAACTAATTACAGACGGGCCGTTTAAACGTGTCCTGGCTCCTCCAAAGGGCCGAGAGGGAGAAATTCAGCGGCAGAACCACCGTCGCCGCCACTGTCCCACGCCCAGCGCAATCGCCGCACAGGCGCACGCTGCTACGCTGCACTGCACCTCGTAGGCCGCACACAGGGAGACATTTGTCGCTCTTCGCGCAAGGAGAGCCCGTTCTGGACCTTTGGACCTCTCGTCGAAAAAGGAAAAAAAAAAAAAAAGACTCATCTGGCCGTCGTTCCGATCAGGAGTACGGACAAAATCTTCAGGAGAACGCGGGAGATTTCGCAGTGAGGTGCAGCAACGCGCCCGCAGCGAGAACTCTTGCATCCTGAACATAGCAATACCGGCACATTGTCGGCCTACGTCCGGAGGCGAGGCGCCGATTGGCGCGTGGGCGGTGTTGATACTGTTCCTCGAGACCTCGATGGGCGACAGGGCCAACGGTACGATGGGAAGCGACACGTCGACGGCCAGAAACAGCTTCGTCGGCCGCAGTGTGATGACAATGGCCCGGACACTGCTGTAGGGGACATTGGATTTGACGATGATGACAACAGCGCATGCGACGATATGCTACTGACACTTAGCGGTAGCGACACCCCCAAACCCAGCAAGACCAAGACCACCAGCGGCAGCGGCAAAGGTGGCCGTCGACAATCCAAAGCCAAAGTCGGTGATTCGAGACACCGGAGAAGGAGGAGCAGCTTCCTGGTCTCCCATGGGGTCTCCTCGTTTTGGTACGGCCTTTGCTCGGTCGTGTTCCTAGTGCTCGTCCTAGTAAGTACCTCTGCAGCAGTGCAAATTCTCCTCTTTCCATTTCATCAGACAATATTGTTATTTCCACGTCGGTCCCCGTTCGTCACCCCGAATCCACCCTGCAAGCCAACAAGTCATTACCCCTTGTTTTATTTCCTCCAGCACTGTCGCACGCGCGAACTTTCCGCCTGGTTTCTCCCTTTGGTCAAAGCCTCCCCATTTGCCAAATTCCGGCAGGTTCGGTGGCCCGCCCGGGTGGGCGATGGTGGATGGGGACGGGAGCTTCTTCGGCGCAGAAGTGGGTCGCCGTGGGACGGGGGATAGTGTCTCCTGTCAGCGCCCCTGCGCATGCTGTCATGAGCCGCCAGGAGCGTCGAGTAGCGCGTGGTGCGGCCTGGAGGTTTCTCTTCTCCATTGAGCCAAATGGGGGGGGGGGGTTTACCCCTGGGGCAGCACGCGGACTATCACGGGGGCCCAGGTTTCTTGTCTTTGGGGACTTTGGTTGGGGAGCACAACATGGCAGACTCTGGCAGACTCTGGCGACAGTGGCAGGGGACAAGCATGCGACCAGCGAGACTTGGACAGGAAAACTGCAGGCCTGCAGGCGACAAGCTGCAGCAAACTCCTTGGGACTGGACCCAGGAGCCGGACAGAGACCAGTGGACTGAAGGGTGGGAGAAGGGAAAAAACCACCAAAAAACCAACGACTACAACAACCGAGACCACCTCAACAACGATTGAAGCGAGAGGCATCGATGATCGGGAATTCGCCGGAACCAATTGGAGACAACGGAGGGGCCGAAGTTCGACGCTCGGGCCAATGGCGGACGATGAAAAGCTGTTTCCAGCCCCCGAGCTTTTCCCAGCGGCCTAATTCCCTATTGCCTACTGCGCATACTTCCAAGGCCACGGTCGGGACGCTTGACCGGGCGCCGCTGCCGCCTAAGGCCATCATCATGTCTGTCAGTCAGTCAGCCGCCATTTGTTGTCAAGCCTAGCAAGGCATGACGACTGGAGGAGGTTCCAAAGCAAGAAGAAAGTCCCCATAGCCAAGGTTCCTCGCTGCATTGGAGACTAGACATTGGGCATTGGTCGGACGTTCCCCGCAGTCGCGCCCCCCAAAAGTCACAGGTGTCAGTCCTGGGTTCAAGGTTCCCAAGGCCACGCAGCAGCAGTTCGCCTCACATCGCGCATACCAGCGTCGTGGTGCTGCTCGCTGGCTGCATGCACCCGTCAATGGCCGTTCACCAAGCTGCGTCGTGCTGCAGAAGACCCGATTCTCGCCACGCAGCTTGTTGTTCCGTCCGGGCCGAACTCCAAGAAAGGACTGACTTGGACCATTATACGGTACCTTGGACCCGGGCGGTGTCTTTCATGGCCCATTAGCATTCGACATGCAGCCTGACCTGGAGGATCAACATCGTCCTCGGCGAAAGTTTGCCAATCCGTCAATCACCAGCTCCAGCAGGTCCCTTTTTCGCAGATGGTCTCACTCATGGTCTCGGTCCTGGTCCCTGTTCCCTTGCCCACGGCCTCGGCTGGGCTGTTCCCCCCCCCCTCCTCGGCGACGCCTGTCATGGTGGTCAATTGTCAAATGTCATGTCGTGGTCCCAAAATCCAGTCGGCGTCCCAGCTGGGAAAATTCGCGTGTGGCAGCACGAGGCCTGTCACCCCACCACCACCATCATTACCTCACTGCCTCTGGATTTGGATTCGAGGTACTCTGACGCCGGGCCCATGCCTGCCTGCCGCCCTGCTCCATGCTCCCTGCTCCATGGCTAGCTCCACGCGTGCTCCATGCTCCACGTTCTCGCTCCATGCCAGTTGACCCCATCCCCCGTCCATTCCACGGCGATTTCGTCACATACATCATCAGAGCTCCCCCAAAGTCTTTCTCAAGTCTCGCTCTGCCTGGACCTTGGACTCTCTGCTCCGTTGCTTGTCTTTTGGTTTCTTTTTCCTTGTTCAATACCACAATTTCTTCCCTCACTCCCCATAACCCTACTTGGTCTGCTCCAACCCAATCCATCCAACCAACCTTCTAGCCAATCCTCTTTCTCTCTCTCTCTCCCCGCCCTCCACCTCTCTCTCGCACACACTCACACATACAACGGGGATCCTCCTGCAGCTCTTGGACTAATTTGTCTCCTTCCTCAATCGCACAGCTCACACAGCTCCTCCTACGCGACGCCAAGCTCCTACCACCGCACTTCCAGCTGCAGCTTCGCACTTCCTTTTTCCCCTCCCACCACTTCTTCCACCCATCTCCTCCGTTCTTCTCTCCCTCCGCCCAAATCTTCCAGGAGCCCGTCTGCGAGAATCCAGCGCCCTTCCCTACCACGCCACCCATCTCGAGACCTCTCACAATGGCGCTCGAAGCAGAGACAAAACGCGTTGTCGACCAGTTCGAGCTCTCCGATGCCTACATCAACGGTGCAGTCAAGGAATTCCTCGACCAGATGCGTAAGTTGCTTGCCCCTCCTCGACGAACTATGCCACCACCACCGCCTGTGCTGCCATGCCTGTCTGTGCGCGAATAACTTCTGCGCTCATCTTCTCCCGTTAGACAGACAGACAGTGACGTGGGCAGTCTTTTTTTGTCACCCTAGGAAGAAAGAAATTGACTTTCGTGTTTGCTTGCAGACGATGGACTCCAAAAAGATGGAACCAGCATGAGCCAGATCCCGACCTACGTCACTGGCGTGCCCAATGGCACTGAAAAGGTAATTTTGCGCGGTAACGCAGCTTCGCATGGCTGCTCCCCAACAAAATGCGGCGGCATTCCTCGTACTGACGCTTGTCGCAGGGCCTGTACCTCGCCGTCGACCTCGGCGGAACCAACTTCCGCGTGTGCTCCGTCCAGCTCAACGGCGACACCACCTTCAACCTCACCTACAGCAAAGTTGCGATTCCCAAGGAGCTCATGGTCGCCAAGACCGCCGAGGAGCTCTTTTCCTTCCTCGCCAAGCAGATTGAACTCTTCCTGCGCGAGCACCACGCCCAGCACTTCGAGCAGCACGTGCGCCGCCGCCAGACCTATAGCGCCCCCGAGGGCTACCGCGACGAGCATGTCTTCCGTCTCGGCTTCACCTTCAGCTTCCCCGTCCAGCAGCTTGGCATCAACAAGGGCAACCTGATCCGGTGGACCAAGGGCTTCGATATCCCTGACGCTGTCGGCAAGGATGTCTGCGCTCTGCTGCAGACCGAGATTGACAAGCTGCATCTCCCCGTCCGAGTCGCCGCTCTTGTCAACGACACTGTCGGAACTCTCATGGCGAGGTCCTACACCTCCACCGGCAAGTCGGGCTCCATCCTCGGCGCCATCTTCGGCACCGGCACCAACGGTGCTTACCTCGAGAAGCTGTCCAACATCCAGAAGCCCATCGTCGGCGATTACGAGGCGTCAACAGGCGAGATGGTGGTTAACACCGAGTGGGGCTCTTTTGACAACCAGCTTAACGTGCTGCCCAACACTCCTTGGGATATCGCCCTTGACAAGGCTAGCGTCAACCCCGGCATCCAGATGTTTGAGAAGCGCGTCTCTGGCATGTTCCTCGGCGAGATCGTCCGTCTGACCATCCTCGACATGCTCAAGGACGAGAAGCTGTCCCTATTCAAGGACCAGAATTCTAGCTTCAACGACTGGAAGTCAACGACCGATATCAGCCCCCAGTCCAGCATGTTCCAACAGTGGGGTCTCGACAGCGCCATCATGTCTGTCGCTGCCGCTGACAACACCCCCGAGCTGTCGACCCTGAGACAGGAGCTGGAGACTATCCTGCACGTCTACACTCCTTCGCTTGAGGACGCCCAGGCTTTCAAGGCCGTCGCAGGTGCTGTCGGCCGCCGCGCTGCTCGCCTATCGGCGGTTGCCATTGGCGCCATTGTCCTCCAGTCTGGCAAGCTTGACGACCCTGAGGAGGAGGTCATCGACATTGGTGTAGACGGCAGCTTGGTCGAGCACTATCCCTTCTTCCGCGACATGATCTACGAGGCCCTGCGCGCAATCGACGGCATCGGAGCCAAGGGAGCCGAGAAGATCCGCATCGGCATTGCAAAGGACGGCAGCGGAGTCGGCGCCGCGCTCATCGCCCTTGTGGCAGCTGGCATGGAGAAGGAGGGCGACGTCTTGACCGAGTTCAGACAAAACGTCAAGAAAGAGCTGGACTCTATTCCTTTACCTCGTAAGTTGCTACTCACCGATGCTACCGAGAAGAGGCGCCACGTCGACTGTGACGATATTCCTGCCGTTGTGCATTGCGAGACCGCTGGCTAACCACGCTTTCTGCGTTTTCTTTTTATAGGCGAAGAACTGTCGACGACCAACACTGCTTTGATAATCGGTGGCCTTGTGGGTGTTGCAGCCATTGCGGCCGTATGGTGGTCGCGTTACAACCGTCAATCATGATCGATGTGGCATGGAAATAAAGGGGATACGACAAAGGGGGTTGGGGAAACGATATGAACGAGACTCATTCGAGATGAAATGAGGGAAGTGGGCGAAAACGCATTTCGGGGAACGACCAAAGGGAAAGAGCCGCTGCAGCAGCCCGCACGCGACTCTCTCACCCTCTGCAATCCCCTCTTCCATTTGGTCATTTTTTCAGCATTGGGACATTCTGTGGTCGAACTTTTTTTTCTTTTCTTCGTCTCATGATTCCACAAAGGGGCAAAAACGGAGTTGGGCTATTGAGCTTGAGCTGAGCAAATGCTTCTTGTTTGTTCAAAGCTGTATAACTGTATGAGTCTTTTTTCTTTCCTTCATCTAAAGTAAAGTCAATGTCTATATTAAGGGTGGCCTGTCGCGGCCACCCCTCTTTTTTGGGCATCCTTCTTGTCCCATCTTTATCATGCTACATCTGTGCTTCCCAAGGATGTGATGGTCCGGGGTTTATGGTTCTCAAAGCGTGGTGTTTCAACCAAGAGCAACGGCACCAAATGGACCTGGTGGCTCATCTGTGGTCTAAACGGAACTGCGACTCACTGATGGACCCAAGAGAGCATTGGTTGGCAGTGACTGATAACAGTGCCTTTCCAAGGCTGTTCGACCCTCGAGCCCGTCTGGCCAGTCGTTTGCTGAGCGTTTTATTGCGTCTGTCGGGCCGCTTCCTGACCTCTAGCCCTGGAACGCCGCGGCGGGGTACGATCTGTCCCTCTTCTTCCTCGCCGTGGAGTTGCTCCTCGAGCTCGCTCCCGAGCCGCCGTTGCTCCGGGGAGGAGCAAGCAAGCCCGACGCCATATCTTCGGGCAGGTCGTTCCACTCTGTCGCGGCGCGGCGATTCTGGAAGGACTGACCGGAGGGGGTTCTCGCGGGTGATTCGCCAGGGGCCAGGGGAGGACCGCTGCTCATGGGAGGGAGGTTCGCAATCGCGGCGGTGGGACCGGGGACAGGCGCAGATGGCTTCTCAGAATGCTGCCCCCCGCTGCCGATTGACAGCGGGCCGACAGCGCGGCGGACGATCCAGGCCGAGTCTGGACGCAGCTTGATGTAGTATCCTTGCAGCGGCTCTCCGTAGCGCTCAAAGCCCCGGGCGGCGTACCAGTGCATGCCCTCTTCATTGTCCGTCCAGACGTGGGCGTAGATGTGACGGAGGTTGATCTCGGGGGACGACGCTGCGGCGGCGGCGACCAGATGGTCGATGGTGGCAGTCGCGAGGCCGTAGGAGCGGTAGGGGGAGAGAAGGGCAAGGGATTGGATATAGAGGGCGTGTTCGGGGCGAGCGCCTGGCGAGGCGGGCGGAAAGGGAGAGGATTCGATGCAGGATACGACGCCGCCCACGACCTGCTCTGCGCCCGGAGAGGACGGGTCGGACCAGGTTATCACGCGGGCGAAGGGGCCTGTGAGGGCAGCGGCATAGAAAGTCTCGGGGTAGGCGACGGGCAGGAGGAGTGAGTTGATGCGACGGAGGGGTTGCAGGTCGTGGTCGTCCACGGGGCGGATTGCGGCATTTGGATGAATGGGCACTGATGCCGCTGCGGATGGTGCCGTCGTCACGGGTGGTGATGTTGTGGTTGTTGGCGGGGGAGGTGTTGTCGGTGTTGAGGCGGGGGGTTTGGCCGCGGGGGGAGGAGGGGCAGTGGGAGCTTCCGTCGACGAAGGTGCGGGCGCGTACTTTGATGACGACGGCGGGGGCGCGTAGGTGGGTTGTTGACGAGGTTGAAAGAAGGACTTTATGGACGACTGCGTCGGCTTCATTGTCGTGGTCTGAGGAAGTGACATGCTGGTCCTTGTGGCTTTGGGGGTGTTGCGCGTTGTTGGAAGCCGAGTCGAGGACGACGAGTATGGATGTGTGCAAAGAGCGTGAGGAATTGAGGGGTGGACGGATAGCTTGGATGGGAGTCCACGAGAGATAATTACAGGATGTCAGAGGCGCATATTCTCACGCGTGCGGCGGCAAGGTCTGGTTCGAGGACATGTGATGCCGTGTGTCAGTCCGGGGACGGCGAAAGGAAGGACGAAGAGAGGCAAAAAAATATAAAACGGAAAAAAAAACAAGAGAGGTTTCGGACAGAATGTCTCTGAATGGTTGCGATTTTTTCTTTGGCTGCAGGCGACGGACTGGGAAGTGAGGTTGGGTGCAATGCACGTCGTGACTCGGTTGGGGGAAGGACTCCCGGTTGGTTGGATGGTCGGTGCTTCCCCCCCTTGGTGTCCAGGGACAAAGGTGAGAGAGACACTTTCCTCAGCAAACTGGAGCGAACGCTCTGAAGCGAGCGGGTGCAATGCAGGACACGCAGGGCAGATGCGGTCAAAATGCGGTATTGAGGCTCCGGCGGGAAGGCGGCCCCACCGGGTCGTCCCAGAATACTGACCACTTGTGACGGCTACTGAGGTGAGCAAGCAAATGCAAGGCGAATCGTGTCAGATTTGACGCCAGTGAGCCTAGGTCCCTAATTCGGAAGGACTGGGTCGGGAAATTCATGGATGGCTCGGATGGGTTGATCCAGGCCCGTTGCTGTTTGCCAGTACCAAAAACAAGGGGTTATGGCGATGGGGTTTTTAGTGCTATTTGCTGAAAGTGGACTTCCGCTCTGTCAATGAGCCAGCCAGCAGAAATGTGTCCACCGATGACTGACTGACTGACTTCCGTTCAAGCAGCCAGCAGCACCTGCAGGAAGATCCCAATGGCGCACTTGCAGCCGATGCGATTACGTGCTGGGCGGTCAAACCCGAAGGCGAACCTGCTCCCAGGTGCTGTTCTGCCGGCTGGGGTGGCATCGCGGCCACGGAGTCCGAGTCCCCTAAAATGGCTTTAAAGGGGGGAACTAACTCAGGCACATGCATGCGCTGATGGGGACACTGTATCCGCTCAGTGGTTGATGGTATGGAACGATGGTATGCGTACCCTTACGACGAATTCAACGGCCTGGGCATGTCTTCTGTTCTGCACAAGCTGGATGCAAATCTGCCGATACTGCCAGTGATCAAGTATCCTCTCCTGATGTTGCGGTTTCGCTGTATTGTCCAACGCAACTGCAGCGGCTTCCAATTGGACACACCTGAGGGATTTGAGCCCGCGTCGTTTGGCAACTCGTCCGTCCGAGATCGACGTTGACGACTCAGGGAAAGTGCGCTCAGGCGGCTCCTCCTCACTGTACCTGCGCACGCAAGTGACATGCTTACATGATTTTCAAACAAACCGAGGCGGAGGTGATCTTTCCCATATCCTGGCCACTGGGTCACTAACCTGTCCCCGTCACTTAAATTCCAGTTGTCCATTTAATTATCCGGGGTTGACCCAATCTAGAGAGACAAGTGCGCGAAGAAAGGTAGCTGCAGTGCTGTGGCCTTTGCAAGGTTACTCTTTCCCGTAGGTGTTCCCTTACATTACCTCAGGTTAGCAGCAGTTTGGTAATCCGGAAAAACTGCCCAGTTTCCCATCTGTCAAGGCATTTCGCCATTGCTGTTGTACCCTTTTTAAGGTACTTCCCGTCAGCAACGCAAGGTTCTGAACTTTTTTTCTCTCGGCCGGCAGTACCCTCTTCGCAGCAACCACCCCCCTCGTCCGGTCGTGTGGCACCTTCCGTATTTTAGTCCCGTCAACCCGATTTCAGATCGATTCCACAATCCGCAACCACAACCTTTTCTGCACGACAAACGAAGCTTTCCGCCGTCTGAGGCTGCCGCGCGATCACGACGGCATTTCTCTCCCCTCAGCCTTTGTGCGCCGTTCCGTCGGCCTCGTTGAGATGGCTTCCAACACTGGCAAGGCTGGAGTAATCGTCGCTCCAGATGATGTTGGCAGTATGGACAAGCTTGTAAGTGCGCTTCGATCTCACGATCTCCCTCCCTCCGTCCCACCCCAGCTTCACCTGGACTCCTGTCCCGACACATGGGTGAACTGGGCGACTTTTTGCCGTGGCTGATGAAATGATGTGATGCTGACCGCAGTCTGTTATCCGGCAACAGGCCCACGCCGTTCTTGACGACCTCATGTACAACATCGTCCACGATTTGCTGCTCAAGGTCCACCGCGACGAGAAAATGGCGAGAGCCACCACCGCCGCCATTCGTGTCGAGAAGCTGGCTTCCGATGCATCAGAGAGCTCGACCCCGGAATCAAAACCCGACGTGCGAATCGAGACCGACGCTGCCATATACGAGGACGGCAAAGTGTTGCTCAAGGGCAATCCCCTCAAGACCACCTCCGAAATCCTCTGCCCGAGATGCCACCTGCCACGCCTGCTCTACCCGACCGACGGAAAGGGCGCGAAAAAGCCCGATCCCAGCGTCATCTACTGCAAGAAGCACCCCTATATCGACAAGCCCGGCTACGACATTTACGGTCAAACGTGGGTTCAGCCCGGCCCCGGCCGAGGCAAGAAGAAGAAGGACATGAAGCCCGACCCGAACATCGAGTCGCCCGCCCCCGGCGAATCGCGCCCGCCCAATGTTCTCTCGTTTCCCTCTGCAACCTGCAGCAAGTGCAAGCGATGCATTCTCGTCACGCGGCTCAACAACCACATGGGCTCCTGCATAGGAATGAGCGGCCGTAATGCGAGTCGCGCCGCGGCGGCGAAGATCTCAAATGGCAGCAACGGCGCTAGTCAGGGCGACGGCACGCCTCCGTCGAGCCAGAAGGCTACGCCGGCACCCGCGTCGCGGGCCTCGAGCCCCAAGAAGCGTGACAGCGAGGAGGTGGCGGTCCCCGAGGAGGAAGACGAGTCGGCCGACAGCCACAGGAAGAAGAAGCTCAAGTCCACGCCCTTGATGACGAAGAAGGTCATCCTCAAGACAAAGGGCCCCAAGAAGGAAAAGGTCAAGTCGAGCTCCCTGCTGAGCCGCGAGGCAAAGCCCGATGATGGCGACAACTCGACCGTCGAGGTTGCGCCCAAGAAGGAGAGGAAGGAGGCGAAAGGCATCAGCCCGGCAAAGAAGCTCAAGCTCGGTGCCGCGAAGCCGCCGTTGTCCTCTCCCCTCTCCAAGAATGGTCGGAACGAAGACGCCGAATCCGAGTCATCTGGCACACTGTCGTCGCCGCCAAACTAGAAGTCTGGTAGTACTGCCAAGAATCGCAACCCGGTCAGCTCCCCACACCCCGTGCCATCGGTTTCGTCGTTCAAGTCGCCGTCATCGTCCTCGGCTGACGGACCTGCGAAGCAATGCACCTTCGACTCCAGCAAGAAGAAGACCACAAGCATCAAAACTGAACGGAGGATGCACCAGCCCTCGGCCAAGGGCAAGTTCTCTCCCAAGGAGCCCTGTCTTAAGAGCCAGACTGCCACCAAGGCCCCCGCTGTTGCCACAAGCCCGCCTGCTGTGAAGGGTCCTCTCGCCATGGAAAACCAGTTTCGTGTCAAAGGGCAACCCATCACTGAGGCCCGACCTGCTACCGAGGCCCGAAAACGACCTTCAGACCGCAACGAAGACCAGGCTCACGAGAGGCGCCGTTCCTGACTTATTTATCTCTTTGTTTACTCTATCAATTTTTTCCTTCACCCATGGCCTGATCCCAGCCGCAGGTCAGGATGAAGATCATCCTCAGGTCACAACATACCATGACCAGAGAAGTTGTCATGGGTGGACCACAGATGTCAGATACCAGACTACACATTATCACCTTGTATTCATCACAAAATTTGATTCTCCAGCACGACTGTCACCAACACTTGATACACGACACCCACAACATTGCATGGTTCTAGGAGTCAGTCGGGGAGGGTTCTCTAAAGGAATGGGGAGGTTTCCCCCATACATTCTCGTGCATCACCCGGCGAGGCAGATGGCGGCGTTTAGAGATTGCGGTTACTATAGGCATTGACCGAATGACATTGATTCCCCCTTTGGCTTGAGACTATCGTCCTTGGGCCTTGTTGTGTGACTTGTGATATGTTTTGTGGAAGACGAAAGACAAGTACAAGCAGGGCAAGCATAAACCTCGGCCTCTCCGTGTTATCTCAGTCATGCCTCTAGTGCTTGATCGTACTTCCCTGACCTTCCTAGGTTTCGCCTGATATCAAGGTAGGATGAAAATAGGAAGGCGGGACGGCGTCATGGATACGAGTATAGGAACATGCGAAACCATTTTCCTTCTGAATTTCCTGGTATTTGTGACTTGATATGGTCCAACTGTGTCTTTTCTATGACCCAACGCCAAACTCCATGCCATGCAAAAAAACCATCGAGAACCCACTACTGGTCGTCGGCACCGCCCTCCTCAACAACAGACGCCCTAAGGATCTTGACCTCCTCCAAAGGCCTGTCCTCCGGCCCCGTCTTGACGAGCCCCATCCTCTTGACGACACTCAGTCCGTTCTTGACGCGCCCGAAGATGGTGTGCTTGCCGTCCAGCCATGGGGTCGGGGCCAGTGTGATGAAGAACTGGGACCCGTTGGTGTCCGGGCCGGCGTTGGCCATGGACAGCACGCCGGCGCCGGTGTGCTTAAGGGAGGGGTGGATCTCGTCGGCGAACTTCTCGCCGTAGATGGAGGTGCCGCCGCGGCCGGTGCCCGTGGGGTCGCCGGCCTGGACCATGAAGTTTGGGATGATGCGGTGGATTATGGTGTCGTTGTAGTAGCCGCGCGATGCGAGGGTGGAGAAGTTTGTGCAGGTTTTGGGCGCGTGGGCGGTGTAGAGCTCGAGAATTATGGTGCCCTTGAGGAGGGGAAGTTAGCGGTTATGCTTTCACAGTGCTGGGCATTGTGCCTGGAGGGGAGTAGAGCGGGAAGGATTATGCAAGTAGACGTACCATTGAGGTCTCGAGAGCGACATTCGTAGTCATTATGGCGGTTCTTGTGCGGGTGGCTGCTCGTGAAAGGAAGGACGTTACGTTGGTGGGATGTTTGGAGGGGCTCGAGATTATTTTAGACGAGGCTGCGATGTCGATTTGCGACTGCGGTGAGGTTTGCGGTAGCCATTGCGCTCGCGCGGCGGTGGCCAGGGGAGCTTCAGCCACCTCCCGGCAGCCTGCTGTTGCGCTATTGGTCAGAGTTTAGGGGGATTGGCGGGAGAGCTGAGAGCTGCAAGGCGCTGTGGAGCTGCAGCATCCCCCTCGCCCCTGCTGTGTCCCGTCCCGTACCTTGTTACCGCATCATTGCATCTCACGGCCGCTCTTCTGACCCGGCGCAAAGCGACTCCTGTAGCAGCGCTCACACCGCACGGATTGTAACCCTGGTCTTGAGCAGCTGGCTAAGCGGAAGGTGCGACTTTGCTCGACAAAAGAAGACAACTTCCTCTGGACGTCCGGCGTTCCTTTGTCAAGCGACTGAGGAAACCAACCAGCAAGCCAGAGAGGCAAGAAACGGAGCCAAAAAGAAAGTGACTTATCCCGTTCGGCGGTACTGCTGGATCTTGAGAATCGAGTTCTTCGTCTCGCTAGTAACACGTTGTCGTCTTTCATCAACACTACACCAACCCAACCGGCCGTTGGACGACTCTTCAGAGACCTGACAGGTGGCTTTTTGCATTCAGAGGTTGCGCTTTTTTCTACAACAGAGTATCTTTCTTTTGGTATTCGACATTCGGCATTCACCAGTTTGGTACTCCTGCCAGGAGGTATATAAACCCCACAACGTTCTGCGAGTTCATCGGTATTAATTCGGCAAGATCTCATCATCGTCATCGTCACCATCATTGATTCTTACAGTGTATCTCTGCCACTTGTAGCACCTTCAGTCCTAGCCGCAACCGGGCGAGGCTCAATTTCACTGCTTCGTCCAAATCTTTCAGCTTCGGATCACGAGCTCGCTGCGGTCAAGATTGGCCTTAACCTGCGAGCATGGCTTCACCAGCTGTCCCCAGTCCGGTCACACCTCCCTTTGACCAAGTCACGCAGAACATTACTGGCAACTTCACCGCCGGCAACGCCACCTCTGCCGTACTGGAATGGGACCTCTACCTCTACGCTAGCTTTTTCACAATGGAGGCTAAGCTCATCTTCAGCGCCTTAGCCACCATATACATTGGCGCTCATGGCTCCCTTCGCCGTCCTCCTTCGGCCGCTCCTGCGAAGCGTAAGGACGGGGAGCGTGAGCGCAAGGAGGACGAACCCATCACTGAGGGTCTCCTGCCCACTGACGCGATTCTCTTCCCCCTTTTGGCCGGCGCTATGCTCATTGGCCTCTACTACCTGATCCAATGGCTCCAGGACCCGGCGATCCTCAACAAAATCCTGAGGGTGTACATGTCTGTTATGGGTGTCGCTAGCTTGTCCACCTTGATCGCGCACTCGCTGCGGATTGCCGTGGGGTTCGTCTTTCCCAACTACTTCCGCCACAACGGCGTGCTGTACCATGTCGACGACGACGATGAATCTTTCATCAAGTTAACCGGCGAGGAGGTGGACCGAAGCAACGCGCAGTTTCTCCAGAAGAGCAACCCATTGCCGTTCGGTCTCCGCTCCATCGTCCCGTTCAACACGATCAACGTCAACCGCTTCCTCTGGGACCTGCGCCATGTCCTGACGGACGAGTGGACAGTCAAGGCTAAGGTTCATAGTCTCTTCCAAGAAAAGTTTCACATCTCCGTCCTCCACGTCATTGGCTTTAATTTGGCCGCCACGGCCGTTTTCACGTACTTCATGTCCGGATCGCCTTTCCTCTCCAACTTGATGGGCTATGGCTTCTGCTACGGTTCGTTCCTGATCATGTCTCCGACAACCTTCGCCACCGGCAGCTTGGTACTGATGGGGCTTTTCTTTTACGACATTGTCATGGTCTTCTACACGTGAGTTATTCCGGCTCTTCACCATGAGCATTGGCTGACCTCTACAAGGCCTTACATGATCACCGTCGCCACCAAGCTCGACGTTCCCATCAAGCTCCAATTTCAGTCTGCTGCTAGATCCAGCATTCTCGGCCTCGGAGACATTGTAGTTCCCGGCATCGTCATGTGCCTCGCCCTTCGATTCGACATGTGGCGCCACTACCAGCAACAAATCAAGTACGTCCCGACCGACTTGAAGTCTGACCAGCACGACGCCAACTCGGGAGACGTCGTCACCGTCAGCGAGACCCAGCATATGGCCCAGAAAGCCACTTACCTTGACATTGCCGGATGCTGGGGAGACTGGTTCTGGTCTTCGTCCTGGCTGGGCCTGCTCAAGGGAGGACAAGCAACGATTCCCCCTACTGTTCGAGGATCAACCTTCCGCAAGACCTACTTCAACGCTTCCTTGGTCGGGTACACCTTGGGCATGCTGGCCACTCTCTGCATGCTGGCCGTCTTCAAGCACGGCCAGCCCGCCCTATTGTACCTCGTTCCTGGTGTACTCGGTTCCTTGTGGTTCACCGGTCTCGTCCGCGGCGAGCTCAAGGAGATGTGGATGTACACCGAAGACGGCACCCTGGACACGCGTGACGTCGTGGTCGAGCTCGACGGCAACGGCAACGTGGTCAAGGAAATCAAGAAGGACGGCGAGAAAGATCAAGAGGAGAAGGAGAAGAAGGCCGAGGAGGCCAAAGCGTTGGGTGAGAAGAAAGCAGCTGATAAGAAGGAGGCCGAGAAGACCGAGTACAGCCTTGTCGCATTCTCCGTCACTGCTCCGCTTAGAAAGCCGAAGACGCAGTGATTTTAGAAAGAGGCCTAGGAAGAGAAAGTGCGCGGCACACCGAGAAACATGCATTAGGCGGCGTTGAGGCATAGATTCGGATATAACCAGCGGTTTTCCATAACGCATCAGACAACGTTTTCCCCTCATTTGAATCGGTTACAAGAAATGTTCCTTGTCGTGAGGTCTCATGGAGATGGGCGGGCTCCTTGTGTGCTAGACGGTTTGCCACGGAGAGAACCAATGGCCTGTCGTATTTAGGCAACGCAACGAAATGCAATTACATGGCAGGGTTCTTTCAGTACTTTGTCAGACGATACCGCTTGGGAGTACTTAGAGAAGCTGTCAACTTATGACATCACTGGCTTATGTATAGTCGTGTATCGCAGTCTGGGAAGTTTAGCTTCAGTGAAGGATCGCTATAGCCTCAGTGAGTAGCAAAGGGCTTGACTCGTCACAAGCTACTCTGGATTGTATTGGGGTTATCCTGTCAGTTTTGGGTTACCGTCACTGCAAAGGGCATCGGCACTGGGCCCAATGTTTCCCATTTGATGTCTTGAGATGTCTCCTCTCGGGGTCGTAGACTGACCTGCAACTATCAACGGAACGTTCTCTTTAGTGCCACTATGTGCTTTAATCGCGACTGTTGTTCCCCTATTGATTTTCCAGTCTGATTCAGGAGAATATGATGTAATGCAAAAAGACTCAAAAAAGTACAACGTAGCCCCGCAACACAACATGTTCATGCCCACACGTGATTGATGAGACCAAAGTGTTTTTGAGACATAAGTTGGTTGTAATTTGCGTTGGGGGCTCGAAGAAAGCCCCCATCAATTACGTATCCTTCAGAGCCACGAAAGTCAGTAGAAGGGTTGAGCAGCTAGCATATGATAGATACGACGAAGCGAACAGCTCCTGACGCCAACCGCTGGAATCCTTTAAGGTCCCTAGCCCAGAGGTCTTGACTTTGTGTCCAATACCTCTATTTCCTGCTAAGGAACCAAAGTGACAACCGATGTGTCCGCTGGACCACGGATCTCGCTCAAAACTCCGTCGGTCTTTAGCGTCAACATCCGACATACAAAATAAGTCGCTATTAATATATTCACACGTAAATCGTCTTCTTGGCGCTATAAAACCACAGAGACTCTCTGGTTTGCGTGTCTGGATTTCATGATGGGCGCAGCGCTGACGAATGCCAAGTCGTAATACCTAATAAGAGTTTCGTAGCTCGGTGCTGATGAGCATGGTGCTCACTTTTCGTATTAGTTTAAATAATTAGAGTATTCCTTCTAGAGATGAATGAATCAAACTGCATGTCGCCTTTGAAGTTTTCAATCAACACTTTCCATTTCTCATTAAACTATCGTCCACATCTGTCAAACCTTTCAGCCATGAACCAAATATTATGCATTGTGGCTCTGTTTCTTACGTTCGCCGTATCGGCAGCAGCAACAATAGTGCTCACCTTTGCGCCATGTTACGCTACATTCTGTTCGGAACAGTACTTCGACTTCGAAACCAGGCTCCATTTTATTCTCTACTACACTCTCGTTGCAGTTTTAGGCTGCTTCCTCCTCTTACGAGCATACTTTCCATGGGCTCGAACGCTGAGCGGCCTCCATTTGCTACAAGGGACACCACTCACAGGCAAACGCGTTACACTGGGTGGCTTATTGGCTTGTATCTGGCTTGTTGGTCTCACCGCTTCGACGACAATTTTCTGGCTGCCGGCACAGCAAGACTTCTGGGGCCTGCGAGCGGACCCTCTTGATTGGAGCAGTGCGAAAGTCAAACTCACCATCACTGGGGTCACTGGCCACTACTCCGATATCTTGCTGGGGCTTTTGATCATTCCCGTGTCTAGACATAGTCTGGTCGTGAAAGGGCTCTCGCTGCATCGCAGCACGCTGTTGTTTATGCACAAGATGGTCGCATATATGTACTTTGTGGCGGCAACTGCCCATGGAGTCACTTATATCGTAAGTGCATACATCGTTTCAAACGCTTGTTGCATAGATAATCCTGACATCATATAGCTCTATGCAACCGACACCGGCAGTGAGGGGGATCAAGCGAAAGAAGAAGCATTCGCAACGGGTAACCCGGCGATGACCCTCTCAGAAAGTAAACAACGAAGCAGATGGTTCACTATGACCACATATACTGGAATTGCTGCGCTTCTGCCTGTCTGGATCATCATCATCACATCCATTCCCTGGATTCGCAGAAACCACTATAACTTCTTCTACTACAATCACGTTCTCTTTGGTTTGGTCATATTCATTGCAGCCAGCATTCATGCTAGCACTAACTTTTACCTCCTTTTGCCTGGTCTACTTCTATGGCTTGCCGACTGGGCATGCCGGATGTTCGCAGGAGAAGTAGGTGGGTTTCTATCGAAGACAAGTGCGACTCTGGAGAATGCAGGCAACGATTGGCTCAGGATAACATTGCCCCACCGAGTACGAGGGATGGCTTTCACAGCAGAAACGTTGCCTTAGAAGAGAAAGGCAGATCAAATTCTCAACCACTGCTATACTACAGTTTACAGATACCATCCATCAGTAGGTTTCAAACCCACGCCTTTACCGCCGCGATTCCAAGTTCCATTCATTCTTGTCCTGGATTCCTACTACAACCAACGACTGGAAAATCTCAGAAGAGACTTAAAAAAGAATGAACCTGGAAGCTGGCTTCGCTTGTCTCCGATCCCTTCAGCATCAAGAACATAGAGGTTCGAATTGAGGGGCCCTACGGTGTCGGTGACACCAGCTTCGAAACAGCCTCTCATATTGTCTGCATCGTGGGGGGAACTGGCATCACTGGCGCTTGCAGTCTCGCACGCTGGTGGCTAGAAAAACGCCCTGAGAACACTTCGTTTACCATCATCTGGACGGTGAGGCATAGAGAAGCTGCAATGATTGCCGAATGGGCAGACCTCGAGCAGAGTGCTAGTTCCGTGCTGAACCTGACAGCTATCGTACATATCAGTTCAGAAAGTGGCAGAGTGGATCCAACCGCACACCTCCATAATGCCCTTGTTCTTGGCCAACAACCAGTTGCAGCACCGCACGGCCATGCATGGGTATACAGCTCTGGGCCAGTAGGTCTGCTTGAGTCCGTCGAGAGGGCGTGCATTGGTGTTCAGAAACATGTCCGTATTGCTAAGAGCGGGAGAACCACAAGTGCCTGGGCAGTCCAGAATCTCAGCTGGTATATCGCAAAGTGGGAAGCCTGAGGCTCTAGGCAAGTGTGTAAGCACTTATAAAGACTACCGTTTTTATTTTACTTCTCTAGCTCTGCTTTGTTGTTCTATTTGGTACCTAAGTCTTGTTGCATGACCAAGGGCTTCTTGGTATCTTCCACACTGAACGTTTGCTATGCGTTAAACAATAGATTAGTAGTAGGCGCATTTGATTAAAGAACAACTCTTATGACTGTAAAACTGGAATCAATGCCCAGGATCGCACACATTAAATATATACGAGGCCTAAGGTGATTCAAAAGCTGACAGCCAGTCCCTATTATAACATCGTAAATCATGCATGATGACCATATGTTGAGTCCCGAAAGGTTTATAGCTGCGATAACAAGCATTTTGCTCTCTACTGTTGTAACGCATCGTAAAGAAGTACGAACCTTCTTTTCAACAAGTCTCGTGACAATGGGAGAATGGCTAATGTATTAATGTGTTCAGATACCAGTCTGATTTCACTGAACCTGCGATATCCTTACTCCGCACCTTTTCGCCGGTTTCGGTGCCGAACATTCAACGCAGTTTTATCTGAATTCGTGTTCGCGCAGCATAGAGAAGTTTGTGAGGGCTTATCAGATTCTTAACCAACTTGATACACTGGGCTCAGAAGACGACTTGCACTAAAGCCACAATCTGTCATGTAAAAACTGGAACAGCCATGCAACAAAGGAGGGTCCTTGAGGCTATATATGAGTGGTTTTCATGATATCAATCAGAGGGTCAGATTATAGCTATCCTTCATACCGAGTTGTTAGTTGCCCTTTACTCTGCTACACAATACAACACCTCTGGCAAGGATAGACGACTTTTCACACTTAAAGTAGATTTAGCTGCGCATGATGATTTGCATGGAAATGACACCTGCTAGGTGCAGATCTTCAGGGGTCTTTAACCTTGGCAGGAACATGAGTCATGACTGTTCGCATTGGCAATATTGTAGATTCCAAGGTGTAAAAGTCTTATCGTGCTGACGTACTACGTTAAGGTCTAGCAAACAATAAAACCTCAAGTCTATAGATTCAAACCACATAACCATTCGAGTTTAAGCTCAAAGGAGTAGCTGAGTAGAATATAAGGCTACTGCTTATTGCGTAGTTGGACAATGTCCTAGTAGCAGTCTATAGTAGAAATAGCAATCTTAGAAACTCTTCGTATGACACAATACACAACGATAACTCCTACTTTTGGCAACGGTGTCATTTTACTTCTGAGCTGAGGGAGAGCTCAATTCGGCCTGATACTACGGAGTACATTGTAGTTCATGCAGAAGATGCTATTGTCAGAATGCGTTGTAGAATGCAACCGCCCGACCCCCAAAGTTAGGCCGACCGGCTCGGACTCTCGGGTTCATTTCAGCTAAAGGGCGGTAACATTGCACTACTTTACCTTGCTAGCTGTAGTACAGCTTTAAAGGACGCAAAATACTGCATATCTCTCCAATCCGGCCTTTTGAAGTTTTTCCAGACAATATGTTTAGATTGCAAAGTGTCCGTTAGATAGGTCGATTGTGTAGGCCATGGGTGATATGCTTGCAACCAAGCCGGGCCGTTCTAACTCGAAGATGTTGCCGTGCAATGCCACGCCATTGTAGCTTAAGCAGTTTCGGCACCCTGGTAGCAGCTAGCAGTCTAAGCTGGTCGCCAGCGAATGATGTAGATATTATCACAACAGTAGTATAAAAGGCTCCAGGTTTCTCCTCAGTAAAGGAAGGGATTATCCAAACAGCTAAATCAAATCCAACAACAGGTATCTTCTTCAATTCCCGCTCAGCTTTCTACCTGCCTCGCAAACAACTCTTGTCTCATCATACTTCTCAAAATGCATTTCTCAACCACCATCCTCAAGTTTTTCGTCATAGCTATTGCCACATCAAGCGTCACTGTTAACGCTAGATCGGCCCCCGCAATGGTCTTTGCAGCGGCGACCTGTCCGTCAGATGCGTCGATAACGACCTCACGTTGATTTGCTGCGACGATTCCACCTGCTTCAAGTAAAAACAGGCTTGACGTGCCCCTTATGGACAAAGTCGCGTGCTGGATTAAGCAGTTTAGTCTGAATGAGAGCACGGGAACTCTCCTTCTCAGGAAGAAGAAGAGCAAGGGATTCCCGTTCCTAGGAATAATACAGACAAGGGGTTCTTACTTCGTACGCAGTCAGACCCTAATCTGCCATCTGACTAGCTAATCTCTGTTGCTGTGCAAGCAACCTGCTCATCCTACTCGCGCGACCTTAAAGCGGCGGGTGATCAAGCCGTACCTGAGACTCATAATGGCTCATAAATCAAGTCCAACATGCACAGCGCGCCAACTACGTGTCAGTATGTGATATACCTTGGTATGTGTGCGCCAGTTTTCCCCGTCATTGCTAGCCACAGAGGAAGCGGGCTTGGTCGCGATGGAGACCAAGTCAAGATTCGTTTTCCACGCGAAGCATTGTTTCAGGTGGATAAACAAACCCCAAACTCAGAGTTGATGTTGCCATACTGAACCTCTGGCGGAAGAGGTTGGACTATGCTCAGTGGCGGCTAGGGGTGGGTTGCCACTCATTCAACTACGCAGAGATCTGCAGTCCAACTGGGACGAACACTCCACGGGACTCCATGTCATTCAGAAATTGGGAAATTCTGGCGTAGAAGGCATTTTGTAACAAAGTTCAGGATATTTGCTCATGTAGCACGATTGTGCCAAGTGCACAGCCCTTAATCTGATTTTCCCTAGCGAAGTACAGGCCAATCAAATAATACGCTGTTACAAGCTAGTGCTCCATTGATCCAACGAATATTTACGTTACCCTGTACTAACTATCCTAATTGACTGTGAGCCATGTTCAGTCCGTCTATTTTCCTATTTGAACTACAGTGATGCCTTACACGCGGCCAGCGCTTGGATGGTTCTCCACTAATACGCGGAACTGCGCCGATTGCGCCACTAACGCAGACCTCAACATAAGTGCCCTGCTGCTGTCCACACATGTACTAAGAACACACATCTCATATAGGAATTTAGCGGGAAATGGAAACCCGAGGTCAACGTAAGTCCAAATCTTGGTTGGAAATACTACATAGATCTTGGGTAGCCCTTGTCCAATTATTTTCTTGGTCATCTTCTTCACATGCAGTCACAATCCCCTTCCTATTCTTAATGTCTTTACATCTTCCCTGCTGTCTTCCTACAATGACTTCGGCTCTGATGACCAGAGATGATTCCGGCTTCAAGCTTTATTACTATGAACCTTCTTTTGCTGCTGCAGTCCTCTTCGCTATACTGTTCAGTGCGGTTTCCATACGCCACCTGCAGCTCTTGATAAAAACGCGGACTTGGTGTTTCATTCCCTTCTTCGTGGGGTGCATATGTATGTGTTGAGAAAAACTTTTTGATCTGCCCAATAGTTGATGATAACATTGATGGCCGAAAGTTGAAACTCTGGGATATGCCTCACGGGGCTACTCAGCCAAACAAACCCCAAATTGGAATCTGATGCCATACGTCGCACAGAGCATGCTCATTCTACTGGGACCAGCGTTCTACGCCGCTTCTATCTACATGGTGCTCGGTCGTCTGGTTCGGATACTCGAAGCAGAAAAATACTCTCTGATCAAGGTGAAATGGCTTACGAAGTTCTTTCTTATGGGAGACATTCTGTCTATTTTCGGTCAGGGAGGAGGTACGCAGGATCACATCTCTTATTGTTCTCGCCTTACTCTCATAACGGAGATTATCGTTGCAGCTTGCAAATACTTGAGCTGACTGGGTTCTCTTAGGCGGCGGCATGCTTGCAACTGCAAAGTCTGAATCATCACAGAACCTTAGCAATAGTGTCATTCTCCTCGGTCTTGGCATCCAAGTCATCTTTTTTGGCTTCTTCATGGGCATCACCACTGTATTCCATATCCGCATCACAATAAATCCGACAACGAAATCGATTTACACCAATATACCCTGGCAGAGGTTCATATGGGTGCTCTACTTCTCGAGTTCGCTCGGTCTTTCGCATGATAGAGTATGCCCAGGGACACGATGGCAGCTTAATTCAGAAGGAGGTTTACGTTTACGTGCTGGATGCTCTCCTAATGGTTATTGTTTCGGTAGTATTTTCCGTATATCACCCGAGCAGCATTGTTAATGAGCACAAGATCTTAGCAGACGAGGAGACCCTGCCGACGGCAGGACTCAATGACTTGTCTCTGTATGCTTACGTGCGGGACAGATAGGTTTAACCTCCAAGCAGGTACACAATTATCTTCAGACAAGAATGTCGCATTTCTTGCATCCATGAGGCTCTTCCAGGAACAACCACCTGTGATGTTGCGCATTAAAAACAAGCGTGTTTGGATATGTGTTGATAATCAGGCGATTTTCTTGGTTGGCGCTCTCAGAATATTTGTTTGATAAGGGCAATCACAAAGCCTACATCCACATTCCAGGTTGTCCTACAGATTCGACTCTCCGGCTCACGAGGTTTTGTAATAAAAACCAGAACTTGGGTGGTATCTGCAGATAGAATGGATGGAAATAGATGCCTGTGAATAAACCGTATGCAGCATTTGCAAAGATATTAAATTTTTATGCATAAAAATGCCAGTTAAAGATGCATGCAGAACAGGGCCATCTATCCATTTGTATTTTTTTTTTTGGTAAAGATACTAAACGCGTATGCCATTATGACCATGATAGGCTAGTGCCGGGCCCAAGTGTGATATTGCGCGTCCGTATGAAATGCACAGCACTCCGCTTGTTGATTGACAATGTTGCTGAGCAGGCCGTTGACGTACCAAGTCTGTAAGTTACGGCAGCTGCGGACATTTGCGGCGATGATGGGTGAGGGCCCTGGCTAATACCTGCTTGTTTAGCGGCTCTCGCCATCATGCATCCGTGTATCAAGCCAAGTCAGGCAACCATTAGTGGCACAGGCCAAACTTTGATGCTGCTTGTTGTTTTTCCTCATCTCCGGGCCCTGGTACACTAAATGAAAAGGAATGATATAAGATGCGTGCGGTCCTCTTATGTTCTTATTGTAATCCAATTGACACCAACATATCGAACCTTAAATCTACACCATGCTCGCAAGACACTCGATTGCGGCATCACTTCTATTCGGGCACGTCCCGGCAGAGGTGGTCTGCAAAGTCACCCCTCTCGATGCAATCTGGCCCAGCACTGGGGACTGGAATGCTCTCAATCAAACTTTGGGTGGTGTTTTGATCAAAACTCAACCTGTTGTGTCATCTTGCTACGACAACAACCCTTTCTCTCCAAGCTAATCCTGTGACGAGGTTGAAAAGAGATGGTCTTCTTCGGCTTTCCATGCGCGCTTTCCCGAGTCAATCGACTATCCGTACTGGGCCAACAGCTCCTGTGTTCCACCCAGCGATTACGGCTACAAAAACTAAGGATGCGAGCTTGAAGGATTGCCTGAGTTCGTGGTCAATACCACTACCGAGAATCAGGTAGCAGCAGCCATGAAATGGGCTGCTTCCCGCAATGTTCGTGTTATTGTAAAGGGGACCGGGCATGACTTGAATGGCAGGTAAGCGGACATAGCGACATTAGATTCCAGCTTCATCTACTATCTCGCTAACTCGCCTGCAGGTCTAGCGGCGCCTGCTCATTGTCGATATGGACCCATCAATTCCGACAAATCAAGTTGAATGCTGAGTGGCTACCTCCATTGAGGAATAACACCGAAAATGTGGCGATTCTTAGAAGCGGAATCAATTGGGGCAACGCCCTCGAAGCTGCTGCCAAAGTTGGCCGTACCCTAGTCAGCGGCCAAGTCAGCACAGTTTGTCTTCGTGGCTTTATCGGAGGCGGTGGTCACGGTCCTCATTCGAGCCATTACGGCTTGGCTGCCGACCAGGTCCTCCAGGCCACAGTTGTCACAACGAGCGGACATATTCTCGTGGTCAACGAAGCACAAAACCAAGACCTACTGTGGGCGATTCGAGGCGGCGGACCGGGCTCTTATGGTGTCGTCACGGAGTACGTTCTGCGCACACATCCTATTCCTAGGAACGTTGTCCAGGCCGTTTTATCCATGTCCATGGCTGGAAACGACGCAGAAGCAGCGGTATCTGCATCTTGGAGCGCCATGGCCATACTTACAAGCTATCTTCCAGATCTTATGGTTGCTGGAATAGCAGGATTCGGCAATGCAGTGACAACGAAAGCTTCCAAGCTGCCCTCCGGTGCCATCAGTCAAGGCATAGAAACCTCATTCACGTTTTTCGGTTACAACACGACAGCGACTACTCTATCGTCCGCTATCGAACCCTTAAAAGAAAGGATGATCGCGTCCGGTAAAAACAACACAATGTCGATATTTATCTCGGAGCCAACAGTTTTCCCAACATACCTATCCTTCTTCGACGACCTCAACAAATCTCCGCAGACAGTAGAACAGATCAGTCTGATTTCGAGTCGTCTGCTCGGTCGCAAAGAGTTGACAGAAATTACATTGGAAGCACTACGCTTTCATCTGCAGAGCATCTCAAAGTCCCAGATTGAAGGAAACCCTTCTTCCTTGATTTTTGGATTACAGGATGGCCCCGGGCCAGCACAAGTTCAACCAGATATGCGCGGCGCAGTCAACCCTGGTTGGAGAAGCGCCTAAATCCATCTTATCAGTGCTGGAGCTTTCATCAATATCACAGAATCTACCCCTCAAGATGCATTGGCTGCCGCTGCCGCCTGGACCGAGGAGAACAAGGAAGCTGTGTGGCATCAGGGGGCTCCCGAATCTGGCGCGTACATTAACGAAGCTAATCCTTTCGCCAAAAACCTTCAGGAGGATTTTCACGGCAGTAATTACGACCGTTTGCTTCGGATCAAGGGGAAATTTGATCCTTCCGCCAGCATGTACGTTATCTCTGGCGTTGGAAGTCATCTGTGGGACTACAACCTGAACACTGGCAGACTTTGTCGACGACAGTGGGATTTGGATGCTCGATTGGAGTTTCTAGCTCAATATTGAAAATTACCAAGAAAAAAAGGGCATCTGGATGTGAGCTCGTTATAAAGCATCTTGACACTGCGCAGTTTTTGACGCAAGAGGTTTGGGGAGATCTCTGGTTGAATTAGTCCCGTTTTGTCCCACATGTTTCCGAGAATTTGAGTGCTGTGGGATGGGATACACATTCATGGATGCTAAAAGTTAGGGGAATTCGTATGTTCATGTTAAGAATACGTATAAACTTTATCGACAACAAAAGTTTGCTCGAACAGACTGTACATAGAAATATGACGCTAACATCCCTCCCTTTTTTATTTTTAAATATCAACCATAAATATTTAACTTTCTGAAAGGACTTGTAATGGCCAAGCAAAAGCATCTTGCCAAAAAGAACCAACCGTTTTGGCTACCAGGTGAATCAGGAACGAACCAGAATGACCGAATACCCAGAATTGTCGATATCGATGCAAGGCGGCCGCATAAAAAGCCAGTACAACAAGAGCTTCAGGTCTATGCTGATGTAAAGCTTCGACATACTCGTCTGATATGACCAGTGGCCATGCCATGACTGCGTGAGTCCCAACATCCAATCTAGATGGCTCTTGTTTTGTTAAGTCCACTACCCACTGAATGCGGCTGAGTGCCGAGAGGCAAGCTTCAGTAGCTGCAGAGGAGGTCGAAGATGACTCAAGAAATTCTCTTAGTTGCTTTGTCTCCTCCCCTGGGGCTTGCGTGTCCGTTTGTTCAGACAATAATGCAATGTACATAAGAGGCTTCAAGTCGGACTGCAAAATACGTTTCCAGTACTTTTCGATGATGGCACGTACTCCCCGATGAAGACGCAGGTAGCTAACAAAATCATCAACGAAATTCGCAAGCGTGTCCTGACGTTGCTGAAGTGTTTCATGAAGAACGTGGATGCCCAGAAGCGAGGCGAAGAGAAAGGTTGGCATGTAGGTACTTTCGGATATGTGGCCTTTGGCTTGGTTGAATAGACCCAAAGCACGTGTTTGTAACTCAGTGGCTTGGTGACGGAATGACGATGCCTGCGCCACGTCTTGGGTGGACAGATGGAGCGCGGAAAGTGCGAGAAGTTGGTCCAGTAGATATGGCGCTGTGTGGGCGTGCTCCACAGCAGTGTCGATCATAGGCTGTGCTCTTCCTTCAAGAGCCATATACTCAGACATATTGGATTCGGCATAATGAAGAAAGGCCATGTGTGTTGCCGTAAAAGTCGGCCCTGGACACAATAAACCTTCCGCTGTGTCTCTAGGAACAACCAACACGTAGTCACTGGCGACGCTGCTGGGAGTGGATGTGTTGTAGGTTGTACTTGGGTGAATATCGTTAGGATTGGACCCCGGCATAAGATACGAGCACAATCGCTCGCTCATAATACAGTTACGGCATTCCGGTCGGGTTTCATCGCATTTGATGTGTCGCTTTTTGCATCCGATGCAGCCGTTTCTAGACTTTCGGTGGGAACGACGGCTTGAGAGCTGGTCTCGTTGTTGTTTCGACATCGATTGGTGGATTCAAGGTTTTGTGCAGTGAAAGGAAGTTGAAAGAAAGTGATTGGTATACGGATACGTGCGTTGATCCGTCTATACGCATACAGTTCTAAGAAGTCAAGGCAACACGCGGAAACGTAGTTGACGGGGCCTAGGGCGCAATTAATACTATGTATCTAATGCTCTGTGTGATAGCTGAGTCATGGATACGTTAGCGCTTTATCTTGCTCCTTGTGGCTGAGCTAGTCTATACACGTTTCTGATTTGGCCTTACACGCGTATTCCGGCCCTGGTGCGATGAACTTTAGGTTGCATCCACTAAGACTGAGAAGGCACCCGGTAGACGTCAACCAGAATCAGTGTGGATCATAAAGGTAATTGGGAATGTCTTTGGTGACGCATACTCGCAATATAAGGAGTGAAATGTCTTCTCACTCATTGTAGTCTTAGAAAACTGTTTGTGACGGAATATTTTCTAGCCCTAAGCTTTTCAAGTCAGCATGTCTCATATTACAGACGCCCTTAGGCTGCAACTTTCCAGCTCCTTTCTCCTTGGTTGACCCTGTCATGATTCGGATATGACTTTGATTACAGTTGTATCCCATTCGAATTTACAGTAGCTGACGTAGCCCCTCCCAAAGCGAAAGTATCGTTATGCTCTGCATCGCATCTGCTCTTACACGGAAATATTACCAAGGATTATGGACCAGTAACTAGTGGGTAGTTGTGTTGTACGAATAAACACGAGTCTCTTAGGTGAACTCTCGAGCATTCACAACTAAATGCTAATCAGACTATTGTACGGTCGGGCGCGAGCAGGGGCAGACAGCCACTCAGTGCCTCCATAACCTCTGGCAAAAGAAACCTCCAGCGACTTGGAATGATCTGTGGGTCGAGTGTTACTTCAGTGGTTGATGTGACCGAATTTAGTTTGCGGTTACCCACCCCCTTGGTAGAGCAACGAATCGTTTCATTTTTTTCGCGTGTTGATTCTTGTTCCTGAAGTTTCTGCCGGCATATTCGACTAAACGCCGCTGCCGTCGGTCATCCGAGGAAGCCTTGTGGCCCGAAAATCCCCACCCTTACAGGCATTTAAGTGGACCGCCAACGGCATCCGCGGCCTAAGCAGTACGTACTCACATGGTTCGGATGTCGGTTCTTTAAGTTCAAGCACAATGGGATAGCTAGTCGATAGACAGCAGTACATGGGGTCTTAAGCATCTTTGATCGTGAAACTTTGCTAGAACAGAGCGGACCTTGCTGCATTGCGAGGAATATCCGTCGCTCTGTAACACTTCTAGTTGGGTTTATTCCAACGTAGCATACCTCCGTATCTTGGCCAATGATGGGTCGTTCCAAATGAAATTTAAAGTTTTTGGAACTTGGGTTCGAAAGTCCAAGCTCCAAGAAGGTTGACCGATGGAAAGCTAAGCTGTAGCGGTATGATATGCCGGTAGTAGTTTAAATGCCGCTGCCCCGGCCTTTCCGTCTTATCGACATAGCCCCTTACGTTTCGCGAGAAACGCAGTCCATCCCAGCCAGTGTTGATAAATGTAACAGTGTATCTGTTTTGCAACCCTTAGAAATATTCAACTTCAGATCGCAGCAACCACTTTCTCACATCAGTCTGTGCCCTTTAGATGCATTTCTTTTATAAAGAAAACGCGTCTTCGAGCACTAATCAGATCTAGAATATGGCCCATGAGCTGATAAACCGGACACAGTCCAAGCTTTTTTGCGAGCCGCCAACGAAATCCCAGGCTCCATTAAAGACGAAGACGACAGAGCAAGGGTCCTTCTCAAGCTGTATGAGCTCGTTAACAGAGTCGATTCGCCATGGGGGACATTTGTGAGGTTGTACCTTAGTCAAGTAGGTCTTCCGTCAAGCGGTGTGAGTAAGAGATTGGAATCAGCTTGACTAAGCCAAGTGAAATAGCCTGCCACGTCGGCTGCACTAAAGGTACTCAGAGACTCGGAACTCCTTGAGCGCTGGCGACAGAATGGAAGCCTGCCTGTGACCATTGTTGAACTCTCAGGCCTCACTGACGGCTGTGATCCAGCTCTCCTCCGTGTGTCAATCAATTCCTGTGATTGGGTTTCGTATCTAACCTGATTAGATCGTCTATTCCGTCTCCTAGCAGCAAATCACCTAGTTCAAATGACATCTGATGGTAAATATAAGCCTACCAAGTTCCGCACAAAGCTTGCTGAGTCAGACTTCGGTACCACCGCTCAATTCTAGTAAGCTCCTTTGACCTTGTTCCTCATCGCCTCATGTTGCTAAGCTTACACCAACGACTACATGATCCCCATGTGCAACCACATGCCAGAGTTTCTCGCCAAAACAGGCTACGAGAATCCCAAGAATAATCGCAAGAGTATCTTCGATTCGACATTCAACTGGCAAGGCGGGCTTTTCAAGTATTTCAAGGAGCACCGGGACCAGGGGGAAGTCTTTAATATCGTGCAAAAGACTAAACGTCTAACAAGACTACATGGAGATCAATTTATCCTAGCCACCTGCTTCTCGAGGGCGATCCGTAACTCCCCCTTTTTGTCGACGTGGGTGGGAGCGTTGGGCAGGATGTTCCGTGTTTCTTGGAGAAACATCCCGAGACTGCCTCTAGATTGTACCTCGAATAAATTCCCTCGGTTTTGGCGGACGAGAAGTCCACCGTCGTCAAGGGCATCAACAAGGTCCCGTACAGTTTCTTCACTCCTCAGCCGATCAAGCGTATGTGAACCTCCTTTTCTCGTCCTCTTTGACCACAAAAGCCAACGGCGATCCAGATGCGCGCGCCTACTACATGCACCACATTCTCCACGACTGGCCTGACAACCAAGCTCGAAATATCCTTGAGATGCAAAAAACAGCCATGAAGCCCGGCTACAGCAAGATTTTGGTCCATGACCAAATTATGAAAGACGACAGGCCAGCTCACCCGCACGCTGCTGCCTTCGACATAGGAATGATGGCCTTCGGTTCTGCGCAAGAGCGTACGGAGAAAGAGTGGGAGGCGCTCATCACTTCGGCCGGTCTCAAGATTGTCAAGATCTGGACAGTCCCATCCGCGGCTGAAGGCATTATTGAGATTGACTTGGCTCCAGAAAAGGCTAAGCTTTAGGGTAACGTGAATCAAAATTTATCATACTTGCATGCTTTTGCATGCTTCTATACTGTTACTTTGTGGTGAACCCGAGCGTCTGCGAATCAAGGTAGGAAGTGCTTGTTTAGAATGTGAATACGGTATAATCGAGCTGTGAGAAATACAGTGTCCACCAAAAAAGTCTGAATACACCCCGCATCTGACCCGGGGCCAATGCACCCCGCCCAACCCAAACTTTCCCCTTTCAACTACCACAATTCTCGAGAATGGACGCCGAACTGCAAGCCTTTGCTTCTATAATTTCGGGGGATAGAAGGACCAACGATGAGCTTTCCGAGATGCAGCGGGTTGCCATCACGGCTTTTGTGCTCGCGGGCCGAAGCTACCGCGAGGCAGCCCGCGCCTTCAACTGCTCACCTGGCGCAGTGCAAAAGACCCTTCGACGATTCAAAACCAGCAAGACTTTCACTTCTGAAACCCGAAAAGGCAGGCCTGTGAAAAACTCTTAGGTAGACAAGCAGGCTGCGTAGGGTAAGATACGCGATCCTCGCCATCTCTGTTCGAGCTCACTCTTCATTCAGTGCACAACCCCCCTCTCGATAGAGCACACGCTGTCCGTAGAGTTTCTGACGCAATATGTCGAAATAACATTAAACTTTCACAACGACACCCGGCTTGGCAATTCGCACGTTCTCCCAGTGAACTATCGGATCATATACTTCCTACTTTCAATCATCCACGCCATCCTTGTCCATCTGGTTGGCCTCGATCTCGTGCGAGTCAGAATGGACCTGATACAAGATCCCACCGGCTGGGTGTGGAACACATTATCTCCTTCGCCATTAGCATAGCCAGCATGCACTCATCGGGCAAAGATGTCGTGAAAATCCGGATCAGGATTCCGGTTTTAGGATTTACCATGTGGACAACTCTTTAGACTAATGTCATAGCTGTCGTAGATTTGTGAAGGGATGGATGGGCCTCCCCATGAAGACCTCACGCTTATCAGTGTCGAACGACTGGGCGGCATGGCATGTCTAGATGGCGCTCGTCTATCTGTGTGTGCACTCCTACAATAACCAAACGCCGCATACGTTCAGGTCCAAGACTGTCATGAGCAATTGTCGCAAAGCGGTACCACCTCCCCTCTCCCACGCTTCCGCTTCAAAAGCCTTAGGTCATCACCCCAGACCCCCAAAACTGCCGCCGAGCTCCAACTAAACTTTACCGCAGGCCGTTCAGGTCGAACGAAGTACGACGGCGTTCAACTCATTCCGCGATCCCCTGGTACCTTCCAAATCACCGGTCTAGAGCAGTCCAGAACCTACAAGGACAATACGATCAACGCTTCCTGTCGGTAGCTCAGCAACGCTTCTCACGATAGATCACTAGTTCGTCTACAAGGTCTCCAAGCCACGAGTATCAGACTCCCTTGACGTGTCCCTCAGACTCTATGACACTGATGGCCTCCCCTATCCCTGCGCAAAAGCGCACATAATCCCATCTCTGAACCATGTTCTCTCGGCCATCAATCTCTATACCCCCCATCTCCCGGAGCACTCTCGAGATTGGCCCCTGATCCGCGGACAGACCCGTTCCCACCTCATCCGCATTGCTGAATGACTCTCCTACCTCCAGCACATCTTCTTCCCCGCTTCCCTCACCCACCACTACCCGGGCTTCCTCCGCCATCTCGCTGTCAGAAGAGCTGTTCGACCCTCATGACTCTCCACGGCCCGGTCCTTGCGTTGTGCTCTTACTACGACATCAAGGACGGCATTTACGAGGTCAAAGGCACCTTAGCGGCACCCCCGGCCTGAAACTCATGACGCGGACCATAAGAGCGCCTGTGACAGTGCGGACCTAGATCAACGTCGCCTCCTTATCCCTGATGCTTCTAGCAGCCCTCTTCCGGCTCGACCATAGACTGCTCTACACCAGCATCTTACTCCGCAGCCAATCCGCCCGTCAGCTGAGGGGAGCGGCAGACTATGGCTTCCACGGGATGCATGGACCGTCCTGAGGGTCTCTCTGACACACCTCCTCACCCCGGTCACCCACAACCTGGGCTACCTCCGGATCAACGCCTCCCCGAAGCACCTCTCCAGACGCCGAGCCAGGACCACTACGCCATGGCGGCGTTCGCGCTCGTCGCGGCTGGTTTCCCGTGGCAGGTGTTCCCTCTTACGAGGGCCGCTGGCCTGCTGACGGCAGCCAAGCTGCTCGTGCTTTTCCTGTGCGTCGCCTTTCTTCCGGGTCTCGCCAGTCACAACGCCAAAGCCATAATTAAGGCCGTGATCTCAACGATCCACGCTGTCGTCTTGATGGTCTGGTTTCCCCTTCCGGCCTTGTTTAGCGCACTTCGTGTGCAAGGTGCTGGCGCCAGACGGAGCAACGCAGATGAGGGGGTTGAGGTAGGAATCTGACCTTCAATGTACGACTGGCGTTTGTTGGTAGGTTCGCTGACCATCAAAGCAGAACTACTGACTCGGCCCGCTTCCTCCCCTAGAGTACCTTGACTCTAGGCGCGTTCCATCGCGCCTATTCGTTGATGGAGCTGGCCACCCGCTTCAGGCAGAGTGCAAAAGCTTCCGGCATGCTTTTATATTGTAGTCTTCTATGTTGTAGTCTTAGTCGATACGACGATGATCCCAGGTATAAATCTTTGAGTACCATAATCAGTTTTTCCGAGTTCGCAAACGGTCTAAGTAAAACCCCGAGTCCAGAACTTACCGCATTGTACTACTGGTACGTGCCGGGCGTGCTACTTTATTTGCATTGTTGGCAATAGTCTGTAACAATCATGCACATCTGGATCACAAGAATTCTTACTAGAGGTTTGACGCCGATGGTCGTCTCAATCCGGCACCCTGCACCCAGGTTCGATACCCGGCCGCAGCCGCGGCGACCCGGACTACGTTTGAACAGGTGGGACCACCATATCCTAGCGTCAGCCACAGAAACTCTGCTGAAGCCTCCCGAAGCCACCATTCCCCACTATCGGCAATGAAGACGAAGAGTCTTCCCAACTAGTTATATCAGATCATTCTGGTGACCGTTATCAAAACGAACCGATCTGTATGCGAAGCAGTGTTACTCAGAAACACGGCCAGTTGATAGAAAACGTAGCCACTCGACGAACCGGAGTGGCCTCTTGACGAGGTGCAGTCCTTGGCCCCACGGGCTCTCTGTAGGCCCGCTTGAAGATGTGAAATGCAGTTTCTTGATGTGAACTACTTCCACGGAAGATTGTGATACGGTTGGCCCGCTGGAATGCGCCTGGATGAGGTAGCCGCGTGGTCGAACAGCCCCACTTGTCAAAGGTGCCGTCATGGACTAATAAGGCGAAAGGGGAGACGAGATGGGATGCGCCAGATCTAGTGTACAGACAGCAGCCGCCTGCTGATCAGTTACATATTTAGCAGCTGAAAGCAAGAAGTCACCAGGAGTATTCAGAGCAAGCATGAGGTATAGCAAAACAATATATTGAAGGCCATGGTAGGGTATCATGGCCAATTACAAGTTCAAAAACTTAGATGGTATCAAGATAGCGAGACAAGGTGGGGAGCAAGACTGCTCCCAAGACAAAATCTCGTATTTACATGCGCACCAAATTCTTCCCCCTTGGTTGCCGGAGAACCCAGCATAGATAGAGCGGGAAGCCCTCTAAAAGATGGTATTGAGCACCTGTCTCCACTTGGGCCAGGCGGCGACCTTGGCGCGGTGGGCATTAATCGCGTCCCAGTCAACCTCGCGGCGACCGGTGTCGAGGTCGATCTCGGAGAGCTTCAAGAAGCCCTTGCGCTTCCAGAGGTAACCGCAGGCCCAGAAGAAAAGGACGACGGGGAAAGCAAGGTAAGAAATGAAGAACTCCTCTGCAGTGGCGTAGCCGTTGCTGCCAGGAGGGCAGATAGCAACGAAGAGCTGGGCAACCAGGCAGACAACAACCAGAATGAGGCCAAGCCAAGAGCCAAGGACACCACCGATGGCTTGGAATGGAAGCTCGTCGAGAGTGTGGCCCTGAGCCTTCCATGCGGAACGGAAACGAATATGGGCGGCGCAGATAGAACCCCAGGTGAAGAGAGCGGCAAGACCAGAGAGAGACAGAAGCCAGTCAAAGACGACACCGCCGGAGGAGGCCATACGGACGTAGGCCAAGCCACCGAAGGCAAGGTTGAGACCGACGGAATAGAGAGGGCGGCCGGACCTGTCAATGTAGGCGAAGATTTTGGGGGCGTATCCCTGCTGGGCAAGGGCAGTCAGGGTGCGGGAGCCGCCGTAGACGCAAGAAACGCCGATGGAGATGACGGAAACGAGAATGACAACGTTCATGAAGCTGTCGTATCCATAAAGATGGGCATCGAAAGGAGCCAGGACGAAAGGAGAAATACCATCGGCGTAAGGGTTGCTGGAGTTCAAAAGACGGTCATCGGTGGAGCTGACAAGGAGACCAACGAAGGTAAGACCCAAGATATAAAAGCTGGCAGATGTTGTTAGTCAAGACGGGCAGACGGGCTGGGTGTCTTGGTACTCACAGGGTGATACGCCAGAAGACCTGCTTGATGGCACCAGGGAGGGCCTTGGCGGGGTTGGCGGATTCGGCAGCGGCCAGACCAACGAGCTCGGTACCGGAGAAAGCAAAGGCAGCGGTGACGAAGACGGAGCAGAAACCACGGAAACCGTTCTGGAACGCACCGGGGTCGCTCCAGAGTCGGTTGCCCCAGTATTCATCGTACTTGCCGCCCTCAGGGCCGCCGCCACAAATAAGAACGACAGCGACGACCATGAAGATGACGGTAGCAAAGAGCTTGAACGCCGAGGAGAAGAATTCCTCCTCGGCGAAGCCCAAAGTTCCAAAGATGTTGATGATGATGATGAAGACCCAGAAAACAGTAATCCAAACGGCCACGCTAATTTCTTTATTCCAGTATTGTACCGTGAAGGAGGCGACCGTTAGTTCGAGCGGTAAGACGATGACCCATTGGAAGACCTGCGGCGTGTTAAGAGATGCAAAGATTGGGGGCGTTTTGAAAAACTTACATAATTCCAGCCCATGGCGAAACCCCAAGAAGGGTCGAGGAAGCGGATAGAGTACGTGTAGAAACCACCGGAGACCGGGTAGAGGACAGCAAGCTCGCCGAGAGCGTAGACAACGTTGAAGATCATGACACCGGCGATGAGGAAGCAGATGAGGAGAGAGCCGGGGCCACCCTTGGTGAGGGCGGAACCGGAACCGACGAAGAAACCAGCACCGATGGAACCACCAATGGCAATCATTTGCAAGTGGCGAGGCTTCATGGAGCGGTCCAGCTCGGATTCGCCAGCACCAAAGTCACCTAGAGGAAATGTCAGCGCGCCGAAGGCGACAAGGAATTGCGGTGGTGCCAGGCGAGCGCAATGGCGGGGAAGGAGAACTCACGGCGCTGGAAACTGCGGAGGTTCAGGCCATTGCGGGTTCTGAAGTCCTCCTCACGAAAGTTCTCGGACGGGCCAGCATGGCCGACGGTGTTTTGAGCACCCTTTTCGGAGTCGTACGTGGGCGGCACCACGCCGACCTGGGCTTCCTCCTTGGACATGGTGAAGGCCGCTCAATAGCTCCCGGCAAGAGCTAGAGATGATTCAAAGAAGAAGAAGAAGCGATGCGCGTTGGCGCGTGTCGTGACCTTTGCCCTTGTCAACGACGGGAGAGGGAAGGAGCTTGGTGTTACTCTGTAAAGTTCTACAAGAGTATGAGGGGTAAGGGGACAAGAGAGAGAGAGACGGGATGAAGAGAACGGCGTCGCGGGATGCCGTCTATTAAAGGTTCGAGACAGCGACGAGGAAGCTAAGGCAGGCAAGGTTTAAGAGGCACCGCAGCAACAACGACGGGAGCGACATGTGCAGGCGCGCAATGCTGCTGCCCCCCATGCTCCTCCCATATGCATCCATATTCGACTTGATGCTCCATGGTCCTGCCCCCCATGTACATGCCAGGCGAAGAAGTGCACCAGGCCAAAGAGAGAAAAGCGTGAGCGGAGGCAGGTCTAGGGGAGGGGTACAGCAGGCAGGATGACAGGAATCTGCTGGTACGAGAGGATAAGGTAGGGACTAGCAAGAAAGGACGTGTCTCTGATGAGAGTACGGTGTACCGTGGCGTCGCAGGCAGAGCACCTACGTCCGGGCGAAGAGTTTAGAAGGGATAGAGCGACCAACCAACGCCCTTGCTGGACCTGGAGCGATCCCACGGATGGGAAGCTGTAATACCGACCAGGGTCCCTCCCCCGATGTGGTGGTGTGGTGCCCCCTCCCGGACACCCATTTCCTTCCTTCCGTCAGCCCAAGGTACGTCGCCGAACCAAAAGAAACGACGCTTTGCCCATCTCAACCTAGGCCCAGAGGATTAATTTTTCTTTCTTTTTTTCTTCCTTTCTTCACGTTCTTTTTTCCTTGCTGCCTCATATTCTTCGTTCCCAGGATGCGTTGCTCCCCCGGGAAATCATCCATGATAGCTGCGCCGCTAGTACGCAGATACGCCAGGAAGAGTAGGAAGGTGGCCGAGGGCCTAGACAAATAAATGAACGACTCCCGGGCACGGTCTTGGCAGCGATTGGTCCAGTCGGTGAGCCGTAAGACGGGAGGGAATCCTGACGAGGGGAGGGGCAGGGGACGACGAGAGAGACGACGAGCGGGAGCTTCACGCTTCCGTCGTACATTACATGACAATGCGGATGGCGGATGCGGATGTGCCTATCATGTAGGAGTTCGGGAGTCATGGAAGCTGCGTGGAAGGCGAAGAAGGCAAGGAGGCGACCAGGAGTCGCTGTCGAGGTAGGTTGCACTAAGGGACGTCTTCACCTCGCCTCACCTCCCTCACGTGAGGGGAAAGCTGCAGTGGTGTTCCTCGACACTGACAGATGCAGTTGACATGCAGAACTTCTCTTGTGACCCTCAACTCGGGGTCGGCGACAATCCACAGAACATCGGGCATTGATTCGGGCTCGAGGCCGCCCGGTGCGACAGACGCGATGCGCTCGTTTCGTGTCCCAGAAAGCGTGAGAGAGGCGCTGCGTGGCCTCCATCGCGGACCATCCGTCCCATACGAGTCATCACGGCGGCTTGGCAAAGCCAGTAAGCTTTCTGAGAGCAGAAGGTGGAGATGGTGGACGCGTTCTGCCAAGTGATTAGGAAAACCGGTCGTCGTTTTTAGTAGTTCTTGGCTCAGTGGTCATTGGTTATTGGACGGCAGGACTGGAGATGGGTGCGATATTTGTAGTCTATCAACGCAGAGTACACGGACAGTGTATTGCGGACGGAGATTGGTAGCGGCGCGCGGGGGTGGGACGTTGCTGAGCCTTTGGCTTCTGTCCTGAACCTGGCCAGGCTTCCTGGGACCAGGGGACTTGGAGACCTGGCGAGAGAAGCATGGGCCAGAAGATGGGCTAGCGGGATTGAACGTTTCGATGGACAGACAGGGTACAGGACAGACGCTATCAACAAGGACCCGCTTCTGATTGGGAGTGACCCATGATACCGGAAAATGAGATGGTCGAGCTTGGACGATGGGGCGAGAGTGGCCAACGCAATGCGATGTGATGAACCAGCAAGACCCATCGAGGGTGAGAGCTATGGGGGGGCTGTGCGGTAGGGAGGCAAGATGAGAGATGGACATGAGCCTAGCCTGAGAGACAAAGACAGAGAAAGTAACAATTGGAGTGAGAATGAGAATAAAAGTGACGGGAACACAATGCGGTCCCTGTACCTACCTACCTACCTAGGTATCGATGACAAGTAGAGTGAGCGAGTGAGAGAGAGAGAGTGAGAGAGTGAGAGAGGGGGGTGGAGATCAACTGTAAAAAGTGCCGCACTACCTAGGGGACGAACGGTAGCGGCTCCACAGCACCTTTCCGCAAGGTCCAATGCGAAGACGCGCGACCTGCATGCCTTCATGACTTTATTTTATTGATACATGTTTCCAGTGTACAGGCTGCTCTTTGCGACACACACCAAAGATATGTGCGCACTTGGCCAGTAGTGGCTCCCGTACCCTTTCCGTTTGTTTGCCTTTTCTTTTTGCCCAGTTGACATTATCCCTTGAGGCTGTCTGCAGTCACTGCAATACGGACCCAGATGGACGCGAACTATCCTGCATCGGCCAATGCCATCGCTCTCTCCCGGCGCTACCGAGCTGCAGCCAAGCTCTCCTGGAACAGGGCTGTGTGGCTTGGTTGATTTGGTGGCTCTTGGCTGCACCTCTACATTCAAGCCGAATCTTGAGCAGCTTCCTCTTTGGGCATGACCAAGGCTGGGCGCTGTTGCTTGAATCTCGCTGCAGCCCGAGGGGCCTTTTTTGCGTCTTTCATTCTCAGTCTTTTCGGGGCATGTCTGTACATGCCTACGAGACGACCGTCCTCCGTGTCGCATCCCAACCTGGGGAACCCCATCTCATCCAATCTCACCGGAATCCTCAGATGCAACGCAACATCTATTTCGCAGCTAGGCTTCCTGTCCTCCATGCCAGCAGTCTTCAGCTTCTCTCCTGCCTGTTCGCGCGTCTTGGCCCATTGCTCCGCGACCAGGCACACCGGACATCTGCGTCCTGCCTCCGATGTGTGTCGTCTTTCGACCCTCGATTCCTCTACTGCGCGAGCTGGGATTCGGATACTACAATGTTACACGCATCACTAGGTAATTGACTTTCGGCGCGTCGTTCTGGCTTTGCAAGGGCGGACGCAGCGGTGGAGAGGGGCAGGGAGGGAGGCAGCCACTAACGCTGCCAAAGAATCCTTCTAGAATGCTGCCAGGCCGCATAGAACCACACCATCAACCTTTGTCTTAACCTCTGAGGGTTCTTCCGAGAGGGAGCCGTCCACGACCCGAACGAGACCATTCATCTACCACCGCGTCGCACCCCTCCCTCTCCCTCCCCAATTTCCCGGCCGCCACCCATCACCCTGTTCCAACCACCACCAATCCACCGCCGGCACCACTTTGGGGGGAGGGTAACTCTGATTGATTACGCAAAAGAGTTAAACAACTCGATCGCCCGGTCAATCTGGGCTGCACGACTCGATTGTGCCGTGCCCCAACGTCCCAAACGCCAACGCCAAACGGCCGCTGTTGGTGGAGGGACCCGCCAGGCCTGCCCACACCTTGCTTCCTCTTTGCCTGTCCCCATCTCAGGGGTGTGCACCGCCATGTGCTGCAATTGGCCTGCGATACACAACATTCCCCGTACGGTGGAATTTATGGGGATTAAAGTCTCGGCAAAGATAACAGACTTTCCAGGGACGATCTTACATGGCACACGCTGTGTCATACGCATCTGCTAACAGACCAGTGACGGGCCCCCGTGGACGTTCTCAGCCCATCATGCCTCGTCGCGATATCTGTCTCCGATACCACATTCGGAACCGCCGTCATTCGTCATGTCGCTCGCTTTTGTCATGATAACTTCATTGATCCCTCATGGCGCCAGCACAACCGCAGCGATTCAGGTCCCTACTTGGAACGTCCCAATGCGGTCAAGCCTCGGCCCATTTTCCGTCTCGCATCATACCATCCGAGCACCAGCACGCCAGCCTACCGTACCGAACTCCCTTTGACGTTGGGTGGCTTCGGGTATCTGCCTCGATCTGTCACTGGAGCTTGCTGCAACTGACGCCGCCGCGGGCACGCCCACCCCCTTTCCATGCTTATCTGGCGTGTCTATGCCATGAGGCGCTCGGGGGCGACGCTTATCAGCAACAATACTCATACCTTCCCGTGGTGACTGGTTGATGAATGGTGGCTGTCTAGATTATCAATGTCTTTTACGGTTAGAGACGGGCTATCGGTCGGCCATACTTTCGAAAGAGGCGTTTGACTGACGCGAGCCAAGACTTACTAAAGGGCGCCGGCTGCCAGACGCCAGATGTTGGACTCGCTCGCGATGTTGCGCATGCGCCGCGTGAACTGGTGTTCTCTTTTCCATCGCGACCGCTGACGCCAAGAGCCTCCATCAACCTGGACTAGCGACGCTTTGGGGAGGTGCAGTCGATTGCCGTCCAACCTAAAACTCAGTCAGTCGCCAACGGAAAAGTTGCGCAAAAGTTTCGCGATAGCCTCAGACTCGCCCTGCGCATTTGTGTGTCGTGAGATTCGATGCCGTATGGCCAGTCCCGCAGTTTTGCAACGCCCAAGACATGACGTTGGATTCCCCCAGAGCCCAAGACTTTGGCATCTCATGGCATCTCATGGCATTTCATGGCATCCAAGCCCAAAAGCTTGACCCGAAGCAAAGACTTCTGATCGCCTTGGGTGACGGCTCGACTGGACGTGCCGAGCACGGCCGAGAAGCCACGGCATCTTGGCCCTCCCATCTCGACGGGAACCGACCACAATCGTCATGCGATTGGCGACCCAAGCGAGCATTCCTTCAGCGCCCCTCCCTCCACCACCAGATGACCCAAGAGGACCTTCTGTAGCCTGTCAGTGGCCGCCCGCTTGACCAGGGTGCGGGGAAATTGTTGTTAGTAATAGCGTGTTCCGAAGTGCAGCGCCGCCCACAGGGACGAAAGCACGCCGACATGACGAACCCTGTTTCTGGGGAAAGCGGAATTGAACACGAGATCAAAACACTGACTGACTGGCAGGTTGGTGTGCATGCCAGTTAACCTCAGTTTCTTTTACGTACTGGGCAGCAAATCCCCGGATTTTCCCCTCATCATCCACAAGCAGATTAACTTTGTTCAGACGGCGGCGGGTCGCTCAGTGGTCTGCGTGACAACGTGGCCCAGTGGCCCAGAGTCCACAGTGGCAAGGCGACCGGAGCCCGCCGCCATTTGCGCATCCTTCGGTGGAACCTCCAGAGCTTACCGCGACGTTGTCTTACAGAGCTGACATTTTGCGCGTATCCACACGAGTTTGGCGATGAAGGTAATACGGCAGTCACACAGCGACCAACATCAACGGCAAGAAAGCACCTCGGTTGGCTGTCTTTTGGCGTTTGTCTCTAGTTATAAATACGCCGACTCGAAAAGTTTGCGTCAAGCTGATTGTCTTGGACTTGTCGACTTTTTGATCCACATCCCTTCGGGCCAAGCAAGCCACATGCGTCTTTGTGTCTCTGGATGTGCGCACCCTGTCCCTCTCTGCCTGAGGCGGCGGACTGGCTATTGGGCGGATTGGCTGCACCGCAATTGTGCATCGAACCGAGGAGGGCCCTTTGGGCCGAGCTGTTGACCTTCCGCATGTGTCACCTTGGCGATCAATGATTAGGGGAGACCCCTGGGCTGGTTTTCTAGATTTGGGCGGTGCCCACGGATAGTTCGGCTGCAACCCGTTTTGTTGGGGCTTGGTTGTCCATCAGTGATCAATCTTCACAAGCCAAAGCTGTTCTTGGAAACAAACTCCAAGACGGGGAGGCGAAGCTGGGCAAGGTCTGGACGCCGAGTTTAGTACGACGTTCCTGGCTGTATGGGGTAACTGGCTTTATGTGCGCTGTTGAATGATGTGATCTCCGATGACCATCTTGGATGATGAGAGGCGTTCGTTTTCAATTGAGTTACGAGCTGGTAAAGGCAAATCGGGCTCCGGTGCAAATGACAACTTTCACTGTCATAATATCACAATTATCTTCTACGCCCCGGTGTCGTCAGACTCAATGTCGAACCTGACTCTGCTTAGAGTTGGCTCTCATCCCCCAGGCATTGAGTAAATTTGCGTGTGTGTGCTTGATGCTGTCAGGAAAGCCCATTACCGGGAGCTCCCCCGTGGCCGCCAATGTCCTGTATTAGAGAGACAGTTATGGACTGCTTCCTTTCCTCGAGAAACGATTACCAGGATATACAACTTTCGCTTAGTTTGGTGTTGCTGCTTCGCCCAAAAGCAAGGATAACCATGCGCCAGCTCCTTGTCATTGTTTGTGTCCGTCGGCTAGATACTATGGATTCGTGGACGTATAGTTGGCGTAAAGACGTGCCATTTAGAACTCGCAAGGGTGCAAGCACCACGTGACTTGATTCGGGTCATCCGGTTTTTGTCTGCGGCCGATAGGTTAACAAAAAGAGTTCCCAGCGGGTTGACCGATATATGGTACCAGGTGGTTTCCAGTACTACGTTCCAGCTGTGTGGCAACTGTAGTTTTGCTGGGTTACATCAATGGCCCAAAAATAAATCTGTAACGCTCACATATTTGCTCATCCGGCCAAGGTTCATACCCTCGGCCAGTACTGAACCACAAGTAACTACTCTTTCTCAGAGTGTGGAATACTATGGATATTATGCTGTTAGTGCTGCCTCTCCCGCTCATGTAGAACACTTTACTGACCAGATCACGTCCCAACCATCCCTTTTGGATGGTACATCCTGCAAGACGAACCCATAACCGCAGCATGTTGGAACTCAGGCAGCTACCTCGGCGTAGCATTTTCCGCCTCCGTCGCAGGTGCACCAGCAACTGTCCTGGACACAGCACCGGAAACACCCGTGGCCGGCCGTAAGGCAGCGGGCGCAGGTAGGGCAGGCAACAGGGACCATCTGTCCCTGCTCGGTGATGGAGTACTCCCTGAGGACCATGTAGTCCGGTAGAGGCTCGTAATCTTGGGTTGCCATCACTGCTGCTGAGAGAGCTGCAAAGAGGAGCGGCTTGAACAAGCGGCCCATGATGTTTTTGATTCGGTCTGCAACCAAGGTAGGATCTGGAGTCATAAATTTCCAAGGAACCAGAAGGGCGAAGGCAGGCTGGGCTTGTAAGTTGGATAGGCAGTATAAGAAACTGGAACTATATCGTCTTGGCACGACAAATAATGGATGAGAAGCTTGAAAATGCCTCTTATAGTCTTGACTTCCGCTGCGCCCCTTTCCAAAGTTCCATACATGAGGGAGAAGAGATATCGGAGCAGAACCTGACGAGCAATGCGGCGATGCGTGACCTTCTGCCCAGAACCAACATCCCATACTTATGCCACGATGCCGTGTTACCGAGTTGACGAATTAGACGACTTGGTCACATTTCAAGGTGCAAGAATCGAGCCCCAACTCGGGCGAGCCATTCACGTCTCGCATTCCACAGCCTTGATAAGCGGCGGGTCAGGCCCTGGAATGATGAGCAGTTGTGAGGAAAACATGCCACCTGGTTTCGATCAAGTTGCCCTTTTCACGATAGAAAGTTTACTAAGCAATTGAAACTCATACACCCCCATCAGAGTGAAGAGGCTGGATACAAATTTCCGCTCGTATCAATTAAAGAAAACTCTGTTCTGACCTTGTTCCTGTATGATCATTTTTGATGACATCACGGCTGATATCATATGGCTATTCCACGACTTTGGAAAGAAGGATTTCGAGAGGCTCCAGGTACGCGCGCAGCATCGCGGATTCGCGGATGCAGACACCACAGCTCAAACATGGATGGGTACACTCAATATGGTGTTGGGTGAGTTATGTAAAAAATGGAATACGGGGGGTGAGAGTTTTGAACAAAAGTATCATTCTGCCCTGATAGCCAAATGTCATTTCTCTGCTAGCAAAGCTTCATACTATCACCACACGTTGTACGTTGCCCGTATTCTTACCGGTAAACATTATCTTGTGAGCTTGTCCATTCTCACTCGCCATTGCAATAGCAAGCAGAGTTGTAGTGCCCGCGACCTAGCTCCTCCGCAATACCACCGGCCACTTCATATCATGAATGACCCATACCTCGTCTCCCAGGTGGGCAATACTTGTCGATCTGACTTGACAGCGCCAATCGGAGCTTCGAAACAAACTCCACAGCCGAAAGCCATCATGCTTTGAATCAAGAGCCATTCCCAGCTTAAAGACCATGGTCTCTGTAGCTTCAAGGACTCTGCTGTCATTGCCATACCTGTCCGCCGAGAATGACATGGATGGCCTGGAATGTTTATCAGCGGCACAGGTTAGTGGTAGACCCAAAGTGACGATGAACTTGTCTCTCTCGACGTCTTCTCCTTTGTCCCAATCTGGAACCCGTGTGGGCAGAGGGCCAGTACCCTGCGGAAGGTAAAGACTATGTGCCGCTGTTCCAGCTTGTGACAGAACGTCAAGATCCGATCCTCGCGAGCAATGATTGCGCCAGCGACATCGGTAAGCACTGTAGTAGTTCTGTAGGCCGGCCCTCTTCGTTCTTTCTAGACTCGCATGCCGACTTTTAGTATCGTAGTCGGGGCAGAAGGGCTGATTGAAGTAGCCACAACCTGAAGCCCAGGGTATTGACAATGCCACAGCTGTGAGTAAGTAGACCAGCGAGCAGACAGCAATAAATCGACACTACAGACCATTGGCGAAGAGCCATGAGCGGCCAACACGGTCGGAGCAGCCGCCAGCATCCGAAAGCTGGCTTTGGGAGCCGTGCTCTCAGACGATTGTTTGGTCCCGGTAGATGTGTAGTTTATACTTGGCTGTTTGAAACATCCCGTAGTCCTAAACTCAGTATTCTCGCTGCAAAATACTCCGCCCTGACTTCACCGTTTGGGCCACAGCCTCGTCAAGGCCCTACGGAGACGCAGTCAGCTCCAACCGCGAGAGGGGAGGGCGGTACATATGTACGGACAGGCGAATCATTATTGAGCTTTCGACGAATTAGCCTGCATGCCGCATCATACTGGTCCAATCATTGTAGCACACCCTCATAACGCCGGGAGTTGTCAGGCCAGCCCCAGGATCTCCCACTTTTCCAAATTTCAAGTTTCCGCTCTATCCTAAGTAAGTCACTTTCACTGTAGCTTACCCGTGGCCTCGCTCTTGAAGATTTGCAGCTAGATGAGTTTCAAGGGGGATCTGAAGGATAAACCGATAGAACTTGTCGCTATTTTGAAACACGGAGATATAGTTGGCGCGAAACACAACAACATTCAAGGGAAGGCAGTTTGTAACTTCCTATTGCTTGGGCTGTAGTGTTTCACTGCGTTCCTAGTCCCCAACGTTTCTTTCATCTTGCAAGAATGATGAACAACGGTCTCCTTACCTAAAAACAGGTGATCTCGAACGAGCTCTCGCTATCATGTACACCCAGCTTTATCTCTGTTGGCCTGTAGCCGACTTAGCCCTGCAAAAGTCGCTACACTCTCTCGAAACAATTCCCAAGGAAGTTCGTGAATGGTCTCAACGTTTGGAGCTTTATCAAGAGGCCTATTAGGAGCCGACATAAGATTCAGAAAGATTCGGGAATTCCTGTGACCCCTACACCTTTTGCCTTACACCTAGCAGTTCCGAACACAATCCATCTGCACACCCCTACTCTTCAATCGGCGTAACGCCTTTCTTGAGGATAATGTTGCCGTACTTCCTCGTCTCTCCAGTCGCCACAATCGCAAAGGCCTTCTTGGCGCGCTCGTAGAAGGCAAACCGCTCTAGCTTCTCAATCTCACCGTCATACTTGAGCGACGACCGGAAGTCGCCCTCGACGCTCGCATCAAAAGTGTCGCCCTTGACGACCTCCATCATGATCACAGGCACGACGCCGTAGTTGTCCAATTCGAGGAGCGGGGAGATGCCAGCCAAGAGGCGGGAGACGGTTATACCTGTTACGTGACTTAGAATGTAGTTCTCCAAGGCTCTGGTCTTTTCTTGGAGAAGGAAACCAGCGGAGAGAACTTACCGTCGGCGCGAAGGACAGGGATGTGAGGCGGGCAGATGGAATGCGACGGGAAGTGGGCGTCGGCGAGGACAATTTCGTCACCATGGCCCATCTCGGCCAGGACCTTGAGGAGGTCGGGCGAGATGACTGGGGAGATTCCTTTGAGTGGCATGTTGCTGGATGTGGCTTATGGTCGATCTGAAGTAAACCAAGATTCGTAATACGGTCAGATTCGATTGAGATGATGTGTCGTTTTTGAGCTTTGATGTCGATGGCGGTGAGTTGAGGTCCCCACGACGTTTCGAAAAGGTGGGGCAGACCAGCCCCTTACGTGTGATTGAAACTATAGCATAGCAAACTTCGCTCGAACAAGACTTATCAATACGACTTCACTTGGCAGCTATATCCAGACAAAAAGCAATGAGAGTACACCAAAATGAATGTATTCAGTCTATTTTTGTATTTTACGAAATCTATTAATTTTACCCAATTAGAAACCCTCCCTGTAATGAGATAAAACCCCGACCAGACATGAGAGAGATGCGATAGCTAATTTTCATAAACTGGCAAAGGAACTGCAAAAATCGTTCCGTGGTAAGCCCGCAATCTACCCGCGAGAGTGGTGCAATCTGACATGCGGCAGTCGAGTACTGAGTGACTGGTGTGATACGAGCTATATGTGATGAGGGAGCATTGGGCTCGAGTTGAAATTCAAGGAAGTAATTGTTTACTCCGCCTTCTTGGAAGTCTTGGTACGAAGCTTCATGAGAAGGTAGACCAGAGAGTACGAGCTGATGGCGAAGATGACGACAATCGCCGCATCGCGCCAGCCGTAATAGTACTCCTTGAGGTTGATCGTCTGCAGGTAGTCGCTGCCATCGCGGTACTGGCACACACGGCACCCAGCCGTCGCATCAGGGTTTACGAGGTTGCTGCTCGAGCCCATGCCGTGCATATAATCCGCCAGGTACTGCGCACACGTCGTACCGTTAGGCGGATCAAAGAGCGCAAACTCCTCGTCCTTGCACTGAACCTTGGTGCCCCAAACATCGAAGACAAGCATGCTGCCCATGAGGTAGTTGAAGGGATTGAGCCAATACATCCAGTACCTCCAGAAAGTCTGGAGCTGGGAGTAAGGTACGAGAACACCGCAGAAGGAGACGAGGATTCCGATGATGAGCGGGTTGACCAGGGATGCGAAGACAGCGTTGGGGGCGTAAGCGGCGATGAACTGGCCGATACCTGTGTAGACGAACTCGTACATAAGCATAACGAAGAAGGTTGCGCCAGCGCGGGTCGAGTCGCCCGGGAAGCCCACGGTGTAGTACCAGCAAACGAAGTAAAGGACAGCGCAAATGATGAGATAGGGCACCTCAGAGACAATCAAGCCCGTAACGAAAGCGATCCAGGAGTACATCTTGGACTTCTTCTCGCGGGTCTCGAATATATCGCGGCGGTCGATAAAGAGGGGCTGCAGTTGGGCGAGCACACCAGGGGCGACAAAGATGAAGTTGAAGATTGTGAAGAGGCGCATGGTGATATCGCCAACGGAGTCACCAATCATCCAGAAGGAGAAGCCGTTGAAGAGGGCGGAGAAAATATGCAGCGCAAACTTGTTGTTGACATAGTCGATGTTGCGGTAGAGTGCGACGTTCATGCGATGGGTGACGATCTTGACTTGATCCCAAAGGGGAAGAGCAAACTCGTGCCCGTCGTCGGTGGTACCAGGAGGCTTAGAGGCGGCGTCTTCAATCATGTGGTCCAGTTCCTTGACGACAGCATCGTGTTCAGGAGAGGAAAGCCAAACTTCGTTCCAATTTTTGCCCTTGGACAGGTGACCGGAGACGACATCGATCATGTGCTCAGCCGGGTTAGCTTCCTCGGGACAAGGAGCACCGTAGCGCCCGAAGTAGTCGCGGATGGTCTTTGCGTTGTCGCCAATGTCGCCAAAGTAGACGGTCTTGCCGCCCTTGGCAAGCAGGAGCAGAGTGTCGAACTGGGAGAAAAGCTGAGCGGAAGGTTGATGAATGGTGACGAGGACGGCTTGACCGACATCTGCCAGCTTGCGGAGAAAGCGGACCGTGTTGTATGCAGATTGACCATCCAGACCAGACGTGGGCTCGTCAAGGAAGATGAGAATGCTAGGCTTCGATACCAATTCGACGCCGATGGTGACGCGCTTCCTCTGTTCAACAGAAAGGCCGTTTCCAACGCGACCGATGAGGGTGTCGGCAAGATCATGAAGCTCTAGGAGGTCGATGATGGTGTTGACGTATGCCAGCTTCTCCTTGCGAGGGGTATCACGGCTTTGTCTCAGAAGAGCCGAGAATTCCAAAGCTTCACGGACAGTGGCGTAGGGCTCGTGAACATCCAGCTGCTCGCAGTATCCGGCCGATCGCTGGAAGGAAACGGGCAATGGACGACCGTCAACCATGATGGATCCGTGGATCGTGCCGTCGGTCTTGCGCTGAGCCAGGACATCAAGAAGGGTGGTCTTTCCAGCACCAGAGGAGCCCATCAAAGCGCCGAGCATACCCGGCTTTACCCAGCCCTCAACGTTGTCGAGCAGCACGCGATCTCCTGACGGGGTTTTGACGGTGTATGTGAGGTTCTTCCAGGTGAAGATAGAGGTGTTGCGAACGAGGCTCTGGTTGACATCGTCGCCATCGCGGGTCTCGCCACCACTTTTATCCTTCTCTGTGGCTGCCTCCTCAGACGACTGTGCCTCTTCATCCTCGCGAAGAACGCGGGTGACCTTCGCGTTCTCGCGGGGAACAAGAAGAGATGATCCTCCCTCAGCGGATGAGCGCCACTTAGAGGTGGAGATGATGGTGAGTGTGACAAAGAGGACCCACCAGGCCCAAACGATACCAAAGTTTCTCCAGACGTGGCTGTGACTATAAGAGAGCGCCGACAGATACTGGTCACCAGTGAGAGAAGTCGCTCCCTGAGTGGCACCCGAAACACCGGCACATGACTGGTGGGCCGGATCCGTGTACCCCGGGCCGTTCGGCACAAGATTGGGTCCGGTGCAAGGGATCAGCTGTTGATGTAATTCGGTTGCCATGAGCGCGTCGAAGGCATAAGCTAGAGGATTAATCCAGAAGATCCAGACAAACCATGGATGCATCTGGGATTTCTGGATCATGTAACCACAGTACATGATCAACGCGGAGATCATGAAACCAGAAGCCTTGGAGGCACCATCGAAGGTCGTGAAACCAGCACCAATGGAGCGGAACATGGCCGTCATACACTAAGGGGATGTGAGCAGTGGTCCAGACTAGGAGATGGGCAGCTAACTTACCATAGTCGTTGCAACGACTACGACCCAAAAAGTGAAGAACGCCGCAGCCGATGTCTTCAACCCGACCATGAAGTAGAGGACGACAGAGAAGACGGAGACCTGGAAAAGAATAACCGGGATGTCAGCAGCAATCTGCGCAATACAGAATGCTGCCGGGTGGTAGTAGGCGAACGCCTTGTGCTTGATCAGGACTGGCCGGCCGGAGAAAGAGTTGGTAACCTCGGACATGGACAAAAGACTGTTGAAGAGGAGGGCAAAGAAGAGGGCGCCACCCTTCAAGAACAATCCACCGGAATTGTTTGGAGCGTTATAGAAAAGGGAACCGGCGATGAGGGCTTGGGCCAACGTAGATACCTGAGTGATGATGAAGGTGGCCTTGTCACCCCAGAGAATCTGGTATTGTCGAGTGATACAAGCCTTGACCTGCGTAGCGAAACTCGTCGTGAGAGGGCTTTTAGCGGGAAGCTGCTTATGCTTCTCGCCAGCAACACCCTCCTTGAAGAGCTTTGTCTTTTCTTTAGTCTCCTCTTTCGTTGGGAAGTCGTACTCGGCAATCATTCTAGGGTAAATCTCCGACTTCTCATACTCCGCTCTCAGGGCGTCGGCATTGCGAGGAAAGGTCTTCTCGTAGCCCGGTCGAACGGCGCGTTCCGTGGGGACCGTAACACCAGTCAGGAAATCGGCTACGTTGGCACCGTCGGAGCAGATGAAACCCAGGCGTTCCATGAAGGGTCTAGCTTCCTTCATGGGTCCATAGTACATCTCCTTGCCGTTATCGAGAACAAGGACCTTGTCAAAGAGGTTATAGATACCGTTGCCTGCCTGGTAGAGAGTGACGATGGACGCGAGACCGAGGACGTCGGTCATCGCACGCACAGCTTTGGTGTACTCCAACGCCCTGTGGTTGTGTCAGCTCCGGTAAATAACAGACAGTTGCCTACTTTGGCGAGCCCTCCTGTCCGATATTGAATAGTTTGGGGGGTTACTTACGTGCTGGCATCTAAGCCTCTTGTGCTGTTATCCCAGCAGAATACGGAGCCCCTCGTTGCCATACACTCGATGATGGAAACACGCTTCCTTTCACCACCGGATACACCACGAACGTACTCATTACCGACCTTGGTGTCAAACGTGTGTTGGATGCCCATGGACTCAAGCAGGAAGTCTCGGTTCTCGACTCGGAGTTCTTCGTTGGACGAGACACCTTCGGGCAAATGGAAGGGAATCTTGAGACGGGTGGCAAAATCCATTGTCTGACCGACTGTAAGGGTAGGGAAAAAGAGCTCTTCCTCCGTGTTCATAACGATCTGACCCCGGTACTGTTGGGCTTCCTCAGCCGTCATTGAGCCGTAGTGAACGTCACCAGTGACTGAGCTGTAACCCCGGCGATGGTTCGCCAAGATGTTCAGCAGTGTTGTGCATCCCGATCCGGGTCGGCCAAGGACCAAGAGCATCTCCCCAGGCTTGACACATCCGTGCGTGTTGTCTAGGATTGTCTTCAAAGGAGGCTTATGGCGAGACTCCTTGACTAGTTTGGGAATGTTGAACTGGGAGAGTACGTTCTCGTGTATCGACGCGTCGGAGCTGACAGCCTGAACCGTAAGATTCTGCCACGTTACGCCGAGTTGTCGAGGAGGAAATCCGGATCGTTCATCTCTCTGCCTCACTGCTTCAACCTTGTGCTTGAGTGACCAAGTGGTGTCGTCGGGGATGTTGCCGAGTTCGATGGACTGCTCGTAATTGGAGCCGCTGGCCAGCGTGCCGTCGGAGTCCATGGCGCCCCCACGAGTCGACGAAGAGCTTGGTGTTACCTCTTTGGTATCAGGTGTGATGAAGGACATCGCAAAAAAGAGGTCACGATACCAAAAACGAGTTGTTAGGAGGAAGGAACCAGAGACACTCAGGGGTGCTGGGCTTCTATTTGTTTTCATTATCTGCTCCGGCCGTACGGTCGGCGGATTCGGCATCATAAATTAACTTAGTCTCCGATCCATAGCTACCTGGCATCTGTGTAAGACCCTCTTTGATGGTGGGTTATGGGTCCCAGCCGGACCCAACGGAGAGATTGGCAACTCTAAGAAACAGTCGTTAGGGGATATAGCGCCCCAGATGTTCCGTCATCCCGCCCATGATGACAAAATGTGTCGACGAGAAAGCTTCTGGAACCCTTTGACCTAGGGCCAGAGCGAGCTCGGTGTCCCGGCTTTCGTCCGCTGAATAATGAAATGGGTATCCCACTTGATAAGAACTGCGGTAGGTTTGTGTACAAGTCCTGCGATCCCCCGTCGTGGCACGTGGGGCTTTCGGCGTGGGCCCCTGGCCGACGTGCGTGGGATGCCAGCGGCTAGGCTGGGACCAACCCTTAAATTGTCCCAAGAGCCTCATTAAGCGCGTCCCAACATCGGACTAAACGTGTCATGGAGCTGGTGTTCCCCGCTGACTAAGCGGCGAGTTCGTCAATTGACAATGTCCTTAGGGGCCAGCTTGCGCTAGCGCAAATGCTGTTGGCCGCTAAAGTCGGCGCGGCCTACATCAAAACACCGGACACGGATGATAAGCGTGGAGATGATGGGGATTCGCCTGAAGTTTTGCGTCAAGGTTTTGTGTGGAAGAACCAATCATGACCGGGAATTTAAATAGAGTTTCTAACTTATTGACGTTGGCCGCTTAGTAAACCTACGATAGATGCCGCTGAGTCAGCGGGGATTTCGATACATGTACCAAGGGGGGGAACCACCGCCGGTAGCAGCTGGTTTTCGGTCATTTGCGGCATGAGAGTCCATTGACAAATCGGTTACGGTACCAAGTCGGAATATTTTTCATTCTTCTCTTTGCCCGTTCCCTTCTTGGGACAAGGCAGCGAGCCGCGTTGAGCGGCGGCCATCGTCGAATCAGAAGCCAAGATGAGGAAGCGAGCGTGCGATTCCTGTCACAGGCGGAAGGTATGTTTCCTGCTAGATTTGATATCAAGTTATTGTCTCACAACAGGTGCTGATTCTTCAACTGCAGATCCAATGCGATGGAGCCGTACCGCAATGCAACTGGTGCAAACACCACGGGATGGCTTGCACATTTAACCGGGCCACCAAGGTGAAGAAGCGCGTGTCAGCTGCAAGGTGAGTGCGCCCCCTACGAGATTCACTCGGCAAAATGAGTGTACGAGAGAGACAGTAAGAATTTACGAGACGTGCAGGGCTGGATCAGAGAAAGACTTGGTTGCCCGCCTCAACCGCATCGAACAAGCCCTAGAGGCGGCGCGGCGGAACCAGAACGCAGGGGAGGGGCGGGATGTATCCATGTCCCCATCGTCATCATCAGCCCCCATGTCCGTCGGGACTGACCCACCGGCCAACGACGGCACTCCGGACACAACACAAGGCCGAGACTATGACTCATCCGTCCGGGCTTCCGGTGCAACCGCGGGCAAGATGCACTTCGCCGGCTTCTACTTGGGAGACATCAGCTCTTACAATGGCATCCCCTTCTTCTCACCAGATGGCCAAGACTGGATTCGATCTAGAGCAGGAGAGGATGCGTCGTTCCAAACTTTGTTTGGTATGGGCCCGCTATGGCATTCTCAGAACCCAGTTCCGATTTTCCTAGACTTCCCGCAGTCGAATTCAGGGGGAGAACTACCCGATAGGACTGTCGTCGAAGAGTATCTGGCTCGCTTCCGAGCGTCCCAGTTCGGCTTGTCGTTTCCACTAATTGACTTTGTACTCTTTTCTGGGACCATCGACCTTGCGTATCGGTCACCTCAAAGTGCATTGACACTCGAAGTCGTGACCGCCAAGGCCTGCGTGTTCGCCTTCTTCGCTGTTGTTTCACTCTTTCAAAGGGAATGGAAGTCAACGCCAGAAATAGATGGAGAGGCATGTGCCGGTGCAGCGCAGAACTTGATGGCGACGATCCTGCAAGACACCAACATGACTGCTCTTCAAACTGTCTTCATGCTGGTAAACTTTGTTGCGCAATGCTTTACTTGAAATCTTACTAATTATTAACTTGGCAGACTTTATTTCACCTCTTCTGTGGACACCTCCAACAAGGGACCATGTTTCATTCGGCCACCTGTCGAATGTTGTTCATGCTTGGCGCACACCTCGAGTCTGGTACGAGCCATACCCCGAGCCGGCCTTCCAAGACTGAAAACGACCATGCCAGCCGCGTGAGGAACCAACTCAGAAGACTCTTCTGGTTATCATACAAGCTCGATAAGGACATCTCTCTCCGGACAGGCCAGCCTCCCAGCATCGATGACGAGCACTGCGATTTAACGTTACCAAACATAGATTGGTGGACTCGTAGTGCAGACGACCAAGTCGGAGCCTCGCCCTCTTTCCTCGACGAAGCGACGATTACGTCAGCTCTCCAACCAGACTCCTTGCAGCTGACCATCATCAAGGCAAAGATCTGTAGGATGCTCTACTCGATCTCGGCGCTCAAGAAAGGTGATGCTGAGTTACTTAGAGAAATCCGTGAGCTAGACGATGAGCTTGAAAGGTGGCGGGTGTCTGTGCCGCCGTCATATCGGCCGACGTTGACATTTCCTCGAGGCAAAGCAGTTATTAGGAAGGACCGGCTCGGCATGGAGGAGATCATTATGCATTTTGAGTATCATTATTTGATGGCCATGATCCATCGAGCAAGTGGAAGATGCCGTTGTTGGGCCAGCGGCGAGAGCAGTGGCTTGGAAGGAGTGAGCTCGAGTCAAACACTGTCAGTGCAAGCGAGCCGGTCAACGTTATACTTTCTACGAGCCGCGATCCATGGTGTGGAGCAGGTAGCCTTTTGGTAAGTGGTAGCGCGTTCCGGTTTGAAGCTCTGCTAACATGGATCAGGATGGTGGTGTTTTACCCAATGTCGGCGATATTGGAAATATTTTGCAATTTGCTCCTGCACCCGCTACATCCACAGTCAGAGGAAGATCTCGAGCTCCTCAATTCCGTCCCGGTGCTTATCGAAGGGCTGCGAAATCGCCATCTAACGCATTACGAAATGGCACATGTGAAGATTGTCGATGCCTTTGTGGCTGAGCTGACCAGGCTAGGGAGATGTGCCATAGCCAAGGCGCGACGGGAGCAAAAAGCTGTCTGAAAATAAAAATGTATGGTTGAACGAGTTCTTGGTTTGGGTACGAAGCGGTCGTTGGGAGTTGGGGCTTTGATATACGACGCCTTCACCCAAACAGCTCTGGCTGTAAACCTATCCTAGACTGGAAGAACGAATGGACGAACAACAGGCTGTAAATAATACTAGAGAAGGATAATTCAACGAGTAATGTGGATCAAACTCTCTGAATCAACTAGCACGCGTTGCGTAGATGTGTTTAGTTTAAGTTGGATGCAATGAACGTGGCCCGGGCAGAGAAGAACGGGGGTGATAAGAGAATCCTCATTGTGGCTCGTGCATTACGAAAAGCAGCTTTAGCCGAGACTGCTGGGCCGTGCACGTAGTACGGGTCCATCAATTGCTACCGGAGCCAATCAGGGAAGGCTCACGCCGCTTCTCCTAGTGTACTGCACACCACATCTACCCATACGCCATATCCCGCCGTCATCAGCCACTCGTCCAAACGTTGACACCACTACATCGGATCCACAGTCCACAAACACCTCGATGCCAATCACCGTCATGTCAGGATTCACTCTTCGGCGGCCCCATCGCTTCATGAGTTACTTGTCATCTACTATGGTACCGGTACACTATTCCATTCGGCCCCACAGCGGGCGGGCCGAACGTTGCCCCAATTCCCCTCATGGAACCCTTTGATACAGGTACATAGCAGTGTAAAAACTTCGAGATGTGTCCATCTTCCTTTCCAAGTCTGAGCTGCCTCCGTGCCCACTCACCAGAGAGGCCCAGACCAAACCCGCTTATGCATTACAAAAGGGGTTGAAGGCGAGACTCCAACCGCTCCAGATTGCCCTTCGCAAGCAGTGGCAAAGCCAAGTATCCCGATTGTCCCTTGTCTACGCACAAGGGCAGCTTGGTCAGATGATTGGATAGACAATGTGCCACCTGCCTCATCGTGACTGGCGATGTCGAACGACGACCTAATTTTGACCCTTGCATGTTGGAGGTTGCTAAACGGCTAGCTTAAGCCCACACGGCCCATGTTCTCCACAAAACATCCATCGATCCCATGGATCTCTGCTCGAATGATCACTGGGGTCTTGGAAGAATGGCCGGTTAATTTACTGCCGCACGCCCTCATTCAGACGTTTTCTGGGGACCCCGGAGTACTGGCCACATTCAGACAGCTTGGTGCGGGAGTCCAGTGGACTGCTCGGCATGTCACCGACTCACCGTTGGTCGTCTCCAATTCCGTCGAGCCTTTCAAGAACACACCTCCTTCCCCTCACGAAAGCTGGGGTATTTGGGGAACCCTGTGCATTCGTCTGGGGTGTGGCTCGTTATAATACCACCGTCCCTGCCTCTGTTGCTCATTGTTGTGGATGCATGTTTTGCCAGAGACCATTGCCGACATTTAATGCGACTTGAAAGCGACGGGAAGGTTACCGAGCCTCCGTCCAAAGATCTCAGAGAGCCGTCGCATATCATATCCGCCATACTCGACATCCTTCTCAGCCAACGATATGCTCGTCAACCAGCCCATTCGTCCAAGACCGATCAAGACTCGGTCGAGAGCAGGTTTGTGTAAGCCTCTTTGCCGGAGTTCTTCATGTGTCTGACATATGCCTGTGCCACCCGCAGGTTGCAAATATTGGTAAGTCGACTACTCGCTCCCGTATGAAAATCCCTCGGCTAACATATTCCAGCCGAGACAAGGTTTGTTGTCTTACCCACCTACGGTCCGAGCAGCTAACCGACGCGCTCATGTTAGAGAAAAAAGTGCTCCGAAGAACATCCCCAATGCCTCCGTTGTGTCCAAGCTGGCGTCAGTTGCGTATACGAACCGATTAAGAAAAGAAAACGGAGGACATCCACTCGAACAACCGAGATGCAAGATCCCGCTACATCAGAGAATTCGGACAGTCCTACAGGCAACACCGACCTACAAACAAGCCCAGAAACCAACATACTCACCCCACCTGATACACTTCAGCCTGGTGCTGAAGAGTCTCTCTCGCCGTCGACGTCCGCTGAAAACTGCCTTCCAGCCTCTATAGACTCCATGTTGCCTCTCTGCGATGACATCGACGATGTTTACGCCTATGAGCTTGGATACGGGGATTCGGACATGTACGGGAGCGAATACACAACAGTCACAGATACGAGTCCTTTTCAGAAACCAGCAGAGACCAACCTGTCGCTTTCTATTGTACCTATCAATGACGGTGTGCAATCTACAGATGACTCGTTCTTTACTGAAAGTCTCGACATGTCTTGGAGCGAACCGACTTGGTCAACTATTTCCCCGCCGTTGCTCAGCCTGCTTCCGCCAGCATACCACGGCGTTGCTGAATGCCCGGAGGACACGGGCTTGCTGGAACATTACTCCAAGGTCATGTTGCCTACTATGGGATTCAGAGAAAACGTCAAGAACCCTTACGAGCAGCACATTCTTCCCCTATCGCATAGAAGCTCTGCCGTTCGAAATGCTATCTACGCCTTGGCCAGTGTGCATCGTGAATATGTTGGTCTTGAAAACACTGAAGGTTCCGCGTGTTTCCACGAACGAGCAGTGGCTGGGTTGTCCGCAATCATTGAAGACGGAGATGGCTTCGAAGAAGCGCTGGCGACAATAGTTCTTCTTCTACAGTATGATTTGGTAAGATGATCTCTGATGAGTTGAAAACATGAACTTACTGGTGCAGCTCATGCAACGAAGCCTGCCCAACGTCATTCACAACCACCTCCAAGGCGCAAAGCATATCATCAGCGCTATGCCATCACCGAAACCTGCCAGCGTTGAGTTCTTCGAGCAGGTCAGTTCCCGAGAATGAGTCACATTGCGCCACTAACCAGAGACAGGTGTTTCGCTATTTTGATGTACTCAATGCCTTGACGAATGGCTCGTCTCCAGTCTTTGCGGCCCCTTCATCGAACCGAGCCTACTCACCTGGCAGTTCACCACCCCCCATCATGTTTAGTGGTATCGACCCTGTATTCGGCATGGCCGATGACCTTTGGCCTACATTGCATCGCCTCGGAGAGCTTATCACAATGAAGTGCGAACTCCAAGCCACTATGGCAGCAGGCCAGACGTCCAAGTTCGCAGTTCTTCGTACCGAATACCAGACAGCCTACAAGGCCATCGAGAGAGCTTTGGAATCGTGGAGCCCGATATTGCCACCCGGCTTTTCGTTGGTCAATCGCATTGTTGACGGTCCTGAGGACGCATCCGAGGCCGAGCTCGCCAACATCAGGTGGATTACAAGTACGGCACTTGCCTACAGACAGAGCGCACTAGTGTATCTGTACAGCACAATCTCCGAGTACCCCTCGTCACATAATCTGGTACAAAAGCATGCGCAGGCAGCTCTATGGCACTGCGCAGCGTCCGTATCACACGGCGGAACGGGGTTATCGATGCTTTGGCCTCTTTTCTTCTCCGCTTGCCATGCCATCTGCAGCCGAGACCGGGGCTTGGTGCGGCAAGCTTTCACTGCTCTTGGCAGCAAGAAAGGTGCCGTCGACACGGAGAAGCCTTGGGCTGTAGTCATGGATGTGTGGAGAAGGATGGATATGCGAGCCTATAACAAAGAGCAAGTGGGAGCCGAAGCTTGCCCAGAGCTGTGGAAGCAGGTGGCGGCCAGTATGAAGTTCGGCCTCGTGTTTGGGTGAGCTCAGGTACCGCGTGTAGCGGGGGATGATGCGATGCACAAGCTCAAGACAAGGAAAATTGTCTGGACTTATGACTTTCACTCGGAATGTCGTTACGATATCACGGCGATAGCATGGCAAGTTTTTACGGCATATTACGATACCATGGGAAAAGAAACCGGGCCTCGGGGTGCTGGACACTGGGACGGGGGACCAAGACAATGCCTCAATATACAACAATCCTTTCCGTTCGAACCCGTTGCGCACAACAAGCATAGAGGTTTAGAATCTGTGCTCTAGGCCGGCCATCAGGCTGGGGTCTGTGGAGCCAATGATCCCCCATGTCCAGCGAGCTAATGCAACTCATGGCTGCATCCACTCATCTATGCACCCGCCACTCCTTCAGGTGAGTCGACGCGGCTCGGCCAGTACTAACGCCACTTGTATGATTGTCCGCCAACCAGAATTGGGGAAAACGGAGCCGCTTTGAAGAGCTCGACAGGGGTCTCACTACATTCTCCCAGCAGGGGGTATTCAGCCTGATTGTCGTTCTGCAAACCTAGGGACTGGGGTACACTGAATACCCGTAACTCGTGATACAACGCTGCACTAAAAGTACACGTTGCATAAGCTGAGTCCAGGGAAGCCGCCCCAATTATGCTGGGTGTCTTCTCCAACGCCGAGAGGTGGTAGAATGGGGCAAGAAATCTGCATGTCCTGCGGGCGGCTACCGATCTGGCCATAAAATTTCTTCGTCTGATGTGGGCGCACCCTTCATCACGCAAGACATGCGTCTCGGCCACACAATACAACCCCGGAACGCGGTGTAAACACCTGACGGGTAATTAGCCTGAGAATTTTCGTTGCTGGAACCGAGATGTGCGGTGCTCTGGCTTTGGGGTTCGATCGAAGGGGTGGGAGATGAGGCGAAACGGTCAAGTCACATCTTGCGCTCGCCCTTCGCCTCATGGATTTAGATTGCGCTCGATGCAGTCTATGTAAGTAGGGCTGAGGCTTGCACGAAGTCCGAGACGAAATTTTGCCAGATGCGCGGCTTGTCATGAGACATGGAACAAGAGGAGGCGGCTTGGATCAACCGCCAATCCATCCTGATGGGCTCGTTTGCTCCGCGTCCTGGGAACAGCAAGTGATCCACGCAAGCCGCTCGCACACCGGCCGTCCGGTCTTGGTCATATCTCAGCTCAGCATTTGATGGACCAGTCACCACTGTTGGTGACACAAACATGCCAGCACAAGTCCTCGGCCAACCAGCCTGGCCCTCACAAGCTCGAATGAAGCCAGACAGCGCGCGTTGGCGCATCGTGTGATGGGTGCAGATTCGGGCTTGAATTGCGAGAGGCGTGAGAGCCTGACCTAACTATGCTGACCTACGTTGGCGCGAGAAATTTGTCCACGCTGCACCTGTACACTAATCACCACACGGCTGCCGAATGCCGAAGCCCAACCAAGTCATTGCAGGCGAGGTCTCCAACTGCAGAGAGATGAGGGGAGAGCCCACCACATCCTACAGTACTTTTGGGCTTGCTCCTTGAGGATTAGCGATCCAGAAGGGTGGCGCATTGCCGTCTCCTTGGCACGTGGTGTTCCTAGTGCCTTCGACGCGCCCGCAGGGACGGATGCAGTCCTCCTCATCAGTTCATGGGCAGAAGATTTTGCTCGTAGGAAAAGAGGCGACCCTGAGGGAGGAGGATCTGTGGCGTTTTTTCCTTCTTGTCTGTGTAGGCTAGGTGTGTGTTTGTGTGTGTGTGTGTGGGTTTCCTAACTTCAGCTTTGCAGGCGGGTTTGCGGTTCAGTAATTTGATGCACCCCGCAATCCGGCCTTTCTTTTTGTTTGGTTCGGCTCAAGTTACCCTGTCGAAGGGAGGTGTGGCTGGTGATCCGGGGAAGCTGCCGTGAAGTTCGCCGGGTCCGTTCCGGACTGAGCCGGCTTTACCGAATCTGACCACTTGTAGCTGCACAAAAAATGGGGCTGCAACTCGCCTCCTCTATATTACAGTCAGATATCTAACAGTAGTGTTTTCTGCTAACAGGTAGCTGAGGTTAATACTTAATAACAGTAAGGTAGGTCTTTACTAGTAATCTTACTTGACTATTAATATCTAGTAGTTAGTTAAGCACTTTAAACATAAGTAGCTTAGTTATATAGCTTTACAATAAAACAATAATTTGAAAGTTACTTATAAAAGTGGTGACTTGGTAACTGAGGAAGCCAGAAAGAAATAACCAGCAGGTAGCTGGTGAGCTGGTTACCAAACAAATGGTGAACACATTTTGCCTCAACTATTACTAAGTCCCTGCTTCACTCAGCAACACGTCACAAATTCTTGCTTCCATCTTTCCAATTTTCGAGTTGAATAAGAAGAAGCTTAATCAGGACTAAGTCTGTTTTTTCTAAGTAAGTAAAATGGACAATATTCGGGTGTTGTGAAGGCCATGGGTTGGGAAGTCTGATTCTGTGTATCCTTTTTCTTCTTTGTCATCAGCTTGGGTGCCTGGCAACGAGAACAGTACAGAGCACACGGAACTGCTTTTGGTAGTTAGTTGTCACGGGAAATGTCATATCCTGAATCACAATGTCGCCAGTGGGGTTACTGTGTCTAGCGGCAAAGGATATGTCTCAAAGTCGGGGGAGGAGGGGTAGAACAAAGAAACTTGCTTATCAAGACATTATGATAGACGGCACAAACTGACGGAAGTCGTCCATAATTATTTCTACACGAACACATCATAACGGCTATTAAACCAAAACGCCTTGTAGACAAGCTCGGGCAGCGCCTGTATTCAAAATCTCAAGCGCATCCGACAGGAAACGGAAAATGGCTCAATGATAGCCTGAAGGCTGGCGGACTAGGCTAGATGCTCTCTGACCAAGCAACAACCGCAACAGTGGTAGAAATGAGACTTTATCCAAACCCGAAAATCGCCTCGGGCGTCCTATAACATAAGTTTGTTGCGATGCCGAAGTCGTTGTGAACGGTTCGAACTCGGGGGTGACAGTGAGGGGTTGACCATGCGGAATCGCCAGGTTTTCTTTTTGCCGAGATGAAAGTTTCCACTAGTCTAAACTCAAGATTCACTCTATGCTCCCATACATCGTGTTATGTTGGTTTTGTTGCTGGGATCATGCGGCACGTAATCCAAGATTGATCCTTCCCTCCCAAAGGACATACGTCCAATTCGATCAGACTTTCTGCGCCCTTTCAGTGCTCAACCGTCCATCCAGCTTCTGGGTTGTGCATCGTAGAGAAGGGCGGGGACACAAAAGGATGCCATACTAAATGAGGTCTATTTGCCGCCCACTCACACCACCAAAAGTACCCAGCTTAGGATCCTCGGAGAATAGGAGAAATATTCCGACTCGATAGAAAGAATTGGGGCGCCCGGCTGGGTGTACTACCAATCCCCATGCCGTTTTTGGAGAAGATGCACTTCGACAAAAAGTACAGTGCTCCATCTTCTGATAGTTTTCGTCTGTGAGCACCGCTGGTGGGGTTGGAAACTGGTAAGACTTTTTTGGAGTACTCCGGAGATCTGCGAGCCATTGGAGTTTTGCCCAATTGTTAGTTTGGAAGCAGCAACTAGAGATAAGTAACAACTGCATTTCGCCTGGCTGTTGCACCAGGGTTGACTCAACCGTCCAATCGAATAAGCAGAGACCACTCCCATCACCGAAGTACCCAAATGGAGGGTGCTTGTCGGTGCGAGGCTCTACAATAACGTCCGAGGGGAAGACCGCTAGCTTAGCAAATACGCGAATGTAAGATCCGCTATTGAGACGCCCGAACTGGCTGCACCATTGCAAGTCCATATGATGCTGTACGATGCTGAACTCGGCGCAAACGTGAGACGGTAAAGTTTCGGACAACGTCATTATCTTTTGGGTTTCCAAACGTTCTTCAGATAGGTGCGGGACCCCTACGGGATACCGACGACCTGGGAGGAGCTCAAATTTCCTGGTTTGAGATGCCCAACTCCATGACGGGGCCAAGTAAGGGAAAGCATACCGCTTTTGTTGTAGGGAGGCTTCGAGATCTCCAATTTCGGGGTTCACCACTTCCCAAATCAACTCGTGATGTAAGTCTTTACTCCATAGGCCCGCAAGGTACGTGTCGTTGGTGATTTTGGCGCACTCCTCGGCCAGCCCTGCTATGCCCGGCAGCAGATCCTCCCTGTAGCTCCATAACCTGGCCTGTATCTGGAAGATCTCGTCCCACCGAGCATATGCGTTGCGTACCCTGCGAGACGCTTCGTCTGGGTCTTCCGGCTCCGGATCATGCGCCATGTTTACGAGGGGCCTTAAAGAACCATGAACCACGGATCCGCTCTGGAAGTATGAATTTTCGGAGGTTGTGCCGTTCTCGCAAGCTAGATGCCATAGTCCAGGCCCAAGGAAAAGCAATCTAGTAGAGAGCATGTTTTCTTGAAATGTCCAACCTCTCGTTTCCCATACTGCCTGCTCTAGATCTATCATTAGAGATGGTCGGTTCCAGAACGACAATAGGTCATCTGAAGACGGATATAGGGTATAGGTGCCTTGGACGTGGTTTCGTCTTGTAGATTGAAACTCGACGTCATAGCCTAGGGGTCGAGAACCTAAATACCCTTGCAGACACGATTTTGATGCTAAGGGGCAGATCGTTAGGGTTGAACAGTAGTAAACGCGGCCCATGGTTAAGCTCTCCTTATTCCAGTCATCAGAGTCACCTTGGATAATACAAAGTGCGTCGACCCAGAGATATCTTATACCGAGAGCCCTACACGTAATGACAGTGTCTCTGACAACCGGACTCATGGATTCGAGCGGAATTTTCTCAAGGTGCGTAGACAAGGTGCCCCTCGTAGTCTTAAGTTGTTGATCGGCATCTTCTTTTGGGCCCCAGCAGTAGCTCAGCGCCGCATAACCGACTTCTTGATAATTTGCGGCTGTTCGGTTCGGTAGTGTCTCGGTGTTCACAAGTCGAGCATCATCCCGGTCATTCTGGCCGAGGTCGATCAACCTGGTTGGAAGGAAATGAATATCTTCTTTGGCATGATTGCACTCAGTTTGACATCGCAGTAACTCAGACCTTATCCATTTTACATTCTCAGGGCTTAGAAGCCGAGGAGAACGTTTGCCATCAATTCTGAGCCACTTTGATAAATTATCTGTAAAGGACCATCAGCTTGTGCCCAAGAGAAAGAACCATGACAAGGTTACGTACCATTCCTAGTCTCAATATTGAAAGTCAAAGCTGCGAGCAGTTCTTTTGGGGGGGACTTGTAGATCTCACATCTCCAGAAGACTAAACCTTCATCATTGGCTGTAGAGCCAAAGATATCTCTATCGACACCCCAGATGTAGCCCGCATTAACAAAAACGCCTCCTTCGTACTCTATGGCGCGTCTGAGGACATGTTCTCGGACGAAACCACACAGGCCACAGCCAGCCAGAGCAGAACTGGCCAAGCCAGGTAAATCAGGTAGAGTGTCTTCCCAGTGGCAAGCAGGCCAAAGCCTTACCATGTCACTTTTACCCTCACCTTTGTGCCTGAGCGTTGCGTGACTATCGTAAAGGGCTGTTCCTTCGCCGAAAGTATCGTTGCTATCGTCGAGAATCACATTTTGACATCTGTCGCAGAGGCTGCCACCGCCAAGTGCGCCTAGGTTGATCCGTGTTGCAGTGTACATCTGCCCGCAGGTTTCAAATGAGTCTTGATTGTGTCGAGGTGATATGTCATGCAAAATGAATTGCTAAGGGGCCTAGACTGGACACACTAGAGCGAGCGTTAATATAGAGGTTGTAAAACTAAAAGCCCTTGAAGAATATATGAAATTATGAAGCAACATAACCAACGCATTGGCATTTAGGGCGTGATTGATGACTGCGGTAAGAACTGAAATGTGCAATAAGAATTTCAAATGTGCAATAACACTAGCTACAAGTACCTTCTGAACTCAAATTATGTTACACTAGGCCTAAAACAGGAGGGTATATTATAATTATAGTTCTAAATTATAGAACTTTACATTATTATATATTTACTATATACTTTAATAAAAAAAGACTTTATATAATATAAATTATTAGTTATTTCTTATTTTCTTATATAAATTCTTACTATATTTAAAACTTATATTAATATTATTATAGTTATTATTATACTTTAAAAACTACTTTTTTATTACTTATTATTATAATTAATTACTATAAATAATTTATTATAAAATTTAATTATTTTATTATAATAGTTATATTTAGTATTATTATAGTAAGATATTAAGCTAATAAAAATAAAGATAAGAGAAAAGTTATTAATAATAGTAGTACTATAACTATATACTAAATATATTAAAAGCTTTTTTTTAGTTTAAACTACTATTTTTTATACCTCTTTTACTTTAATAAATAGTAATTTTAAGTATTATTAAAATAACTTATAAATAATATACCTTTATAGTTATTTTAAAATCTCCTTATTAAGTAAAAAGTACTTATTTATTTATTTATTTTATTTTATAGTAATAATCTTAGCTAATAAGCTATTATTTACTTTTTTTATATTAGTTAATTAACTATATTTCTAGTCTAAAATAAAGTTTTATTATACCTTATAAAGCTTTATAAAGTATATATTATTTTTTATAAAAAAGCTAAAGTCTTAAAAAAAATTAAAAGTAATAAAAAACTAAATAAATACTTTATTAGTTATATTAAAATAGTTAATAATATACTTATTAGTATATATATTCTTACTACTATTTAAAAAAAGTAGTATAATTAAAAGAAAATAGTTTCTTAAAATATCTTTATTATTATTTATTTTAATAATAGCTTTTTATTTATATTTATTAAAGCTAAAAGGTTAATTTATAATACTAGTTTAATTAATTTTATAAATATTAAAAGGTTTAAAGTCCTTAAAGGCTAATATTTCTTAAAGGATATAAGGTTTAATGCTTAGAATAATATTATTATTTTTTATTTAAAAACCTATTACTATTTATAAAATTTTAAGAATATAAATAAATTACTAGAAATAACTTAAGAGTTATATAATCTTTAATATAGTTATTTTTAAATAATTATTAAGTAAATATTTAGTTACTTAAAATAAAAGTAAAAAATAATTACTTTTTTAGCCTTAAAGTATAGCTTAAATATATAAGTATAAATTATTTATATAATAATAGGCTTATATAACTTTTTATTTTACTATACTAAGGATAAAAAGTATAATAGTAAGTAAGAATAACAGGGGGTTATTTATAAATAGTCACAAGGAAAAGTAAAGAAGAATAAAGGTAGACAGAAAAGGTATATATATATATTAACTGTTAAGGTATTGTTTTTTCTCGTTGTTGTTAAAAACTGTTTAAGTAGAAGGGATATCTCTTAGTTATATAAAAAGTCCCTTAGATACGTATAGTATCTAAGTGTATATCTAAGCGTATATCTAAGCGCTAAGAGGTACTTATAGTTTCTTATATATATATATATATGCTTATATATGCCTGTAGATAAGTATAAGCGCCGGTATATATAATACTTAGAAGTATATGCGTTTATATGCAGTAGACTATATTAGTTTATAGTAGTTTACATTAGTATAGTTATATATAGTAATATATACTTTTATAGGTTATTTTTCAAGAAGAATCTAGAAAAAATAACTATATATTTATAGGACTTTTAGTTATAAAGTTATAAAGAGATTTATATATAAGAATTATAAGAATTTTACTTCTTAATTCTTAGTTTCCTCCTTAAGTTATATCTAAGTTATAGATATAACTTATTTTATATAAAAACTTATAAGAACCTTATATAAGGAAAATTTTAAGAAAAATAGTTATAGTTATAGTTATAGTTAAAAACCCTTAAAGGAAAAAAAAAAAATTTATAAAGGGGAAACCTTAGTATTTAAGCTGTATTACTTTCTTTTTAGAAAGTATTTCTTTATTATCTATAGTTTCTTTAGGTAAAAACCCCTTTTTATTAAGATTTATAGTCTTTATAAAGTATTTAAATACTTCTTTATTAACAGATTTAGTAAATATATCTGCTATATTATTCTTTGTATAGATATGGTATAAAGAGACTTGATTATTATAGATAGCTTGTCTAGAAAAGTGATATTTTATATCTATATGTTTAGATTTCTTATGAAGCTCTGGGTTTTCTGTTATACGTTGTGCTGCCTTATTATCTATTAAAATAATAGGCTTATTTAACGTTATATTTAACCCTAAGTTATTATATATATAGGAAAAAGAGTTATATAGGTATATAGATTCCTTTATAGCTTTATATAAAGCTATATATTTAGCTTTATAAGTAGATAAAGTAATAGTCTTTTGTTTTATACTATTTTAGCTTATTATATTATAGTACCTTAGGGTACTTATATATCCAGTAGTAGACATTCTATTGTCTAAGTCTCTAGCCTAATTAGAGTCTGAAAATATAACTAACTATAAATTAATATTATAGTTATATATTAATCCTAGATTAGGATATTTATTTATATATCCCTATATTCTATTAAGCGTAATAAAATGCTCTTTAGATAGGTTACTTATATAATAAGCATATATATTAACTGGATATGTTATATTTAGCCTAGTCTTAAGACTTAAGAAGAGTAGAGATCTTATCTCTTGTTGATATTAAGTTATTTCTTTTTTTGTTGCTTACCTTGTATTTTTCTTAAGCTTAATAGTAGGATTTATAGGCGTATTATAAGGATAAGTATCCTTTTTATTATACTTTTCTAGTATTTTATTTGTATATTTGGTTTAATAGATATATAAGATCTTATTTACTTTATCTATACATATTTTATTTTTTAAAAATGTATATAGAATTCCTAAGTCTTGTATCTGTAAATCTTTATTTATATTATTATAGAAATATTCTATATCTTTATTTGTAGGAGCTATTATTATTATATCGTTTATGTAACAGGCTATTATAGCTCTTATATTATTATTATTAGCTATAAAGATACCTTTATTATAAAGGGATTCTTTAAAGCCTAGTTTTATAATTATAGATCTTAACTACTTATACCAGAGTCTAAGGCTCTGTTTTAGACTATATAGGGCCTTTTTAAGCTTACAATATAAAGCTTTTTCTGTTAGATTATTTGTATATTCTAGGGTATTTGTTTTATAGTTATAAGAGAAACCTGTAGGTAATTTTACCTATATTTCTTTATCTATATTAGTATAGTAAAAGGCATTAGAGATATCAAATTGCCTAAAAAACCAGCCTAGCTTTATTCCTATTATAAATATAGCTTT